GTCCGGGCAAGCCGATCCCAGCTTGTTAGGTTTCGGCCAGGGGCGTGGAGTCTCCACTTCTCTCGGCGCCTTCAGCTGATGCCATTGCAACTTTATTCGATCTTGCCGCTCTGAGTGCACCGCTGCCAGCTTGGACAAGAGCATGGTTTTGCCGACCTTCGAGACAGCGTGATGACACCTGCAACACCTTGATTCAGAAGGGTCTCCTGGTTCCTCTGCACCCAGGGCTGGCATTGTAGTTATGTAGTCTCCTTATACTGGAGGGCCGACAAACAAGTCAGCAAACCTGAGCATTCTGTGGATGTTCGGCAGTTGAGTTGTACCTTCCATGTCGGCTGGAGGAGCCTGTGTTGAACGCCCCGGTACCCGCAATATACTTGCTATCAGTGCGGCAGGTTCTCCGGTGGTCAGGCTCGACGTCGCTGGAGCCCAGTTCGCATACCAGATTTATGGTAAGGTGCTTGCTTCCACGTCGAACTCCGGTGGTGCCTTTCTTTGCCACAGGACGCGACCTGAACAAACTGCCCGGTCGCCGCACTGCATCAGCGCTTCGCTTTGGTATGTCTCTGTGTAGGCAACTTTCAAGTTGTGGCTGTCTTGTGGGAGCCTGGGTGAACAGCTGACCACTTGGCCTGCTCTGCACCCTTTGTGAAGGGCAGCGAAGCAGCTGCATTGCATTGTCAAAACACCGCGCCTCGTGGCAGATTCTTACCTAGCTGTGTGCAGCAGGTATTCATAATTTGCGCCTCTGCATCATACTGTAGGTTGCATCTCAGGAACGCATTTTGAGCCTGCAGGAGGTTGTTTTAGGCAACACTCGGCCATGTGCTTCGATGGTGGCCAGGAATCGCAACACAGCACGGTTTTCCATCCCTGCACATGCGTGTTGGGGCTCGCAAGTAGATCCTGCGCGTCTCTTTCAGCAGAAGGAGCGCTGTGAAGAGGAAGCATGACAACCTTCGTCTGCGAATGCCGTATTTCCGGGCGATGTCGTGTGGATGAGTACCAGCATGACTGCAGGATGGCTCGCGGCTGTTCCTGCTGGAGAGCCGGCCAGGTGGACTTTCTTGCAGCTCATCAGAACAGCTTTTCGGTTCTGCGTGTGGGGGGCAAGGATGCTTCTGTCCAGTCTGAAGATGGAAGGCGTGCAAGACGTCCTTTTATGATGTGTCGGTGATCCTGCGCAGTTAAAGCAGGCTGAGCTCTGAGATGGTCCACTATCCATCAGGTTCTAAACCTATTGTTAAGGGTGTTACATGCCCAAATGATGACGTTAGATCATGCGGCAGGCTGTTCGGTATCAGCCACCCGTGCTGCATCGTCGTGCTTACAAGTACTCAGCACCTCGTGCCCTGTATGGTCAGAAGTTCAGGCGCAGGCAAGTATCTGTGTCGCTTTGCGGACAAAGAGCAGACGAAAGGCCTCGCCTCAGTTTCGCCGTTCGGGTGCGACCCAGCAGTCGACTGTCCGTGCTCCTGTGAAGGATCTGTTGGCTGTTGACGTGACCTTTGAGGCGGATTCCTCCGCAGTTCAAGCCCAAGGGTCGCAACCGTGTTGCCGGGCTTCTCGTCAGGCTTCGCAGCTACGCATTCTTATGCTAGCTCCTTCCAAGTCCCTGCATGCCTGACGTGAGCATATGGCATAGGGCTCATGAGCTCCGGGTCCTTGCATGTTTTGGAACGGGGTGAGTACACCAATTACAAGAGCAGGTCTGTAGCTCTACAGAAATCGCAGAACCGGCAGGATCAGGTGCTCGCAAGCGTCGTCCGGCCGTGTTGGCGCAATCTGTGTGATGTAGGCCTGTGCTGCAGTGATTCACGCAGTGTATACAGCAGAGATTTGTGGACGACTCGTGGCCGCAGAGGGCAGCCAGCCCCAATTTCTCTAAGCCGTCGTTTTCGTGCAGGTTGTGCTCAATTGCATTGCCCAGGTCAACTCAACGGAGATCCGGCACAGCAAGGCAGTGGATGGCTCATGCCTCATCCGGCAAGGCATCTACCACTTCTGCTGTGTTCTCTTGTGGCCTAAGACCTAAGCGGCTCTGTGAGCCTGGTATCACATACAGGAGATGTGCTAAAGCCAAGTCGCGACCTGTCTGGGCGCCAATGCTCGCAATTCAATCAGTCACTCTGGAGGGGCTGCTGCTGGCCTGCGAGCTTGACAGGGGTGCGGGCACGCGTCTCAACTCGCATAGAGGCTGGCAAGCTACAGGCCACGATGTGGAACTTGCATCCAAGTCAGAGTCGCTGGCTAGGCAGCCCGCAGCATACGACTTTTTCGGGTAATGAGAAATCCTCTGCAGACCACAACATCGCGATGTGGGAGGGCCTTTCGCCGGTGCTGCGCATCCCGGCCTGCTTTTGGTAGAGTGCAGTTGCTGACAGCATGCCTGTCAATTGCATCCGCAGACCTTAACATGCTAGGCTGGAAGGTGCGTGAACAGATCCTAATGTTCAGGATTGTTTAGCATATTGTGCATGTCAGGCTCTCCCGGCACGAGCCAGCCGTGGCTTCCACCTCATCCAGGGCCTTTTCTCGAAACTGTAGTCACTCAGTTTGTGGCTGCCGTCTCAATACGTGCTGCAGCATCAAGAATCAACACCCTACTGTTGTTCCTGAAGGTTCCCTGTAGTAGCAGCCGTTATTTTCATGCTTGAGCTGCAGAGAACCAGCGCAGCAGTCGCATCGGGCTTTCCTTCGGAATGAATTTGATGTCGAGGCCTCTCTCGCTTCGTCACCCGTAGCCTGTGGCGATCGATGGTGCAAGTGCTTGTCAGGAACTTTGAGACTCCGGCCACGATGTGGAAGTTGCGTACAAGTCAGAGGCGCTGGCTAGGCAGCCAGCAGCATACGACTTTTTCGGGGAATGAGACATCTTCTTCAAGCCACGACGTCGCGATGTGGGAGGGCCTGTCGCCGGTGCTGTGCATCCCAGCCTCCTTCCGGTAGAGTGCAGTCGCTGACACCCAAGAGGCCTACAATGGCCATACTTTCAGAGACTTCGATAGGCCCCTCTGCCTTGCCAGGCAGGAATTCGAATGCAGCTGGTGCAACAGGATCCCCAGCCTGGCAAGCAAACACCATAAACATGGTGTCGTTCGAAGAACTGGCACCAGAGCTTCGCAGAACCTGACGAAGATGTCGGGCAAGCCACCGCGGCATCTCACCGTCAGTGCGTATTCCTCGTCAGCACCGTTTCACAAGCAGAAAAGCAGATGCTGTTGTGTCGTGCGCATTTCTTCTTCTCTGCGTGTGATTTTCAGGTGCTTCGCGTCAAGCAGGTCCGGGCATTGACTGAAACTCATTGCAACAGCCATGATTGGTTCATTTTCTATGTTGGATCGAGCTGTGGAGAGAGAGACAGAGAGAGAGAGAGAGATAGTGATATATATATATATATACATACACAAGGGTGCCAAGTGTGAGGATCTGTGCGGCCTCGCTTCCACCGCGACCGAAGAGGCAAGTAGGCATATACTGATATTACATGACATGGGCCGAACAAGCTTGGGCGTGCGTGCGTGTCAACATCGCATTGCTTAGCTGCCTCTCTTTGCTCTTCGCCCCTGTAACCATAAGGAGTTCCGCGGCTGGGGTGTCGGTGGTTGCATGCAGAGGTTTTGAGTGTCCAGTTGTACCTCATTTCTTAAAGCTCGGGAGCTGAAACACTGCAAGGTTTATCCTGTGCAGTTTTCTCGACAAGTCGTAAAGTTTTTCAAAAAACCACAAAACCTATTTTTTTAAAAAAAACCTATGCAAGTCGCAAAGTTCGGACCAAGACGATCAGGCCTCGAACCTTGGGTCTTCTGGCTGTGCATTCGAACTGCTTCAAGTCGAGAAGGTCGTCATCTAAGCAGAGGTATTCAGAGACGCCCTCCAACGCTGAGTCGTGATGCATAATAAGTAGTAGTAGTAGTAGTAGTAGTAGTAGTAGTAGTAGTAGTAGTAGTAGCAGTAGCAGTTGTAATGGCGGTAGTGTAGTAGGAGGGGCGAGGCTCGTGGAGTTCCTGAAAGTAGAAGCACAATAAGCCTTGAGCCTGAAACTGCTTGCCCACCCACATACGTATAAAGCCTGTGCAAGCCATCGGTCGCTTGTAGCCGCAGCCCTTACAGTATACCACCGCATTCACATTTGCATGCTAGCGTTTTCTTGGCATACATCAGTCCCCGTTTCAAGCTTGCCGTTCTCATATTTCGACATCCATCAACATCCCGGTTTGTCTAGGTGTATTGTCCCTGAAGCTCCTAGCCGGTTGAGCTAAAGAGGAAAGGAGGGACCCTGGGCTATAGAATGACCTTGAATGCCAGGAAGCTTATTGTGCAAAAATCCTAAACAGTTAAATGCAGTAGTGAACTAGGTATCGATTTGGGATAGGTTTCAATTTCGATATAGAGCCCTAATCATACTCAGTTTTGCGGACGACACCTAGGCAAGGTTACCTACTGAGGGGTTGTTGGGCTCCTCCTTAGTGCTGCAGCGGATGTGCACGCGCGGCTGGCGCCTCGCAGACGCCTGGAGGTCAGACAAGACCTCAGATGGTGTTAGTTACAGTATAGGTTCCTCAGATCAGGGTGTGTTATAACTAAGGCTTTCCCAGGTTTTGGTTGAGGGATCTGGTGCCATTTCGGTGACTCTCGAGGTTTGCAGTTCGCAGCCAGCAAGTTGGAAACTCTAGACTTCCATTCCGTTGGACACCTTGATGCTATGTGCCCAGCCGCTGGTGTAAATCTCCCGTCCCACGTCAGAAGCTTGTCGTGATGAGCTTGCAGGGGACTTGGGTGATTGCATGATGACCTACTAGCGTGCAGCGTCTGCACTCTATGCCTCTATGCATGCCGCAGGACCATAGCCGCAAAAGTCCGAACTTGCACGTGTGCTGATCTTGGAATGCTTGTTTGTCTCGAGCCGCAGCTCAAATTTCCAAATGGATCGGTAGACTGAAATTTGTCCCTGCCAGCTTTCACCGGTCCACAGGATTCGAAAGCCTTCAATCCTTGACATGTTGCTCCGGCTACGCTTCAATCTTGGGCTGAAGCGGCCTGTGTCGGCACGTGAGTGGTTGCACAGGAGACCGGTTGGAACCAGGTTTGTGGATTGGAGTAGAGTTGATGTTAGGCACTACGCCAGATCCACGTGTGGACGCACGAATTTTGAGACAGCAATTTTTGGACACAAGAGCAAAATACTTCTTGCAGCAGCAACGGCTGCTTCATACTATGCTGGGAAAAAGATGCTTATCAAAAAGCTTCTCGTTATGGGGTACACCAGGGCCTTCGCCGTGTGTGGATTCATGAACTTTTCGACGCTCCTGGGCCCGATTGGAGAAATAGTCAATGTCATGCTCATGGCAGCAGCGGCTGTTGTGGCCGGCATTTTCATTGCTGTTCCGACAGAATATTTCGCCAGACGTCGATTGCAAAGGCAGGGCCTTGTAGCCTATGGCATGAGCAGAGACAGGGACTTGGCAAACTTTCTGATCAATGCCGATATTCGCTTGGTGCGATGCGAATATCTGAAGGAACTCCAAGCAGCCGGTCGATTGTTGCCACGCCGCCAAGAGGCAGAGAGGGAGACTTTACGCGATGGCCGAAGCGCTTTGGTTTCACCAGCGGAACTTTGGCGCTTGACATTTCATCCACAGCGTTTGAGTCTAGAAGGTGATATCTCCGATCGGGCAGCATTCCGCTTGCCGGGAAAACACGTTCGCATCGTGTCTGTGTCCCATGTTTGGGAATCACGCGAGCACCCAGATCCATGGGGGTTTCAGCTTCAGGAGCTATGCTCGCACTTGCGATGCATGGAAGCCGAAATCGCTGAACATGCAGGGTATGCCAATCATGAGACATGGGTTTTTGTGGATTTCACTTCTTTGCCACAGTACAAGCGAAACCCCGAGCAAGAAAAGAGTTTTGATCATTCAATGCAGCATATGCACTTGCTTTATGCGAGCGATGCTATATTTGATGTGATTCGCCTGGATCAGCTTACTCCCCGGCGAGTGAAATCGTGGCGTCCAGGAAAACTGGAGTTCTACAGTGATAAAGTTGGTGGCTATGAGGCACGGCCTTTTAATGAGCTGCTGTTGAACAGAACTCCTTATTCCTCCCGTGGGTGGTGTTGCGCTGAGGCTCAGTGGGCCGGCACAAAGTTTTGCATCACAGGGTTGGCACCAATGAGCCCGAAGCTATTCCAGCAGCGAGTTTCTGAAGCAAATGCTGACAAGGCTGCGGCAGTAGTATTTACACATCGTCCAGATGCGGAAACTGTGATCAAGTTACAAGAGTATGTCTTCCACCTCAAAGCCAAAGAGCGATGTCAGCTTGTACTGAACGAGCTGCCCACATCGGAGATTGATGTGCTTACTAGCGCTTTGCCTTTCTTCAGCAACCTGCAATATTTATCTTTTCGTCACTGCAACGTTTCAGCTGACAACATCTCAAGCGTTGTCGACGCAGTACAAGGTCTCAGCCGTCTCAGACGGTTACAGTTTCGCCACTGCAATCTTGGAGACCAGCAGGCGGCAGCACTGTTTGAGGCCATCACGCAGCGAAATCAAGTTTCTACGATGATCCAGAGCGTTGATCTGTCGGACAACAGCATCAGCAGCCGGGGTGCAAAGAAGATTGCAGGCTGGATCGTCCAAAGTGGGGTGAGGCATGTCGATCTCTCTCGCAACCGCATCGGCGACAGCGGCACGCGTGCAATTCTTGAAGCTAGCAGCAAGAGTGGGGCTGCAGTTTCGCTAGATGGTCAGGACTCCAGACTCCGATTGAGTCGAAAGAGCAATCCGCTTTTCTGCTTGTCACGATTTTCAGCCCACCTGAGTGGGGCCTTTGTTTTTGATTGCAGGTCTAGGATCTATCTGCAGTGCCCACACGCTGCACCACCTTCAGAAGCAGGGATGTGCGCGATTGATGAGCGAGTTTTGGTGTTTTCATTTTAAAACGCACGCTTTCCTCACAAGTAGGCTAGCGTGTATCGTTGTCAGACTCAGCTCTCGCCAGATGGAACATGGTGCAGCTATGCAGAGCTTCTGCCGCCATTGTGATGGGCACTGCTCCCACCTGTATGATGTTGGGACGCTTCATCACCCTTCTTATGCCTCCTGCAAAACTCGCTCAACTTCGTGGCAGGTTCTCCTCCTGGCCGGTGTCCTCAAAACCACGAGGCAGGGACTAGGAATCAAGCTGCTGCAGTCCCTGTACAGATTGTGTTTCAGGGCTAGGCCGACACCTTCGGTATCTCTTTGTGCACGCTCCTGGAGAAGCCGAATTCCAGATGCTTTCCCAAACCCAGAATGATGCCGTGCGTAGGTATTCAGCCGGAGGCTCGCAGGCTGTCTGACGATGACGCGATCATGTTGCACGGTACTGCGTGTCGGGAGGCATGCCACCGTAGAGGAAAGGGGCGCCCAACCAGGAACACTGCCAGGCTAAGCCTTCAACCCTTGACCATGCAAAACCCAATCGATTCAAAACCCCGGAGGGCATAAACCATACAGGTCTCCCTTCTGGAGGCCGTGCGCAGCCCAGCGGTCATGTTAAGTGGACGAACTCTCCGTGACTCCGTGTTTTGTCTCAAGCTTTTGCGACACAGGGGAGCTAGGGGCTCTTGAAACAGGCTTGCAAGGAACATGGTGGGACGATCCCTCTCTCTGAAGCCGTCCAAGACTGCAAGCAACCTCGAGCTGGAGACCCAATCTTACTATGGCATCTGGGTTTGCATTTTCAGCAAATCAGCAGGGATGGTGTAGGGGCCTTAAGGATGTTTATCATGTGGTCGGAGCTGCCTGAACCCTAACACCACAGGTATCCGCAGCGGATGGATGGCCGTCGGTGTTGTCTTCATTTCTGGTTTCTCCCTGATGGGCTTCACAGGCACGAACACTGCAATCTTGGGCTTCTCACAAGCCCCAAACCTACGCCCAAATCCTCCCCCCTTGATCGTCACGATTGCCGGTGGTGGTGGTGCCTTGTAGCATTCGTTGAGAAATCGTTGTGGTCATGCTACTTGTAGTTGTCGGTTGTACCAGAGCGGTGAAAGAGAGGCAAGATTATCTATGACAACGCTCCGCCCATTCCAACCTTTCGGCTGGAGGGTGATCATGGGGCGGTTCTGTGGACAAGCGAGGACTCTCTGGGAACCTACTTGGAGGTTCATGGGTACTTATAAGTGGGGTTATGAGTCCCCTAATATGGGTTATACTTATGGTTACCCTAGTTATAACCCCACTAATAACTACCCATGAACCTCCAAGTAGGGCTTTCTATGGTCTTAGGCTCTACGGGTTGTAGCATACTGTCGGCTCAGCGCCTTTAACTTAAGGGCCCTTCAGGACTCTGGGGTGGTTGGGTTTAATGTTGTGAGTCCCATGCCCTGGCCAGGACGTGCTGGAGGGACAGCAGATGCTTGCCATTCGTGAAAGTACGGCATTGCATCGTTTTGGTAAGCACTCATTGTAAGCTGCTCTGCCTATCGTCGAACATGGCCATTTTCCCTCCTTTTTGTGTTGTGGTGATCTGTGTTACCACTGCATGGTTACAACTGTATTATACTAGATCATAAGACATTATTTTAAAATGTATTATACTTTATTATACTATATCAGACCTCTATTCTTCGATCGTAGATTCTCAGACCTACATCCGCGACGCGAGACTAGAAGCCCCAAGCCCCGGTTCGTATAAGGAACCCCAATAAAGGCCCAAGGTTTCCTAATCATGCTCCTACATTAATCAACCCCAAAACCCTAAAGCCCACGCATGTCACTGAGGATCTGGCAGTCCATTGGTGGCCAACAGATGGGCTCTGTCTGGGGCCATGGGGCCTTGCAGGCCCGGGAGAAAGCCTGAGCCGTCTCGTGTTTCAGTGTCTAGGGGCCCGAGGGTATCCGAGGGTAAGGGTAAAACCTCACACCTACACCCCAACAGCCTAAAGCTTGGAGCCTAAACCCTAAGCCCCAAACCCTAAACCCTAAGCCCTAAACCCTACACCCTAAAGCCTAAACCCTACACCCTAAAGCCTAAACCCTAAACCCTAAAGCCTAAACCCTAAACCCTAAAGCCTAAAGCTTGGAGCTTTGGGTTTCGGATGTCAGGCTCCAGATTGGTCAGCGGACTGGCTGCACCGCGAGGCAGGGAGACGATAACTTCGGTTTAGGGTTTAGGGTTTAGGATTTAGGGTTTAGGGTTTAGGGTTTAGGGTTTAGGGTTCAGGGTTTGGGTTTAGGCTTTAGGATTTAGGGTTTAGGGTTTAGGGTTTAGGGGAGGGTTTCTGTGGCTGCGCTTCCTTGTAGGAGGGACAGGCCGCAGAGGGCGGAAGTTTCGCGCCGGCTTCTTCTCGGCAATCCTATCCCTGAATCCTATACCCTAAACCCCAAAAGGCCACTACACATTTAAACAAAAACCATGATCCTCAACTCCAACCGGGATCGCTGGGGTCTTGGGACTCGAGCTCACCCCGAGCGACACCAAAAGCGGGGGCCTCCGACAGAAGGCAGTGATGACCCTGGAGCTGATGGGATCGGACAAAGCGAGCTACATCAAGCGTGCCGGTTGAGATTTCAGAGCTTTAGGGCTTCGGGCCGTTTGGGCTTCTGTTGTGGAAGTCTAGGGTTTGAGAGCCTACGTAGTCTTCACTGTGGTGCAGGCAGGCTGAGACAGACACGAGGTAATGAGAATCAGGCGCACGTCTCTGTCTAGCCACAATGGAGATCCATGCAGTTAGCATCAGATCTAACAACATGCACACACAAACACACAACAGCACGCGTGCTCCCACATAAATACATACAGTCACACGTTCATACGACTACGCATACATGCGGGTCACCGAAATTGCAGAGTTCCATGCGACATGTGCTCCAGGCCCCAGGCCCTGTAAATGCATGACGTATGCTCGTATGTGCGCACGTATGCACGCATGCACGCGTGTATGTCAAAGTATGCACGTCCGTCTGTCTGTCTGTCTGTCTGTCTGTCTGTCCATAGATACCTGCATACCCTGCACAGCAACAAAGGAGACAAACATGCAGGCTCCTCCCTAAACCCTGTAAACCCTGAGAGCCCTAGACCCAAGGCATGTGCGCAAGAACACCTACGACCCCGAGACCAACGAGGTTCGCATTGGTCATGAAAGGGCCAAGGCCGGCCCGGGGGCAAAAAGGAAGAGGTCTGCATGTGGGTGATTGTCAAAGTTAGGGTCCTTTTTTGGGGTACCCTAAATAGTAGGTGCCGGATTATAGTAGGGACCGAAAAAGGGACCATAATTTTGACAACTACTCATGTAGAGTTTAAGTTCAGGGTTCTAGGGTTCAAGGGATACTTGTACAGGTACTATAAGGGAGCTACAGTGGTGCTATGCGCTTAGGGTATGCTCAGAAATCCGGCCCTGGTGGGTTAAAGTTGTAGCTGGGTTCTTGTTAAGAGATTTTAATTAAGTTGCTATAATAGGGATCTATAGTAAATCACATAGTCTCCTTATTATGGTAGCTTAGATTTTATCATCCCTTAACAAGAACCCAAAAGTTGTAGGGATCCTTCTCCTCCCGGGCTCATAGAAGGCAGATGTCCCAGACTAGGAAGGGTTTCCATATGAAGAACACTAAGCCCCCAGTATAGATACTAAATACTACGTAGGTACATGGAGCCTTATACACGCAAACAGGGGTTCTGAAGACTCCAAGCATGTTGGCGTCGCGAGATGGGAAGTCTAGTCGAGTTTCGGGACCTCGTTGCTTTGAACCGTCAGCAACACAGGTAGTACCCCTTACAGCCCTAAACTCTAAACCCTTTACCCTAAACCCTCAACCCCTAAACCCCAAGCCCCTAAACCCTTAAACCCTAAACCCTTGAACCCCCAAAGCCCTACAGCCCTAGCGCCAATCCCGCAAACCCTGCCAGGTGCTGCGCAGGCTCACGCGCTTCTACGTGGCGCTCTTCACCGGGGCCTCGGAATCCCCGGAGGCCCAGCCTGAAGCTAAGTAGCGGAGGAGTAGGAGGAGTAGTAGTAGTAGTAGTAGTCGTCGTAGTAGTAGTAGTCGTAGTCGTAGTCGTAGTTGTAGTCGTAGTCGTAGTCGTAGTCGTGGTGGTAGTAGTAGTAGTAGTAGTCGTGGTGGTAGTAGTAGTAGTAGTAGTAGTAGTCGTCGTAGTCGAAGTCGTAGAGTAGTAGGAGGAGTAGGAGTAGGAGTAGGAGGAGTAGGAGTAGGAGTACGAGTAGGAGGTAGTAGTAGCCGTCGTCGTCGCAGTCTTAATCGCAAGAGGAAGAGTCACAGTCAGACGTGGTGGCAATGTCCAATATTACATAATGCTGCTGAGAATTGTCGCGTCCATCGTGGTGTTGGTGGGTAAGCATCATTGTGGCGGCAGTGGTGGTGGTGTAGGGTGGCGGTGGCAGCACTAGTGGCGGCTTCAGCAGCCGTAACATGAGTAGTTGCAAACCGCCTTAACAGGAGCTGTGCCTGCTACGGGTGCGGCAACGAAGCAAGCTCGTAGCTCGAGTGTACGAGCATACTGAGGGTACCCGAACAGACTGCGACTGTCTGGTCTTAGTAGGGATTGTGGGGACTACTATTGGGGATTATATCGGGACTACTATAGGGATCCATTCTCACCCCATTCCCTACTAAGAACCAGGGAGGCGAGCAGAAGGCAGACGACTCCGGTCTGTTTCTTCAGGGGTGTAGACTTGGGACCCTGCGGCAGCCTTGTCCTTTTTCATGGTTCCCCCCGAAGATAAACAGACCGGCTAGTAGACCTTCTTAAATAATTCCTACTAAGGGATATAGGTATAGGGCTCTGTCTATTATTTCTAAAAGGACAAGGGTGCCCTGCGGAGGTGGAGGATCTCCCAAAGCTGCGGAAGTTGTTCCAGGTGAAGGACGGGAAAAGCGGAGCTTTCTTCTTGAAAGGAGTTGATGAAGGGATGACAGCAAGGTGACTGCGGGGTTAGATGATACTACTTGGAGGACCATGAGACTGAGACCTAGTAAGTAAGGTTATATGTACCTTAAATGGGGTTATAAGTATAGTTACCCTAATTATACCCCTATAGTTACTAGGTCCCATGATCCTTTAAGTAGCTTCATAGGAAGCCACAGATGTGGCGCTGCGAGGACGTGGCTTTGTACAGCAAGGAGAAGGCCGAAAAGATGGCTGGCTTCGTCTTCTGGTCTTCTTGGGCCTGCGTCACGGAGCGCCCCGGTGAGAGCCACACCTACACCAACAACTGGCCACAGGAGCCCTAAACCCTAAACCTTGACCTTAAACCCAAACCCCTAAACCCCTAAACCCTAAACCCTAAACCCCACCAACAACTGGCCACAGGAGCGCCTGGTGGGCAACACCGTCTCGCCCGAGGCTCGAGGCTTCAAAACCGCGAACCCGAAGCCTTGAGCATCTCCTGAGGCCTACACGCCGACCCGATCCCCGCCCCCCAACTTCATAGTGAACTCGAAACCCCACCTCTACCACGTAACTGCGGAGAGGACCGCTGGAGCTCGAAGCTTCCCCGAAACCCCCAAAACCATACAACCCCAACCCTAAGGCCTTAAAAGCCCTCAAGCCCTAAACCAGGTGATCGTCGCTTATCGTCACCCTTGTGGCAGCCCCTTACAGAAACCCTGATAAAGAGCCCTCTTTTCAAGGAGCCACCCCAAAAAGTACCAAAAGCACCTTAAACCCTAAGCCCTAAACCTTAGACCCTAAACCCTAAACCCTCAACCCCAAACTCTAAACCCTAAACTCTCAACCCTAAAGAGGTGATCGTCTGGTCCTTGGCCTCCCTGGCTCTCCTGGTCTTCGGCATTGGGGCCCTGGCCTGGGTGCGCTCGGTGCACCACAGCGAGCAGGGGCAGCTGCCAGCTCCCCTGGAGGAGCCTGGCTAGGGTTTAGAGGTTCCTTTAGAAGGTGCCATTTAGAAGGTGCCATGAGGGTTCCTTTAAGAGATCTAGAGAGGTTGCAGCTACCAGCTCCCCTGGAGGAGCCGTTTTCTCATTTAAAGGGGTCCTTTTTTGTGAATGGGTTTAGGGTTTTGGGGTTTTGAGTTTTTAGGGTTTTTAGGGTTTTTAGGGTTTTAGGGCTTTAGGGTTTGAGGGCTTTAGGGTTTAGGGTCTGGGTTCAGGTGAGCTCCCCTGGAGGAGCGATTTTTTGTTTTAGGACTTTGAGTCTAGGGCTTAGAGCTCGTTTGGAGCTCAGCTGGTTTCAGAGTTTAGGGGTTTCAGGGTTTTGGGGTTTGCAGTTTAGGGTTCACGCTTCAAAGCCTTAAGGGTTTCGGGCTTGGTGTTTATGGTGGAGGCTTGTCTACTCCTCCTCAGGACCCTTTGAAGGACTTCGTGGTGACGCCCTCCATGGCTTCCATGGTGAAATGGGTTTACATCGTCTTCTTCTTGAGCGGCTTCCAAATCTGCCTCGGGGTGTACACGATCCACCTGACAATTGAGGGCAGCATGGGCTACTGTAGGGGGCGGAATAATTAGGAAGTCTCTTCCTGCTTCTAGTCGCTGGTGTAGATCCTAAGGCAACATGGGCTACCCCAACTGGCTGACGCAGCACATCACCTACACTGTTGCGCGCACCTGGCACACGCAGTCTGCAGTCTTCGCGATTGCCACCAGCTTCCTTGCAGCAGGCTTGTTCCTGGCGCCGGCCATTGGTGGCCGAAAGGAGGATCCTCCGCTGTGGCTGGGCTAGAAACTTCCTGAGAGCCAAGACATCGTAGTTTCAACCCGGCTTCTAACTTCAGGGGCACGTTTGTGACTTTCTACGAGCCTGCCAGTGCGTAGCTTTTTGATGGCGATTAGAAGACCACACGGAAGAGCCGGAGCGTTTCGTGACCGACATCGTGCATTCCAGTACCAGTTATAACATTCGAGCGTGAGCAGTAGCAGATAAGAATCAAGCCTTGCACCAGATCTAGCAACGAAACGCCCAAAACTGTGCCAAGCAGTGCGAACTCAGCTTTAGAAATCGAGTCTTGAGTGCGGTAATAGTATCTGCCTCTGGGCAGCAGGCAGAAGCCTCTCTGCAATTTCCTCTTCTTGTGCTTGCTCGTGATCGTCGGGGGCTCTATGGCAGGGCAGGTGGCGGCCATCACCCAGAGTTTCGAAAGCCTCCTTATGAGCCAGTGGTTCGGCCATCAGGGCTACGAGTACGTGGAGCTGGGGCGTTTTTACCAATACTTCCTGCTGGTGGGCTTGCTTTTGTGGTTGCTGCTTATGGTGAACGCAATCCATCCGGCTCTGCGTGTCTCCAGCTTCTCCTCCCAAGATGCCCGAGGAAAGTGGCACCTCGTAGCAAAAGGGGCCTACATAATAATTCCCTACTGTACACTATTTTGGGGGATCCTTACTAGAATTATAGCATAATGGGCCCCAAAACCCTATTCTACTTATTGAGGCACCTCGTTGTCACCATCACTTGCGCAGCCGTGCTCATCTCCTTCTTTTGGGCCTCGGGCTTGATGTACAACGCGAAGTCCAACTTGGCGGTCATGGACTACTGGCGCTTTTGGATCGTCCACATGTGGGTCGAGGGCATCTGGGTTCTTGCTTAGGGATTTAGTTTGAGTTTAAGTTACCAGAATAAGGAAGCCATACCCTTTTCTGTAGATCCCCATGATGGTAACTTAAAAACCAAATTCCTTAACCCTTAAACCCTTATAGATCCATTAAAGGAACCCGTATAGATGCCTCAATCTCTTAACAAGAGCACCAGTAATGGCCGTAATGATTAGAATAGGGTTTTGGGGCGCATTATACCATAACTTACAAGCTATAGATCCTAAACCCTAAACCCTAAGATCCCTATTATGGTAACTTGAACTAAAGTTTTTTTTAAGAAGAGTTCAGAAAATTCTTATAGATTTTTAAGGGAATCCGGATAGATCCCTTAAGCTAAAGTCCCTTATAACAAGAGCCCTATTCCTATTATTATTATTATGGAAGCTTAAAATATCATTTTCATTTTATTATTATCATTTTTATATTATTATTATTATTATTATTATTATTATTACTATTATTACTATTATTATTATTATTATTATTATTGTTGTTATTGTTATTGTTATTATTATTATTAGTATTAGTATTAGTATTAGTATTATTATTGGTATTGGTATTAGTATTTTTATGGAAACTTAAAATATTGTTATTGTTATTGTTATTGTTATTATTATTATTATTATGGAAACTTGAACGTTAAAGTCCCTTAAGAAGAAGCCCCCGAGGCATCTTCGAGGTCTTCATCACCGTCGTGGTGGCCCAGGTCTTCGTGATGCTCGGCGTCCCTTACCATTGGTTAGTATAGGGAAGGGAGGAATGGGGCTTAGGGTTTAGGGTAGAAGGGTTTAGGGTAGTAGGGTTTAGGGGTTTAGAGTTTAGGGTAGTAGGGAATGGAGGAATGGGGTACAATTATAACTACTATGACTACCATTCTTCCATTACCTATTAACCAATGGTAAGGTCTTGGACCCCTCGGCCGCCGCCGGGGTCACGCTCTTCACCAGCGGCACCTTCCTCTTCGGAGGCATCGTTTAGGGTTTAGGGTTTAGGAGAGCACCTTCCTCTTCGGAGGCCAAGGGGGGGTTTAGCCTATGGGGGTTTAGTAGGGATTCGGGTTCCCATAATAGGGTTCATATTAAGGAATCCCTACCCCAAGAATCTTAAACCCCCCTTTTGGCCTCCCCTTACTTCCTCTTCGGAGGCATCCCGGGCATGTACCACCACAACTACTTCGCGGGCACCCCGTCCATGATCATGGCCGTTGGCGCCTGCTTCTCCTGCCTGGAGGTCTGCCCTCTGGCGCTCATGGGCATGGAGGCGAGGCTGGTTCTTGGGGGTCCTTATAATAAGGATCCTACTATTTAGGGTACTATATTAGGGTCCGAGGTGGTTTGTCTGATTCTTTGTAAAGAATGGGGAAATGGATTATGGAGACTACTATGGGGGATTATGTCGGGACTACTATAGGGATCCATTCCCACCCTAAACCCTCAAACCCTACTACCTTAAACCATAAACTCTAAACCCTAAACCCTAAACTCTAAACCCTAAACCCTCCTAAGCACCAGAGAGAGGCCAGTGAGTACATCGCCCTGGAGAAGGCCGCCAAGAAGCCCGAAAGCTCGTGGCTCATGAAGTACCTTACCTGAATGGAGGAATGGGGCTCACGGTTTAGGATAGTAGGGTTTAGGGGTAGTAGGGTAGAAGGGTTTAGGGTAGTAGGGTTTAGGGTTTAGGGTAGTAGAGTTTAGGGTTCAGGGTTTAGGGTAGTAGGGTTTGGGGTGTAGGGTAGTAGGGAATGGAGGAATGAGGTACAAGTATAACTACTATTGCTACCATTCTTCCATTCCCTACTAACCAAAGCTAAGATATAAGCCCATCATCGACTGCTTCATCTATGTGGCCTTCTGGAACTTGGTGGGTGCGGGCTTCCTGGGCTTCATCATCAACCCTCCGATCTCACAGTACTACATGATCGGCGGATACCTCACTCTTTCCCATAGCCACGGTGCGCTCTGGGGCGTCTATGGCGTTCTGGCAATAGCCCTTAGCTTGCTTGTTCTGCGCCTGTCGGACATCAAAGCCCAGTGGGACACCAGGTGGGTGTGTATGTTCACTCACGTTAAAGGAGTTTTCGAAAGAAGCCTTGATCCAATATGGAAGCCTGGATGATGTCGAACAGTATTCCATTGTAGGGTTCCTCCTCATAATTCTAGTAAATTCGACCCGCCCCCACCACCCCGTTCCAATATTAAGCCCCTTATACTAGATAAGCCTACAGGTGGCTGGATCGCGGCCTGAAGTTCATGAACGTGGGCATGATGCTTCAGATCTTCTTGTCCATCTTCCCCGTTGGCATCTATCAGTTCTGGCTCTCCGTGAACAACGACCGACGCCCATAGCATAGGGGCCCTAAGAATTAGAGTAGGATGCCTTTTTGGGATCTCTTATAGTAGCATTGTAAGAAGGAGCCCTAAGGAATAGTATTACTTACTATTCAGGCTTCTTTCTTAACCCGAACCCCTGAGACGCAGCATGAACCCTTAACTGCCCCAAAGCCCATGGCTTGAGACCCGAAAGCCCCTAAACCCTAAACCCTAAACCTTGAACTCTAAACCCTAAACCCCTAAAGCCTCAAAACCTTCAGAACCCTAAGCCCTAAACCCGAAACGCTAAACCCGAAACCCCGTAATTCCAACCCTAAAACCGAAGCCCGAGAGGATTACTGGTACGCTCGCAGCGAGAATTTTCATGGAGATCCCACCGTCCAGTGGATGAAGCTGGGGCGAAGACCTTTGGTTGCATTCAGACCCAAAGCAGCAAGCTGCAAACCTCAAAGCCCCGCCCCAAACCCGTTGAGCACAAGAATCGAAGCTGCAACCCCCACACTCTAAAGCTTGAAGCCTGAGACTGAATTCTACATCCCTAAACCCGAAACACCGAGACCTTCAAGCGAACCCGAAGCCCCCCGAAACGCCCTGAACCCTCATCCCATAAAGACTTAAATCCCCACCTAGGTTTGGGTGACGCGATCTTCGCTTTTGCGATGCTCATGGTGCTGTGGTTCGTGTTGAAGGACGGTTCAGTGTTTATTTACGGTTCAGGTGCGGGGCTCGGGATACAGGAAGGCTTCCCGGCAATTAAGAGCTTGCTTTCTTATGATGACATACCTGTATATGCAAAGTTTATGAAGACGTACATGCACAGATACATACCTACATACCTACGTACGTACGCATGTCCGTTTGTGCATGCACCCATACGTACAGACATACATACAGACGGTCACCCCCCCCCCCCCCAAGATCTACATCCGCCTCTTCCACACAATTCCACAGGTTGCTTCTCTACATTGGTCGACTACTCATATATGCCGAAAACACCGTAAATTCCGATACAATTGTGCTTTACTCCATGTGCATGCAAACAGTACTGCTACAAGTCGCGGGTTTGATATGTGTAAAAGTCTGGCGCCGAATCTCGGCAGCAGATTTATGGTAGTTTATATGTTGGAGAAGCTGAAATGCTGGAGGGCGTGCTATTTTTGTTCAGGTAGTACTAAAAAACCTCGTGTTTTTTGCGTTTTATGGTGTGTTATTTAACGACATTCCTCTAATAATGAAAATACTATTGTCTTTCTTACGAGAACGTCTGTGTGCGTGGGCCATCTCTTTCCCGCTGCTCGTGAGCGTCCGATTCTGATGCGGCCTAATAGCTCTAGCATTTGATTTTTGAGTTACGAAACACAATGAACTCCTTTCATGTCTTGTCCGTAAAACATGGAGGAAGTCGAATATACGGGCGCATTTATTTTTGAAGCAATACTCCAATAGTTGTTTTTTGCCTCATAAAAAATGGGAAAGCTCCCTTGGAGTTGGAAAATTCATGTGCATGTGCGGGCGCACAAGAAGGCTCGTCTGCAGCAAGAAGTAAGAGAGCTCTTGCAACCTTCCAAACATGAAGCAGGACTAGTTACGACTGGCTGCATTGATACGTATCAATCACAAGGCAGGGGCTCCTTAACCTTGTAAAACAAAGTAAAATGGCACTTCATGGAAGAAAACTCCTCTTTATGTTGTGAGTCGATATTAAAGGCAGTCATGTGCATAGCAATCGCTATCTATTTTTGAGGGTACTCATTTGGGCCATTCGGTTAACTCTTATTGATGATGCTGTCCTATACCCCGGAGAAGATGCCGATCGCTATGTCCATGGCTGTTTCTCTAATTGCTGTCATAGAACGTAGCGGAAAAAGTAGCTCTCTTCAATCTTCAAGCGACACTCCCCAGATGTGATCGAGAAACAAACAGAAGCTTGCTTACTGGTATCTTTTATTAAACGGGCAAGAGGCATAAGACTTGTATCGGTTTCTACACCTCCCTCACATCCTGACAAAGCGATACCGGTCCTTCTGTATGTGACTGTGGTTTAAACGCTGTCATAGTTCGTATCACAACATGAAAAAGAGCTCTCTTCAGTCTTCAAAGACTACAGGTGACATCGTAGAATTCTCTTCTGGGTTAGCAGGAATCTTCATGTCTCTTGCTTGATAGGTATGAGGATGTCTCATAGGAAACCGAATAGGAAGTCTCCATTGTTTCTGATGATAGCAAGATGCAAACAGTTTCCCACAGTCTTCAACATGAAATGAATTAAGTTCTAGATAGGCTTGCGCTGCTACAGTGATGGATCTGTAGGCGGTGCAGCTTGCCGAAGAATGGCCAAAACCATTTTCGAGAAAGCTCAGGTACTGGGGCCAGTGCTGCTGGTGCCATAGATCTACCAACCAACGAAAACATATATGAAATAAACTATGCAACGACTAGGCCTTTTTCATACTTACCAAACAAGAGTAATGAAAACCGTTGTTGTTCCAGAAGACACATAAATCATTACTTCCAGTCCTTGACAACGGTTGAAAGCACAATTATCTTGTGATGCAATATATCCTGTCCTGGACATCAGAAAACACTGTGATGCTCAAAAAACTTCCAAAATTTCCAGCCCTGAAACTCACGAAACACTGTACTGCTCAAAAAAATCTCAAAATTCCAAAATTCTGGCATCTATGGCCAGGCCGGGGGCAGATTCCTTAAAAGTTTGGAATTTTTTGAGCATAGCAGTGTTTCGTGCGTTTCAAGGGTTGGAAAAGTTGATTTTTTTGAGCATTACATGTTTTGTGCGGTTGAACCGCACCTCGTCCGGGTGGATTTCCATGGCTTCGTGTGCGGCAAGATTTCAATAGGCTTGGAGTCACACTTGATTGTGCACAGGTGCACACCCATCACATATCGCATGTCCCTCTTCACTAGACCCTCTCATAAACACTCACTCGCTCAAGATTTCGGCTGTGGGAGAACGAGACGGACCAGGCGGTTTTGGTTTTTGGACCAGCATCACCAGGTTTGGGGGCGGACAAGACACGCGCATCATGAGCATCAGCGGTGCTGCTTGGCAGTGCAATAACTGGAGCCGCTACCCCATGACCTCGTTGTTGAGTGGTGCATTAAGCAAATTCACTTCTTTTTGACCATGATCAATCTCAAATCTGACCAGGCGGCTTTTGGTTTTAGTTTTAGGACCAGCCCCGAAGCCGACTGATGCTCATGAGGCCACGGCTGATGCTCATGTTTCTACACGTCCTCGAGTTTCCAGATTCCAGATTTGCAGGATAAGTTCCAGATTCCAGATTTCCAGATTTGAAGGCTCTAGGTTTTCAGATTCCAGATTCCAGATTTCCAGATTTGCAGGATAAGTTCCAGATTCCAGATTTCCAGATTTGAAGGCTCTAGGTTTTCAGATTCCAGATTCCAGATTTCCAGATTTGCAGGCTCTAAGTTTCCAGATTCCAGATTTTCAGATTTGCAGGCTCTAGGTTTTAGATTCCAGATTCCAGATTTCCAGATTTGCAGGCTCTAAGTTTCCAGATTCCAGATTCCAGATTTCCAGATTTGCAGGTTCTAGGTTTTCAGATTCCAGATTCCAGATTTCCAGATGTGCAGGCTCTAAGTTTCCAGATTCCAGATTCCAGATTTCCAGATTTGCAGGCTCTAGGTTTCCAGATTCCAGATTTCCAGATTTGCAGGCTCTAAGTTTCCAGATTCCAGATTTCCAGATTTGCAGGCTCTAAGTTTCCAGATTCCAGATTCCAGATTTCTGGAAATCTGGAAACCTTAGGGTGAGCAAATCTGGAAATCTGGAATCTGGAATCTCTGGAAACATAGTGCCTGCAAATCTGGAAATCTGGAATCTGGAAACCTAGAGCCTGCAAATCTGGAAATCTGGAATCTGGAAACTTAGAGCCTGCAAATCTGGAAATCTGGAATCTCTGGAAACATAGTGCATGCAAATCTGGAATCTGGAAACCTACGTACTGCAGAAGGCCGGAAATCAGGAAATCCAGACTCCGAAAACCTGCAGACGTAGATCTTGGGGGGGGGGCGAGCATACAGACATACATACAGACATACATAAAACTCAGTACTCATACGTGTACACATGCATACAAATGTGTACACATGTGTACACATGTCATGTCATGGTCTGTCCTGCCGCGTTAGGCTCGGCTAGGATGCATGCATGTATGCATGCATGCAATCATGCATGCAGGGATGGATGCGTAGATGAACGGGTGGGTGGCCAGGTGGGTGGGGTGGATGGGAGGATGTATGCATGCACGTATACTTGTCTGCATTTACAGGTGTACGTGCGTATGTGTGCATGCATGTATCTTTGGACGCTCTTAACATACTTGGAGGTTTCATAGGTAGCTATAAGTGGGGTGATAAGTCTCTCAATATGGGTTATAACTATGGTTACCGTACTTATAACCCCACCTATAACTATCCATGAACCTCCAAGTATGTAAGTTGAAAGTTTTTTTGTTACTTACTTGCTGCCCGCGAAGCCCCGAGGACTTCCTGCGCCGTGCCTTCGGAGTACGCAGTGCGTCTGCTGGGGAGCCACTCCTCAAGTAGAGGGCACAAAGCGTCGGAGGCTCTCGAAGGGCATCGAACAGGCTCCTCCTGTAGCTCTGAGTGAGCTCTGCAGGATTCAAGTGCCGATGCCATGTAGGAGTTCTGTGGCCAGTCGCTCTTCAAACTAGTGTAAGCCAACTATCTCCGCAAGGGAGGAATCGACAGCAGAATACAGCATGCGATTTCCTTCATGCGTGTACAGATGCACCATGTCTGGTACTGCCGACAAGAGACATGCTTAAGTTGCTCTGATCCTTTGTTTAAGCTAGAAAGGTCAGAAGGGACGGTGAATGCTGGCAACACTCGTATATGCCGGACAAGTCGGACAAGCAGAGTTGCACGCAACCTTTTTGTTAATCAGATATCATATTTGCTGGTACCGTGTATACATACCTGAAACTGGGGCGAACAAGTTCTTAGTTGGTTAAGCCACCTTTCCTGGGGTTTTGATTTGGTTTTGCCATCGCTTCTGTGTTGCCCTGCCATTACGTTGCACAATCTCCAAGTGGTGTGGGAGCATGCCGTGGCAGACTGCTACATGAAGCACCGAGGAAGACACGAGTTCCTGCGTTTAGTGCAGTTACACTTGATATCACCTGCACCTGTTGAACGCGGATTGTGCTAGTGACTGCGGAGACAATGAAGATGGTAGACAGCTGTGAACCCAAACCCTCAACTCTAAACTCTAAACCGGCACGCCAGCTTCCCTCTGATACACATGAAGGCTTTGAATGAGTCAGCGCTTGTCCTGTGCGCAACTCACGGGCCACGGAGAAAGCTTGGCATACGGGTTTTACTAATTAAGACTAGTGCCACATGCACCAAAGACCTTACTTCAGGTGGAATTTGGGGTTCCTCTTATGAGGAGATCAGAACTATGGAGAGCCCTACTAGTGGCAAAGAGCAGACAGGCATCAGAAGGACTTAGCAGGAGACACGTCGCTCGGAATGTGAGCGGGTCACCGCGCCGGGTCCGTAATTAGACCAGCACAGCTGACTTATAGGACCTCACAAAGTGGGTCAGTGGAAGCGCCCAAGGTGGTCAGGGGGGACCTCGGCCTCAGTTTGGGAAGATGCTTCGAAGTATAAGCTTTATTGGTACAGCAGCCTCCCGTAGAGAAACTGAGTGCTGCGGCTGAAAAAGGGTGTGCCATGGCAGATGGGTCTGAGCTAGGGGCTGCACGACTGGACATCTAAAAAAGTCTCCCGGACATCTTGGAAGTGATGATAGATCCACTTGTGAGGCCAGGTGGCAAGGTCGACACAACCGGTGCAGAATGTAGACAACGATCTAGTCAATCTCGATCCTAAACCCCTAAACCCCTAAACCCCTAAAGCCCTAAACCCCTAAACCCTAAACCCCTAAACCCCAAACCCCTAAACCCCTAACCCCTAAACCCTAAACCCCTAAAGCCCCAAAACCCTAAACCCCTAAACCCTAAACCCCTAAACCCCTGCCCCCCAAACCTCTAAACCCCAAACCCCTAAACCCCTATACCCTGAAGCCCCAAAACCCAAAACCCTAAATACCTCGAACCCTGAATCTGAGCCTTCCACCTTACCTTACTTGGAGGATCAGCGGATTTAGTAAGTATGGTTAGAAGTGCCTTAATTGGGGTTATGAGTATAGTTGCCCTGATTATAACCCTAGTTCCTAAGTCCCATGATCCTGTCAGTAGACCCTATAAATCCACTCTTATACTAGAACCCCTGTAGATCCCCTTTAAGGGAGCCCTTTAAAGTATAACCCTAGGTTACTAAGTCCCATGATCCTCTAAGTATACCCTATAAGCCCCCTCTTATAACAGAACCCCTATAGATCCCCTTTAAAGGAGCCCTTTAAAGTATAACCCTTTAGCTACGAAGTCCCATGATCCTGTAAGTAAACCCTATAAACCCCCTCTTATAAAAGAACCCCTATAGCTCCCCTTTAAAGGAGCCCTTTAAAGTATAACCGTGTAGCTACTAAGTCCCATGATCCTTTAAGTATACATCCTAAACTCCATAGCAGGCCGAAGCCCTTAGGGGGGCCTTAATGGTTGCCTTTACTATTTGGGAATTAGAGTAGGGTTCCTTTAAAGGGGGTTACTATCAGGGTTCCTTTAAGGGATCTATAAGGCTTAGGGTATAGGGGCCTTAAGACGTAGAATAGGGTTCCTTAAACAGGTTCCGTTTAAAGGGTCTGTTTTGGGTACCTTAAGGGCTATGATAAAGATTTAGTATAGGGGCCTTAGATAAGCAGAACAGGGTTCCTTTAGCGGGGACTGGAAGGGTTCCTTTGAGGGATCTATTGGGTTTAGGGTTTAGGGTATAGGGGCTGTAATAGATACCTTGACTATCTTGGGGGTTCCTTAGTATAACTAGGGTATCATGGCCCCCAAAACCCTGACTCCGAAACTCCGGACATGAAGGCAGCTGAACCTCGACACCCCAAAAGCCTTAATAATGTAGGGGCCTAAATAATTACCTTTCTTACTATTCTTGGGATTCCTTGTTATACTTATACCATGATGGGCCCCAAAACCCGGTTCGATTATTTGTTTCCCCTACATATGATACTCTTCACTAGGCGCCGTGGCTTCCGCGCTTGCCTACGCCCGCGAAGATCCGGCCCCGAGGTCGGACTGTAGGCACTTGGAGGATCATGGGACTTAGTAAGTAAGGTTATAAGTACCTTAATTCGGGTTATTAGTATAGTTACCCTAATTATAACCCCAGTTACTAAGTCATGATCCTCCAAGCAAGGGTATGATTGCAGCGTCTTGGCAGTATGTATCCTACTTTTGTGTTAGGTTTAGGGTCTGTATATAGGTTTCGGGTCTAGGTTTTGGGAGCGATCCTACTATAGTGTGTTAGGTTTAGGGTTTTTTTGCATATGTACATACACGTTTCGGGTCTAGGGTTTGGGAGCGATCCTACTACACGGCCCTGGCTTCTCTGCCCGGCCAATGCCACAGAGTCGTCCTAGAAGGGTTTAGGGTTTAGACGGTTTAGGGCTTAGGGTTTAGGGTGTAGGGGCCACAGAGTCGTCATAGAAGGGTTTGGGGTTCAGGGTTCAGGGTTTAGGGTTTGGACGTTTTAGGGTTTAGGTCCAAGCTTCCCGAAACGGTAACTTGTGGATGCAGACAGTTGATTCTTATTGGGGTGTTTTGCGATGCTATGGTTGCGTGAGGGTGGGCGTCTGGGCGCGTCGGGCGTATACACTCTCTTCGTTTCTTACTTAGAGATTGCAAACGCAATGCCACTGCAGTGGCTTGTCGCATTTCTCGCTCTTACTGTCCTGCTTGCTGGTGTTGTCACTACTCGTATCCATGGTCTTTGCGAGTCGCCAGTCTCCATGGTGGTGTTGATTGGCCAATGTTCGTGAAGCTGATCGTAACCATAATGCGCCATGACGAAGAAATGTCAGGGACAATGTTTGAGCTGATTCTGATTATGACGATGATGCGGGAGTACCGAAGATGATAACGGCCATGATGATGACAGTCATGATGATGACGGTAGTTACGAGGACGGTCGCGATGATGACGGTCATGATGATGATGGTGATGATGATGATGACGGTGTGGATTTGCATGTGGTGGTAGCGATGATGAGGAGCTTCATCAGCCTCTTGCGAGGACCATGTCAGCCTGACGAAGGGGTAGGTGGTGCTGATGACTGTGCTGCCGATGATGGTGGTGAGGCGTAACATGACAATGCGCATGCTGCTGCTGATGATGACGACAGTTTTTGCCACGTGCACTTTCAGGTGGGTTCTAACCATGAGTCAAGCATTCTCAGGACACCTTTCTTAACACGGCTGCGGCATAGACTGACAACTCACGTCGCAGGGTTGGAAGCAGGGTTTCTAAGTCAGCTCACGAAGGGCTGCCGCAAACCTGTAAGCTGGATGTAAACAACATCTAGCTGGTCGAAGCAGGACACGAGGACGAGACAGAAAATTCGTAGTTCTAGGTTTGATAGCAACAGGAGCCTCATGGTAATGTGGGCACTCGCTCAACAAGCAACGCAGCATTTCTAGGAAGATTGGACATCCAAACTTGTTTCGGCTCCCGATCTCAGAGCCATGGGAGATCGCACATGCGGCTCCAGCTTCCTTCGCCTCTGCATGGCGAAGCCCACGTTATATTCTTTGCAGCCGCATACCTGGAAGGTCGGATACCGCACCTCGAAGGTTTACTGGGAAGAGTTTCAAACCCGGGAGGATGCGGAGGGTCGCTACCAGGAGCTGTGGTGGTCCAAAGTGCTGATCAGCCCGGAAGGTGACGTGCAGTGGTGCCTTAGCAGCTGAGTAGGTATTATAACCTTCAACCTATCGGGGTTCATATAATCCTCCATAATTGAAAAGCTTAAGCTTTTCTGGGCGAGGGTACATCTTCCTCTAAGGTGCTCAAGTGGGATTTTAGATCCGAAGGGCGTCGGTGTTGCTGCGCTCCTCCTCTCTGTTGGAGGGGGCTTTGGCGATGTGGAGTCCCCGCTTCCTGCCTTGGAGAAGGGAGATGTGGCTTTCATCCCAGCTGATCGGTTACCAGGTAGGTGGTTGTCAAAATTAGGGTCCCTTTTTGGGTCCTGATTATAGTACGGCACCGAATATTTAGGGTTCCCAAAAGCCAAAAGGGGGACCATGATTTTGACAACTACCCAGGTACTTCAGAAGTCTTGCAGCTCATCTGGGATAGGGTGGCCTCCAGGAGCTCCATCAGCTGGTTCGGCTCTCGCGTTTCGGCGGATTCTTTGTGCTACTTCGACGTCGAGAAGCACCCGGGCGTCCGGGGCTACGTGGCGCTGACCATTGACGATGCCCCATGCCGCCTTGGGCCCAAGAACTCCATGCTGCCTGAGATCCGAAAGCTTCTGAAAGAGCATCAGGCACAAGCCACCTTCATGCTTTTGGGGAAGTTCGTCCCGCAGTACGAAGCGGAGCTACTGGAGCTTCTTAGGGAGGGGCACGAGCTGGGGAACCATGGCCTCGTGGACAAGAGCTACGGGGCCTCATCTCCCAAAGAGTTTGAGGATGCTGTGGAGGAGTGCACCAAGCGGATCACCGACTTGCAGTGTCGTGCTGGCCTTTCTTCGGCGTTCCCTTGGTTCCGGCCTCCTCATGGGCGGTTGAGCGCCGTTATGGCCAAGATCGTGGAGCAGAAGGCTTTGAGAATTCTGATGTGTGATACCTATGCATGTTGCCCGGTAATTCAGGACGGCGATTTTATCGGCCGCTTCCTTGGAAAGCAGGCCGAACATGGCTCCATCATCTTGATCCATATGCCAGAGCACGGCTTCCGAGAGTGGTGTCTGCTGGGCCTTCAGACGCTCCTCAAGCAGCTGAAGGAGCGCAACATGAAGGTGGGAACCCTTTAAAGAATTCCTTATAGCACCCTTATTATCACCCTTGAAAAGAGCCCTTATAGCACCCTTTTAAGTATCCCTTTAAAGGAGCCCTTATAGTATCCTTACAGTACCCGTTTAAGTAGCCCTTTAAAGGAGCCCTTATATGAAGGTGGTCACTGCTGGGAAGCTGGCAGAGCTCGCCGGATGGAGTCCGGAACCCCTGGGCCGCCAAATGCCCTGTAAGCTGGCATTGTAAACTACTGTAGGGGCCTTCATAAGGGCTCCTTTAAAGGGATCCTTATAAAGGGATCTATAAGGGTTCTATAATGGAGGATCCTGGGACTTAGTAAGTAAGGTTATAAGTACCTTAATTTGGGGTTATAAGTACACTTAGCTTAAATTTTTAGCCGAGTTACTAAGTCCCATGACCCTTTAAGTAGGGGCCTTCATAAATTAGGGCTCCTTTGAAGAGGACTGTAAGGGTTCCGTTAAGGGTTTAGGGTTTAGGGAACTTTCATAATTACCGATACTATTTTGGGGGGCTCCTTATAATAACTGTAGTATAGTGGGCCCCAAAGCCCTATTCTAAGAAGGCCCCTACATTACCTCTCTTCGTCTTTCTCTGGGCTTCTTTCGTCTATCTCCCGAAGGGAGATAGGCGATTCAGACAGATAGCGACAGTCTGGCATGCTGTCGTGACTTCCTTTCCGCTCAAGGCGTCGTGCCAAATGCTGCTGACCTCTCCTTTTAAAGGGCTCCTTAAAGGGATCCTTATAAAGGGATCTATAAGGGTTCGATAATGGAGGATCATGGGACTTAGTAAGTAAGGTTTTATAAGTATAGTTAGCCTAGTTACAAGCCGAGTTACTAAGTCCCATGATCCTTTAAGTGGGAGGTCACTTGGGTCTCCTCGAGGGTGTGATGCATGGCACACCTGACATCCACAACCTCGTAGTACTCCCAAACTCCTCAGCCCCAGACCCCCAAAAAAGAAGCATCAGGAAACCAAAGCACCCCTGCACTCTGATTCCTGCAAGGCCCAAGCCCTAAAGATCCAATTCTTAGCCCACCTCTTATCCCCCGAACCTAAGCCGCTAGGAACCTACTTGGAGCTTCATGGGTCGTGATAAGTGGGGGGTTAAATGTCCCTGAACATGGGTTGTAATACCTTTACCCTACTGATAACCCGACTAATAACTGCCCCATGGACCTCCAAGTATGAGAAGTAGGAACCTGTGAGAAGTCCCAGAGAGCCCAATACACCTCAATTAAGGAATGTAGCTGAAATCATAATATGAAGCCCCTGATCATTTAAGGTATATTGCTTAATTAAGGGGTGTTGGGCTCTTTGGGGTCCCTGGGCAGGTAGCAGAGGCTCCGCGCGGAGCCCGAGCTGCTCGGGCCCGGGAAGCTCCCATGCGCGCGAAAGCGGACCGGAAAAAAACCTCGCATCCTGTTCTCGTGATGACCAGTTTTTACTGTTGTTACTTATTACTGTGGTTGCTACTGTAACTGTTTTCATTGTTACCGTTCTTGTGCATATTATTGTTATGATTTTTGTTGCGATTACGATTTCTACTACATACGAGTATTGACTGCCATCCCTTCTTGAAAGACACCTGCACCCCAAAGCATGGAACCTTTGAAGCCACTGTTGACATTCGGGGAGCTCCATCGTAAATCAGGGCTTTTCCGTTCTGAGCATTGCGGCCTGCTTTGACGAAGACGATTTTCGTTGCACAGGTGACACAGCGCTGAATGTAGCCGGAGGTTTGCCCTGCTCGCTGCAGCTATTTTCCAAGCACAAGGGGCTCGTTCCATTTTCGTTGCGCAACTCTCTGCACCAAGACAGCGCCCCGCGGCTAAGAGCCAGGGTTTATCGCTGTAGTCCACGATCCGGAGACTCTCCATGCTTTGCCTTGGACCCTAAATCCCAAAAGCCCCAAAATTTAAACCCCAAACCCTAAACTCGAAACCCTAAACCCCAAAACCCAAAAGCCCCAAACCCTAAACCCCAAACCCTAAACCCCAAGCATTCAAATGGGTAGTTGTCAAAATTATGGGCCCCTTTTGGGGTACCCTAAATAACAGGTGCCGTACTATAATAGGGACCCCAAAAGGGACCATAATTTTGATGACAACTACCTAAATCTCAAGCTTCCTAGAGGACTAAAGGGCTCCCCCGTCCTGGGCTTCGGGGTTTTGGGACCGAGGAGTCTACTTGGAGGCTCATGGGTAGCTAAGAGGGCTCCTTTTAAAAGGGATCTACAGGGGTTCTAGCAGGGTATAGGGTTTGAGGTTCTACTTGGAGGTTCATGGGTAGTTAAGAGGGTTCCTTTAAAAGGGATCTACAGGGGTACTATAAGGGTATAGGGTTGAAGGTTCTACTTGGAGGTTCATGGGTAGTTATAAGTGGGGATCTTAAGGGGTTAGGGTTCCTTTAAGGGTTCTATAGGGCTTAGGGATTGGGTTCAGGGTAGTTATAAGTGGGGTTATAAGTCCCCTAATATGGGTTATAAGTATGGTTACCCGACTGTTGATCATCAGAACTAGGGCTTTGAGACATTTTATATTTGCTCTTATTGGGCTTAAGAGGATCTTACCTTCTAGTATTTTTCAAAGGCTTTAAAAGCACCTCCTAGGGCTAAACACAACTCAACAGTTCCCCGCCAACAAGTGCAGCCGGGGAAATCCCTTGGACTGTGCTAGGGAACCTTCTCGGGGCACCCTTATCGGAACCCTCAAAGAAATCCCCAGTAAACCTTCAAGAGACAGTGGGTGCATTGTGGAGCCTTGTTGTGCACCCCTATCGAACGCTCAAAAGAACCCTCGTGTAACCCTTCATGCAACCCTAAACCTTCAAAAGGCCTTGGTTGTACTGTAGAGCTCTTTTGGGAACCTCTACGGAACCCTCTTGTAACCCTTAGTTAATGTTACCCTAAAAGCCTTCGAGAGACCTTCTTCGTCCGAGGATGTCCGCGCCAAAGGCCACTCCGCCAGCCCAGGCCCCCACGGTGGTTCCCGTCGCCAAGGCCCCACATTGGGCTGGGCAGTTGCGAGAGGGGCTCGTTCAGGGCTAGGGGTGGGTCTTAGGGTTTGGGGTTTTAGGAGGGTCCTGCGGTTTAGGGTTAGGGTTTCAGGGTTTGAGGTTGAAGATTTGAGGGTTTAAGGTATACATGTTTTGGGGCTTTAGGATCGCAGAGTTTCGGGCCGTAGAATTGAGGATGTAGGGTTTAGGCTTTAGCTTTAGATAGTAATTTATCCTTAGCATTGTAGACCCGAAAGCTGAAATCATGAAACGCAAATCCTAGATCCCCAAAACTTGCGCTGGAGCCCTGAACTTTCTCCGAAGCTGTCAGAACTCGGGACAGTCTGAGAGCCGCGGTTTGGGCCGAGTCGACGGTTGAGGCATGCAAGTGTTGGGTATCGGGTATCGGGTATCAGGGGTCTACAGAACCTTAACGCCCCAATGAGCCTCAACCTCCCTAAGCCCTCAACCTCAAATCCTACTCCCTAAACCCTGAATACCCTAAACTGTCAATCAGGGGAACCCCTAAACCCTAAACCCTAAACCCTAAACCCTAAACCCTAAACCCGAAACCGGCCCTCTCCTTCCCCTGAAGCCCCAGAAAGCCCCAGAAAGCCCCAGAAAGCTCCAGGGCCCTCAGCCTTCAACGAACATGGAGCCCTCACAGAGCCTCTTTCGGAACCCTTAAAGGAACCCTTAAAGGAACCCTTAGAAGGAATCCTTAAAGGGAACCCTTAAAAGGAACACTTAAAGGGAACCCATCGATAAAGGAATCCTTAGAGGGAACCCTTAAAGGGAACCCTCGATAAAGGAATCCTTACTTGGAGGATCATGGGACTTAGTAAGTAAGGTTATAAGTACCCTAACTGGGGTTATAAGTATAGCTACCCAGTTACGAAGTCCATCCCCTCTTATCATAGAATCCCTATAGATCCCTTTATAAGGAGCCCTTTAAAGTATAATCCTATAGTTACTAAGTCCCATGACCCTTTAACTAAACCCCATAAATCCCCTCTTATCATAGAACCCCTAAGACACCCTGAGAAGGAATCCTTAAAGGGAACCCTTAAAAGGAACACTTAAAGGGAACCCATCGATAAAGGAATCCTTAGAGGGAACCCTTAAAGGGAACCCTCGATAAAGGAATCCGTACTTGGAGGATCATGGGACTTAGTAAGTAAGGTTATAAGTACCCTAACTGGGGTTATAAGTATAGCTACCCAGTTACGAAGTCCATCCCCTCTTATCATAGAATCCCTATAGATCCCTTTATAAGGAGCCCTTTAAAGTATAATCCTATAGTTACTAAGTCCCATGACCCTTTAACTAAACCCCATAAATCCCCTCTTATCATAGAACCCCTAAGACACCCTGAGAAGGAATCCTTAAAGGGAACCCTTAAAGGGAACCCTTAAGGGGAACCCTCGATCAAGGAATCTTTTGGGGCTTCTTTCGCTTCTGGCCCTTCTTTTCCGAAGGCCGCCGAGGTTGCCCAGACCGCCAAGGCCCGGGAGGAGGCGCCGAACCGCGAGGAGCGCCCTTTTTGGGGTTTCGTTTCCTTTTTCTGTTTTAATAAAGAGGGCTTAATGGGTTCTTGTTGGGGTTTCGTTTCCTTTTCTTTGAAATAAGAGAGCTTAAAGGGTTCTTATTGGGGTTTCGTTTCCTTTTGTTGTTTTTTCAATAAGAGGGCTTTGTGGGGCTGCGTGGTTTCTAGGGTTCTAGGGCTTCGGCGCTTAGGGCTTAGGGTTCATAAGGTGGAGAGCAATCTCAGAGAATAGTGCAGACAGGGCGCCGAGTCTTGTGGTGCAAGGTCTCATTATTCAAGGCTTCTCGGAGTGGTGATCCTTTATGTCAGATTTTGCGAGGGTCGCACATCGTCACATTGCCTCAAGGTTCCTGCTACACCTGCATCCGAAGAAACACCGAAGATCCAAGGGAGAAGAGCCTCAACCACGGAACCTTAGCTCCCAACCCCGAGACCCAAAAACTGTTAAGCCCCAGGCCCCAAAACCCCTAAACCCTAAACCCTGAGCAACACAATCCAAATACCCAACTAAACCCTGAACCCTGCATGCGCTCCAGGAGAAGGTTAAGGCTGCTGGTGCCGCGCCGACCGCTGCCTCCGCCTCTGCCGCGCCTCAGGTGCCGCGTTTCAAGGAAGCTCAAAATCGGTTTCGGGGGTGACCCTGTAATTTTAGTGTCTGGTGTTTTAGGGTTTAGGGTTGAAGGGGGGGCTTGGTGGGGTGGTATATGGGTTTGAAAGTTTGGCAGGATCTTCGTTTTCGGGGCTATAAGGGGGGCCAAGGAGTCTTTCTTTTTGGTGAAAGGTTTGACAGAATGCTATCGGGCCTTGGAGGTTGCGGCGTGTGGTTTGGGTTACAAGGTTGAGGGATCAGAGTTGACAGTGTCGAGGGTTTATATAGGTCGCAAATTGCAACAACGCCCGCTGGGAGGATCAGGGGGCTGAGTAAGTAGGGTTGCAAGAACCTGATTTGGTGTTGCAAGTACTGCTGTTTGTAGTTGCTTTCCCTATAAGCCCACTTGTTGGCGGTTCCTTCTAATCCTCGTCCGAGGTTTACGGGTTTTGAGGGGTGTTAGGGGTGTGGGGGTTTAAGGGTTCCCGAGTCTTGGAGTTTTAAGGATCCTTGTCCAAGTGAAGTCTGCAACCAGATCCAACGCCAATCCGCAGTGCTTTTGTCCCCGTGGCCCTGTGAGGCCCAAACCCCGTCACCTTCCCTGGATCCTTGCGGTGCCAGAAACCCGAAATTCCTGAAATAAGAGCCATCTTTAAGCCTTACTTGAAGGATCATGGGACTTAGTAATTAGGGTGAAAAAATTAGGGTAACTATACTTATAACCACAATTAAGGTACTTATAACCGGCCCTACTAAGTCCCATGATCCTCCAAGAACTTGGCCAGCCAGACCCCGCAGCCAAAGCACCAAACCCCAACACCCCAAAGGCTAAAACCCTAAACCCAAAACTCGAAACCCAAGACCTGAAACCCCCAAAACCCAAAACCCGAACACCCTAAACCCTTGACCCAACATCCCACACCCCTAAACGCCCTAAACCCTTAAACCCTGAAGCCTTAAACCCTAAACCCCTAAACCATAAACCCTAAAACCTAAACCCTAAAGCCTTAAACCCCTAGACCCTAAAGCCCTAAACCCCTCAACGCCTAAACCCCTAAACCCTGAAGCCCTACCCCCTTTGAGCCCTCTCTTTGAGAGCCCACGGCGAGGCCCCGAAGTCCCAAGCCGCCGCGCTGGTGACCGGTGCGTCCGCACCCAAGGCCGAGCTGTTAAAATTCATGCTCGTAATAATCTTTTATTAGCAGCAAGATTAGTAGTAATAATAGTAGTAATAGTAATAATAGGTATTAGCAGCAATATGAGTAGTAATAGTAGTAGTAACAGTAGCAATAGTAGCAATAGTAGCAATAGTGGTCGGGGTCCCAGGCAACTAGAAAAGCTGCTTGATACACTAAGTAAAGTAGGCCCCCTTAATTCTGAACCGAAAGAATAGAATCTTGAATACAAGGACCCTCCTCAACCAAAACCCTTTAAGAGCCCTAAAAAATCGAACCCTTCAAGAGCCCTGCCTATAAAATCAAACCCTGTAAGAGCCTTAAAAAAGAGCCCCTGAAAGACCTGAGCATCAGAACGCTCGCCGCCCACCAGGCCTCCGGCAGTGGCGTGACCACCACCAGCCCGGCCTCCGCCGGCGCCGCCGGGCCGAAGCCTACAAAAACGCCCTATGAAGTGTTTGGGTTTAGGGTTTAGGGTTTCGGGTTTCAGGTTTTGGGGTTTGGGGTTTAGGGTTTCGGGTTTGGGGTTTGGGGTTTAGGGGGCGGAATAAAAGGGAATCCTCAAGTGGGAACCATGGAAGGACCCCTTAGAGGGAACCCCTAAAGCAATCCTACCAAACCCCTCAAGGACTCTGAAAGACCTCCGAGGTCACCGCCGCTGCTCCCAAGGCCAAGGCGGTGTCCCCGACCTCGGCGGCCGCCGTCATGGAGGTGGGGGAGTTTCGTGCTAAAGAGGTGCTTAAAACGTTCTATAAAGGGTATTGCGAGGGTTCTATAAAGGGTATTACAAGGGTTCTATAAAGGGAAATGCAAGGGTTCTATAAACGGTACTACAAGGGGCTTATAAAGGGTACTTACTGTACGGTTTTCGGGGTTAGAGTTAGTTTGGTGTTCTGGGTGCAGTGTGCAGGTGAGTTTCCATGCTCCATTGCTTGTGGGCCGAGGTTTGCAGGTTTGTTGCCTTGGTTCGGAGAAGTGGCCGACGGCCCTCTTTCAGGCTGAGCATCCAAATTCGAGACCCAACCACTGACATCTACGATTTACCCCTGAGACATGCGTTCATACACAAGGTCCCAAGCACAGGGCTTCTACCATCCTGAGCTACATCGAAATTCCGAACGCCTTAGGGATGTCTTTGGCTTGTGGGGGGTAGGGTGGGGAGAGTTTTCACGTGCGGTTAGCCTGCAAGAAGGCAAGGCTGAAAAGACCTTTGACCTGCCCAATCTACGCGAAAGCCTAGCCGAGCCAAATGTCAGGCACTTCACTGAATCTTTGACATTTGAACTCGCGACCTTGAAACTGCTCCTTAATCCCTAAACACTTCAATCCAGACCTTGAGCAGCCTTGGATAGAAACTCGACAATCCAGCACCTGAGCGCTCAAACCTAAGCCCCTCAAAAAGCCAGGGAGACCTTAAGATCCGATGCTCCCTAAGCAAGGAAGGCAAGAAGCCGGCAACAGCCGCAGAGCGAATGAAGGCCACTGGCTCTGTTCTGGCCCGAGGACTGGCATTCCCAGTGCAAAGGAGTTGTCGACTTTAGGTTGTAGTGGCAGCTCTCGGAAAAGAACTCCTCCCTTCTGTTGTCGGCTCGTGTGGACATTCTGTGAGGACTATAGTCACATTCAGGCTCTTACGTGCAGGAAAGTCTTGACGGCCTCTCAACGGCAGCAACGCCACCACACCACACCGCCGCTGTCACGGCCGTCACCTGCACCGCCGACACAGCACCACCTCGACCGAAGTCATACCCGTGAAGCTGGAGAGGATCCGGATATAGAGTATTTAGTACAGGCAGTATGCAAGACTTTCAAGGTGATTGTATTTGTGTTATGAGACACAGTCATAGGAATGGTATCAGTGAGGAGAAATACCTGCCACGAGCATGTTTTTCATGTAGTACAGCAACCGGACCATGATGACACAGCGTTTGAAGCCTCTTGAGCAAGCCTGTTCGAACCGTCCCAACAGGCTGCATAGCACTAGCAATGCGGGGTAGTGTTTGCAAAATCTGATCAAACGTTGATGAGGAGACTTGTAAGCCCTTTAGAGACCTTTGCGGTGACTCCAGGACTGGGTGCCACGGCCGAGGCGCCAAAGGCAGGAGCTTGAGGGTTGAGAGCCAGCGGGGTTCTGGGGTCTTCTGAGCCTTAGGCTTTTTTTTTTTGTTTAAGTGTTTAGGGCCTAAGTTCAGGGGCTTGGGGTTTGGGGGTGTAGGGCTGCGTAGGGCAATGTAGGGGCGTTCGGATTTTTTTTTGTTCTCCGGCCTTCGACCTCCGGGAGGCCAAGGCGAAGCCGGCAGCGGCCATGCCCACCACCTCGAAGTACGCCGGCTCCGCGACCATGACCCAGGCCGCCCCCACCAGCGTCCCTTGGCGAGATGTGTGGCATGTGTGCTTCCTTGCAGCTTCTTGGAGCTTTGGCACACCATTCTGATCTCTCAGGTGCTGAACATCGTCAGCGGCAAGCCGGTGGCTGCCGGCGAGGTCGCCAGCAGCGCACATACCACCAGCTCCGTTGGCCCCGCCAGGGGCTACGCCAAGGCAAGAACGGGCTTTTTGTCTCTTGTCAGCCACGGTCTCACAACTTTGCTTGAGGCGGCCGGCGCGGTTATGCCCACCAGTGCTACAGGCGCAGTGTATGCAAAGATAGGATAGCTGTGCTTCTTCCTGTTGTCGTTCGGATCCGTACGAGAGCCAAGAGGTGCCGACGGCAAAGCGATTGATGTTCCAAAGGCCCGGTCCTTGCATCCAAGGTTGCATATGCCGGTAAGTGTTGTGACATTTTGGTTTTAATTGCTGCCGGACCCGCTGCTGTGCTACAGATCGGGCCACCTGCCGTGGCCGTTGGGCGCGCTATGGCTGAGGTGCCGATTGGCTTTTGCAAATCTCACCACCTAGAAGATCATACTGCCTGATTTGAAACGGTCCATGCATCAGGGACGCCCCGCAGTGTCTATGGCTGGTGGCAAGTTGGTCACCACCATCAGCAAGAAGTTCCAGCGCCTCGGCGAACGGGCTTGCAAAGGAGTCTGTCGTATGTCAGCTATAAGCTTGTCAGGATCGTGTTCGTGACCAGCGAAGTGGCACCCTTCTCGAAGACTGGAGGCGCTCCTTCCGTGGTGCCCTCGGGCTACTTCTTCGCAGCATGCATGCTTTCAGGCCTGGGTGAGGCCATGGACGGCCTGCCCATTGCTCTTGCGGCCCTGGGCCACCGCTGCATGGTCATTTCTCCTCGCCCCTCGGCGTAGAATCTTGAAAGATCCGAATGGCTCAGAGCCAACCCCCCATCCATCCTCTGAACACAAGCGCTCCCGTCTCCTTCCCACGTGTTCAGGCTACGACCAGTACAAGGAGGCCTGGGACACGGGCTACTGGGGCTCCGTGCCCATGGGCGGCAAGAACGAGTCCGTGCACTTCTTCCACACCTACAAGCAGAAGGCTCTTGCTTTCCATCGCGGTTCTAGCAGCGTGGCAGGCTCTGCCGTTGCTGCAGGTCGACTACGTCTTCGTCGATCACCCCACCTTCCTGGAGCGCGTCAACGGACTGACAGGCCCGAGAGTTGCACCAGCACACCATGGTGTGAGCGAGCCGCAGATCAGCGAAGCAAGCCTCAGCTGCCGGCATCATCCATCTGTGCATCTATGATGTCATACTCCCTATATACCTATACTACACACAAACCCCACAATGCCTTTCTAAGTGGTTGAGGCCCCTTACGAAACCCAGGTAGTATCCTTACAGTAACCCTTACGTACCCCTTTAGACGGAACCCTTTTCCAACTATTACGGCCCCTATAGCAGTCCATGTGAGGTGCGTGGTCGTCTGCTTCGCGGTTCCTCCAACTTCCTAGAGACTCCAACATCCCTCAATTGAGGAATTTACCTTAAATCACATCTCCCTTTAAGGAACCCTATAAAGAACCCCCAGGTATATTCCTTAATTAAGGAAGCTTGGAGTTGCTGGGGTTCCTCAGGTGCCAAGCTCTACGGCCCGGAGTGGGGTCAGGACAGCTCCGATCGATCCTCAGGGCCCTTTGGTTTAGGGATTAAGGGGTTTGGGATTCAGGGGTCAAGGGCTTTTGGTTTATAGTGGAAGCCAGAAAGTTGGAACATCAGACTCCTCATGCCCTTGAGGTAAAGTATAAGGGATCCTAGCACTAATCCTCCTAAAGCCATGTTCCAACTTTCTGGCTTCTACTGTAGGGGTTTGGGGGTTTAGGGCCCTTTTAGGACTGGTTCGGGGCTTCAGGGCTTAGGGTTGAAGGCGCTGCTGAGCCGGATACCGTAAAACACGGAGAACACCCAAAGAAACTCTAAACCCGACAGCTTGCACACCCTGCCTGACACGTGGAGCCCGAAGCCCTAAAACTGCCAACACAAAACACCCTAGACCCTGAAACCCCGAAACCCTAAGCCTTAATCCCTAAACCCGTGAGACCCTGAAACCCTAAACCTTAATCCCTAAACCCCTGAAAACCCGACACCTGAGCTTCGGGCTTGAAGGAAAACCGACATCCGGCCCCAGGCGTGTAGGAGCAAACTGTATGCTACCCCTTTTCATGCGTCCATCGCTTCATTCCTTGTGCTGTGTGAAGCCGAAACCATCAACACCGGGCAGTTTCATGCAGTTTGCATGTATATGTATGTACCTAAGACTTGGATACCCAAACCTGCATCGAATAAGCTTGACAGGACTTCGCAGACAATCAGGCTCGCTTCGCCTACTTCTGCAAGGCCCGCCGAAGCAGTTTCCGAAGCCTTCCGCAATGTAAAGTCTGTGAAGCTCCTGAAGGGAAGCCCATGACGTCCGACCGGGGAAACTAACCCTAAACCCCAAACCCTAAACCCAAACTCTCAACCCTAAACCCCAAACTCTAAACCCAAACTCTCAACCCTAAACCCCAAACCCTAAACCCAAACTCTCAACCCTAAACCTCAAACCCTAAACCCAAACTCTCAACCCTAAACCCCAAACCCTAAACCCAAACTCTCAACCCTAAACCCCAAACCCTAAACCCAAACTCTCAACCCTAAACCTCAAACCCTAAACCCAAACTCTCAACCCTAAACCCCAAACCCTAAACCCAAACTCTCAACCCTAAACCTCAAACTGTAAACCCGAAACCCCAACACCCCAAAGTGCAGGCAAGATACCCCGAGCGACCCAAGCTCTTTTGGTGGGACTCAGGGTTTCTTTTTTTCTCATAAAGGCCCCTGTATCCGAGCCTACAGGGTTCCTTAATTAAAGGGATCTATAAGGTTCCTTAAAGGGACCTATAGGGTTTAGGGTTTAGGGAACTACTTGGAGGTTCATGGGACTTAGTAAGTACGGTTATAAGTACGTGAATTGGGGTTATAGGTATAGTTACCCTGGTGATCCTTTAAGTAGCAGCCTTTGAAGGTGTCCGGAACAAGGGTCCCTTTCTTTTTTATGAAGGCGCCCGATTCCTAAACCCTGATAGTAGCCCTTCTGCGAGTCTGGAACCCTTTGAAGGAGCCCCAAGAAGGGACCCTGGCCTTGTTATTGAGGCCCCCTGCTTCGGAGAACCCTACTAAAAGGGACCCTGTTCTGTTGTCATCGAGGCCCCCAAAGTATCCTAACCCTTACAGTAACCCGGACCGTTAAAGGAGCCCTAGAAAGGGACTTAAGCCGTGTTATTAAGGCCCCTAAAGTATCCGAGCCTTGCGGAGGCCGCCTTGAAGGCCATTCAGGAGCTGCCCCTGGGTGGGGCCGTGCCCGGGCCCCGGGCGGAGTGCAGGAAGCCCTCGAGACATAGGGGGGGGGCGGGGGGGTTCGGGGTTCAGGGTTTTCCCTAAACCCTAAACCCTAAACCCTAAACCCTAAACCAATTTAAGTTTTAGGGGTTGGAGGTTGAGGTTTTGGGTTCGAGAGCTGAGAGCTGAAGCGGGGCTTTCGAGTTTACGTCGGGTTCATGTTGAGTTTAGGGTTTAGGGTTTAGGGTTTAGGGTTTAGGGTTTAGGGTTTAGGGTGGAGAGTTCAAGGCTAGGTAGGGGACACTCTGCAGCTGGAGGTACGGCGGCGACTGCATGGTCGTTTGCAACGACTGGCACTCGGCCCTTGTGCCCATGCTCATCCACGCTGAGAAGCCCACAGGCTCACGGACGGGGGTGCTTAAGAGTGTAGTATACCCAAAACCCCCAGGAGTAAAACATGCCTCAAACCCCAAGCGACAATCTCGAAAGCCTGAACCTAAAACCCATACCTGGCTGCAGAAGTCGGTTCCAACAACACAGGACAATTGACGTCTACAGCTCCCGTCGGATTCAGAGCAATACCCCTTGGTTCCAGTCACCTCCTGGTTAGATTCGCTCCAGCCCGGAATGTTGTGTAGCAGCCACCCTAAGCTTAAAGCCTGAAGTCGACAGACCGAAGAACTTAACCCTAAGCGCAAAGCCCTAGGCAAGCGGACCAACGCGAAGTCTAAAAGCCCTGGATCCAAAACCCCCGAACTCTAAACCCGTACACCCTAAGCCGTAAATCCCAAAGCTCCAGGCAAGTGGACCAGCTATATATATAGCAGAGTGCAGTTTCATATAGCGTATATGATAAACAACAATTCCTGCAGTTTTCGCAGGCAAGTGGACCAACACGAAGTCCGCTTTCCTCTGCCACAATGCCGTCTTCCAGGGCCGCTTCGTGCGCGAGGAAGGCTCCAAGGGCTTACTTCTGTTGGGGTTTTCGGTGTTCCATAAAGGGCTACTTAGGAGCTGCTATACGGGTTCTATGAGTTTAGACATTGGGGGACCTAAGCGCGATAATAATCATAACTACAATGATACTAACAAGATGCTACTGGCATGCCCCCAAAGTGCTGAAAGCAGGCCTCGCCAGCGTCTTCGGCGTGCCCGAGCGCTACATCGACAGCATCTGGGCTCTGGCTTACGAAAGGAACAATAAAGTCATAATAATGATCGTAATAATGATAATAGTAGAAATAATCATAATAACAGTGATCATAATAATAATAATAATTTTCTTAAACAACAACTTAGGCATCACCTTCAAGATGCCTTTGCGCATCGGCAAGTACAACGAGAAGGCCAGGGCCCCGGCAGGTGAGGGCGGGGGCCTTAATGGGTAGTATTATCAGGGAGACCCCTTAAAGGGTACCCCTTCTGAACCCTACTTTCGGCTCTCTTAAAAGGGACCTTTTTGAGAGGGTCTATATCCCCGAGGGTCCCCCTAATCCTAACTCCCACTTAATAATAATGAGAACGGGGTTCCTTCAAAGGGTTCTATTATAAGGGAGCTATTATGGGGTTCTATGATTTGGTGGCCTTGATGAGGGGAGGGCTTGGGACCCAAAGCCTGTGTTATAATTAGGGTAACCAGAATGATAACCCATAATAAGGGGCTTACAACCCACTTATAACTACCCAGGAACCTCGAAGTAAGCCCTAAAGAGTGCAGCACGGCCTCTTGTCCCGCTCGCCACAGATGACCTGCATCAACACCATGGCTGCGGGTCTGCGCTATGCCGATCGCGTCTGCATCTCAGTCGGAGGGCCACATGCCGAACCTAAGCCTAGATCTAAGATCCTGAGCCCGATGGCAAACGCATCTCACGTCATGGAGGTATCTGTGTCTGTACGCATTGAGGGTCTCCAAACAGAGGCTACGATCTGAAGGAAGGTTGGGATGCATACCTGGCTAGATGAGCAGGGAGAGAAGATACCAACCCATCGAGACGCTGCATATCACCATGCGGGGTTTGTTGGCTTTGCCGACACAGGCTTACTGCCTTCATTGAGGAAGAACACAATCCTAAACCCAAAACCCTCTATACCCACGGTTTATTAACTTCTTTTGTGAAGGCTCTGACCGTGTCTCCCAGCTATGCCGTGGAGTGCTGCACGGATCCGGAGAAGGCCTTCATTTGTGCAGACCTTGTGGTGGATCTTCCTGGGAGATTGCAGTCTCTTACGGTGCACTTCACCTGTACCCGCATGCTACTTGGAGGATCATGGGACTTAGTAACTAGACCTATTATTAGGATAACTATACTTACAACCATAACCCTACTTACTAAGTCCCATGATCCTCCAAGTAGTACCCAAGTCCTATAGATCCCTTTAAGGAACCTTATAGATCCATTTAAGCAGCCCTTTAAGAACCCTTACTAAGTCCCATGATCCTCCAAGTAGAGGTGCAGGAAGTGGCAGGATGCAAGGCAGCGGAAGAGTCGCTGAGTCGCCCTGCCAGGGCGTGGAGTTGGGGTTTCCGAAACCCTAAAACCTAAATCCTGAACCCGAAAAGGGTTTAGGTAAGGCTTTTTGGGGCGCAAGCTTGGCAGACGGTGGCACAGCCCAGCCCTGGCACAGGGCGTTGAGTTGGAAGACCTCTTCAGCCTGGGCAAGTGCACAGGCACCCTGGGAGGGGAGAGATTCGAATGTGGGATTAGGAGGCTCGCGTGCTGCTATGACTACTTATTGAAGCTTCTCTATCTCTCTCTCTCTCTCTCTGTCTCTCTCTCTCTGTCTCTCTCTCTCTCTCTCTCTTACACTGAAATCTGGAAGACTTCTGGGCTTGCACAGTGGATATACTGCAGCAGTCTGTCGTCTCGTCTGTCTAAGGCCTTCCCTGTAGGCTTGACGTACTCCGTAATCCTTGGCTGCAACGATACTCAAGCCTGCCACCCCAAAACCTAACCCCTAAACGCTAAACCCTCTAATCCCCTAAACCCCAAAGTCGCTGCACAGGAATCCTGAACGGCGTGAAGGAGGGCGTGACCCCCAGTGACAAGAACTTCGTCACGAAGACCATGATGAGCTGCGGAATCTTCACCGCCGGGCGCCCAGGAGGTTCAACATTCAGTCTCTGCTTTCTTTGGGGGGACCCTCCTGTAGAACCCTATTACCCTTATAGAATATTACTGAACCCTGTAGTACCCTTTTGGTAGCTTTAAAGGTGTAGAGTTTCGATTTTCTGCTTGGTTTGTTTGCCTGGTTAGGGGATCTTTTAGGGCGAGATCCTGAATCTCGGAAGCAGCCGCAGAAATGCACAAGAACCAGCATACCATCGCCTTTGTAAACGCCTGGAAAACCTTTATAAGCTTTCTCCAAACCTCCATCAACTTTTAAAGAACTCCTTACAAGCCTTATCAAATCTCATAAAACCGCCATACAACCCGTACCAGCCCCTACAAAACCCTACAACCCTACCCTAAGCCTTATCAAAAAACCCTTCAAAAACGTTACGAACGCGAGACTGCGCGAGTTCCGGGCCCGAGGCTGCCACCGCCCCGGAGGCAAAGGCAGAGCTCAAGGCCCGTAGTATTTGTTTAAGGATTATCGTAAGGGTTCTACAGGGTTTTTGGACTTAGGATTTCGGGCGTTAAGGGGTTTTAATAGGGTTCTAGACGGGTTCTACAAGGATCACTGTGAGATTTCCATAGGGTTTTTTTATGGGGGTTAGGGTTTTTTGTGTCTGTCGTCAGGGCGGGTTTGAGTTTAGGGTCCCAGGCCTAACAGGGATCTGGGGGTTCAGGGTTTTATGGGTTTACGGGTCTGTAGAGTTTAAAAGTTTTTTGCTAATGCTTTCAGGGGTTTAGGGTTCAGGGTTTGGGGTTCAGGGATAAGGATTTATGAGGGTTTTGCAGAGTATGATAGGGTTTAGAAAATTCCTTTGCAGGATTCTGCAGGCGTCCATGGCTGTTTGTAGGGTTTTTTAAGCGTGTTATAGCGTTTTGGTCCACGCCTCTAGCCTTCCCCGGCGTCACGCCGGAAGCCTGAGCTTGTGTGCTTCGCCAGGCCACTTACCGCGCACAGAACAACCTGCCGGCGTCCACTGGCCCTCTGATGTGCTTCATCGGGAGGCGTCATGGCCCCATAGGGGCCACCCTAGTAGTAGAGTAGGTAACCTTTAACATAGGTAAACTTTAACCATTTTTGGGTACGATAATCCGTATTCAATCCCAATATACCACCAAAGCTTAACCTTTAAATCCCCCAAAATGCTGGACAAGTAGGCCACTTCAAGCCTGGAGAGTCTGGGGTTTACCGAGGTCCTCGTCTCCTAAATCCCCTTCAAGCTCTACCTGGTGTCCAGTGAGATACATGGGTGGTTGTCAAAACTAGGGTCCCTTTTTGTGTACCCTAAATCATAGGTGCCGTGCCATAACAGGGACCCAAAAAGGAACCATAGTTTTGACAACCACCCACATGAAACCGTGCAAGGTCGCTGATTGAAGGAGCCCAACAGCCCCTCAGCCTAGATCAAGGCACATCCCGCATTCTCTTCCTGGAATCCTCGGTCCTGGGCCCTGCACTCGAAGCTCAAACCAAAGAACTCCCAACACCGCTCTCAGCCTCAAGTTCTTGGAGGCTGGATGCCCTGAGCCCTAACCCTGATAACCCCAACCCCAAGCCCCCCAAACCCAGAAAACTCAACAGCCTAAACCCGAAATCCCAAAGCCTAAACCCGAGACCCCTTGGAGGCTGGATGCCCAGAACCCTAACCCTAATAACCCTAAACCCCAAAAATCCCAAAGCCTATAAACCCGAGACCTCTTGGAGGCTGGATGCCCAGAACCCTGACCCTAATAACCCTAACCCCAAATCCTAAAGCCTAAACCCGAGACAGCTCTGGGAGGCTGGATGCCCAGAAGGGCTACGACCTCCTCTTGGAGGCTCTGGTGGAGATTCTTGAGGCCTCCCGACTCTTTACGCGGGTTCGGTTGCCTTCTTGCAAGAGAGGGCCTCGGGATGTCTAGGGCCAAGTGGTAGGGTTGGGGTAAGGTGAAGCAGCTTTAGCAGTTCCGGGCTTGGTTCAGGCTTTGGATTTCTTCGAGTTTAGGACTCTTGAAGGGCGGAAGGCCGTGATTGTGTGTGCGGACCATGGGCAACGATGGGTTTCCATAAGGGTTCTGATGTTTTCTTTTTGTATAGGGCTTCCTATATGGGGCGTCTACGAGGGGTTACGATAAGAGTTGGTATGTAGCAGTGATAGCAATAGCGATAGCGTTCTCCCTGGTCGTCTCCACCCCCGATGGACAAAACCCCTTCGCCAGGACACCGAGCTCCAGGTCGTCATCGTCGGCTCCGGCCGTGCCGACCTCGTGGCCCAGCCCCGCGGCCGACAACCAAACCTTTTTGGATGTAGGGGTTTAGGGTTTAGGGTTCTTTAAAGGGCTACTAGAAGGGTACTATAAGGGTTCCTTTAAAGGGCTCTGGGGTTTACGTTTAGGGTTCTTTAAAGTGCCCAGGGGTTTTGGGATTTGACAAAAACTTCTTGGGTTTAGGGGTTACTTTGAGGCTTCCTTTAAAGGGTTACGAGAACTGGCTCTGCAAGGGTTGAGGGGCTTCGGGATTTGAGGGTTCAGGGGTTGGAGATCTGGGGGTTGTTCTAAATTATGGTCCCTTTTTGGGCCCTATAGTAGTATAGTCCTTATTATATAGGGTACCCAAAAAGGGACCCTAATTTAGAACAACCCCCATCTGGGGGTTGTGGGGGTTGGGGATGAGGGGTTTTAGGGTCTCAGGGCTTGCGGCTTTAGGGGTTTTTGCGGGTTCTTGTTAAGGAACTTAATTTAAGTTACCATAATAGGGATCTATCGTAAATAATAGGGTTTCCTTATTATGGTAACTTAAATTAAGTTCCTTAACAAGAACCCTGTTTTTTGCGGTTTAGGGGTGTCGGTTGATTAAATAGCTAGTTTTGTTTAGGGCTTTGTCGGGAGGTTCCAGGACCTTTTCGTAAAGGGCCTTAGAGATTCCATGATGCTTCGTATGTCTTGTTCAACTTTTCCTTTCTGTTCCGTCTGGATGTGTTTGTTGTCCCGTGTGGGGTTTGTTGGGCTCTTGGGCCTTTGGTGTTGGCTTCGAGGCATCTGTGCCTTCCAGCGGTCTCAGGTCTCAGGGTTCCGGGATTTGGCTGGCAGTTGTGTGCTGGGGTGGGGAAGCCTTCGGCTTCGAGATGCTTGTGTAGCTCAGCAGTCTTTTCGTGTTTATTTTTGATGTAAGCCCTTTGTGGGTCGTTGCCCATGTAATTTGTATTTTTGTAGCAGCTTTGCCACGGTGTCCTGGCTAGTCAAGGCGTCTGCCTGCCTGCCTGGAAGAAGTAATGCCGATGCTTCAACCTCCAACCCTAAGCCATACATCCAAAACCACCACGCGTGCGTCAGGACCAAGGCCGTCGAGAAGAAGTTCCCCAGCAAGTTCTTCTACGCAGGCGAGGCGGTTGAAAGGGTGCATTCTTGCTGTTCGAGTTTGTGCGCAGCTGGAGAGCCTTCATATACAAAAACTCATTACAGGCTGGATGGGCCCGGAGCGCTATGCCTTGCTGGCTGGCTGTGACTACACCCTCCTTCCGTCCAGGCACCGGCTGGCAGGGTTTAGGGAGGCTTTCTTTTCATAGGCGTGTTGGGTTATGACGCTGCCGTGTCGTCTCCTCTGCCTGTTTTTGCAGGCTTTCATAGGCCAAATGTGTCTTCAGAAGAGTTTTAGCTCTTACTGTCCCGGAGATTATACGGAAGCGGCTTGTGGTCTGGCGGCACTGGGGCTGCACGCCAGGAGTCTCGCTGACGATCTTTCTAGCGGCTTTGTGGCTTCACTCATCGTCTACTTACTCTTGTCTTGCCCTCCTCCTCCTCCTCCTCCTCCTCAACCCTAAACCCTAAACCCTAAGCCCCCAACCCCAAACCCCAAAATCATCGCCCCCACCTCTCTTCCCCAAAACAGCACCTCAGGTGGGAGCCTTGCGGCCTGGTGCAGATGGAGGCGGGTCCTTCAAACGAGAGCCCGGAGCATCCAGAGACTCCTAGGGTTCCTTTAAAGGGATCCTTCAAGGGCTCCTTTAAGGGATCTATAGGGTTTAGGGTTTAGGGGACTCCTATATCCCTTAATTCAGGAATGTACCTTCAGTGCTACTTGTAGTAGGGATCCCTACTATTTTTTAAGGATGGAGGCCGGTCCTTCAGGGTCTCGGGGCGAGGAGTAGGTTTGGGGTTCAGGGTTCCCCTATGTTTTTGGGGGTTTAGGGTTCCTCTCCTCTTTAGGGTTCAGGGTTCCTATGCTGTTTGGGGTTTAGGAGATAGGGTTTAGGTTCCTACGCTTTGCGGGCTCAGTGGTTACTTGATCCTTCAATCGGCCGTGCATCTTCACCGCCAAAGGCGTACCGGTACACATGGGTGGTTGTCAAAATTATGGTCCCTTTTCGGGTACCCTAAATACTAGGCGCCGTATTTTTTAAGAGGGACCTAGAAAGGGACCATAATTCTGACAAGCACCCACATGAAGACTCCAAGTTCAAGCTCCTCAGACAGCCATCCTCGCCGGGGCATCTATTCTAGACGTTCCGATGCTCATGATTTGTTCATAATCCAAGGGGAAAAGGAGGGACCCTTAATGGGGACCCCTACCCTATAATGGGCTATATAATGGGTATATAATAGCTATATTAAGGGTATATACCTAGGGGTCCTTATTAAGGGTCCCTCATTATTATATATGATTATAGTATCCTTATAGATCCCTTATAGTAACCCTTGGGGTTTTAGGGTTTCTCTTGATTTGTTCATAATATTGTCAAGGAACCCTGAGCCGAAACAAGTAACAAGAGACACATTCAACAGCAACCCCCTGACTCTGAAGCCAAGATTTGGAGGCCATGCGCATGGGAACGCTGCCCATCGTCGCCCCCACCGGCGGACTGAAGGACACCGTGGAGGACCGGTGTGTGGAAGTAGAATCTGGGGTTTCGGGCTAATTAGGTCAGTACTTTTGCCGGTGTGATTTTAATTTGTGGAGGTTGGTAAAAACACCTTTGGGACCTTGTTCTGTGCTCGCATCCGTCCTGGGGGATGCCGATTTTAAGCCACTTATGTAGGGACACATCACGATTCTACAAGGAAGTGATATCTCTCTTTTTTTTGCTTACTCTTGTCATGGTCTTCTTCGTGCAGGTTGAGATGCCTTCCGACCGGTCCTGGTACCTGGTGTGCTCTTGAGCGGTCTCCATTGCTTTCATCATCACCAATGTCGCTGCTCTTCTCTCTTGTTGTGGTCGCCATGATGATTCCTTTCTTGTTGTCATTCTTGCGAATTCATGGGGACAACACCCCGGCTGCTGGGCCGGGAAGAGATGTCGAGCAATTTAAAATTAAGGGTAGCAGGGGAGCCGTGGGGATGTTCAAAGTCATGCAGGATTTTTTGGGCATCAGCCGTATCAGTCCTCACAGAGGGCTCTCTTGACGCTTCGTCGAAATAATAATCACCCCTTCTAAAGAGGTTTCTTCGGAAAGCATGAACAGAGGCTGGAAACTTGAATCCTCACCCCGAAAGCCTACACCCAGAATTCCGAGGGACCGAAAGCCACCCGGTTTCAGGTTCAGGGCTTGGGGAAAAAGAGCCCTGCTATGAGGATAGCCTGAATGGGCGAATATAGTATACCACCAAGCCCTATTCTAATTATTAAGGCCCCTACATTAGGCTACTGGATCGCTGCTTGTTCCAGGATGGCTTCCCCTAAACCCTAAACCCCTAAACCCGTAAGCCCTAAAGAAGCCTTAACCCTTAAGCCCTAAACCCGAGGCCCTAAAACCTCTCAGGATGGCTTGAATGGCCTCTGGACCGACAAGGAGATGTCCGTGGAGGCCGTCATCGATGAGGCCCCCGGTTCTCAGGAATACTACAGCGGGCCTTCATCAATACTTGGCGGATCATGAGACTTAGTAAGTAAGGTTATAAGTACCTTAATTGGGGTTTTAAGTATAGTTACCCAAATTATGACCCCAGTTACTAAGTCCTATGATCCTTTCAGTAATCATTAGAATAGGGTTCATTGTTAGGGTTCCTTTAAAGTTCTAAAAGGGTTTAGAGTAGGGGCTTTAATGAATACCTATACTACTTTGCGGGTTCCCCATTATGGTGATAGTATAATTAATGGGCCCCAAAACCACCCTATTTTGGCGATTACGGCCCCTATATTGCAGGGTTCAGTCCTTTTGCAGGCCCAGGTCTTTGGGCATCAGATTTGTTTTATGGCTCCACCGCTTATGGGGCCTCGGAGTTTGTGGGTTCAGTCCCTCAGCTCTTCCAGGATTAGATCTGATTAGAACTTCGGGCTTAGTAGATAATGGTTAACCCTACTTAAAGGATCATGGGACTTAGTAACTAGGGTTATAACTACGGTAACTATACTTATAACCCCAATTAAGGTACTTATAACCTTACTTACTAAGTCCCATGATCCTCCAAGTAGACTCTCATTCTTCTTCAGTTTCCAAGCACGGCGCAGGAGTCCGTGCAGTCCATCGCGAAGGCCTTGAAGCGCGCCTCGAAGCTCTTCATCGAGGAGCCCGAGAAGGCCGGGCCCTGGGAGTGCTTTATGGCTTCTCTACTCGGAGGTTCGTGGGTGGTTATAAGTTGGGTTATAAGCCCTGGGAGTACCGAGTAACTGTCCGTATTTTTCGTTACATTTGTTGTTGCCATCATGGTGATTGTGCACAGTATGACTTACTACTACTTTGAACCAGTCGAAACTGCTGCTGCTGCTACTACTACTACTACTACTACTACTACTACTACTACTGCTACTACTGCTACTGCTACTACTACTGCTACGACGACGACGACAACAACAACTACCACTACTACGACGACGACTACGACTACTACTACCACACACAGTAAGTCTTAAGCTTCAATCCTCGAAACTCCGAATCCTGGTGGTGAGGACCCTACAATCACTGGCAAACCCTAAACCCGGAGTTCTAAACCCCAGGAGGCAATAACGCATAACAGACGACAGAACGCTGCTTCTCACCCCCTACAACGACGATAACCACCCTGAAAAGGGAACCCCCAAAGCCTAAGCCCTGAACCCTAACACCCAAAAACCTCCAACAACAACACGCCCAGACCCCCTAAACTGTAAATCTGAAGTCCTATATCGTAAACCTTAGACCTTCAACCCTAAAAACCTCAAAGCTTCCGCTTTGAGATCCCTTGAAGGACACCCCAAAAAACGGATCCAAGCTGAGTCGACCCCCTAAACCCTAAACCTGAAACCCTAAACCCTCATAGCTCCCCGCCATTTAGATCCCTCAAAGCATCCCATAGAGCCAAAGGTGAAGCGATCCCTTAAAGGATCTCTTTAAAGGACGCCCCGAAAGCAGATCCCTTAATTGTCAAAGGTGAAGGCCATGACCCGGGCAGCCATGGCCGCCTCGGCCGAGTTCACCTGGAGCAACGCCGCCCTGCAGTACGAGGCCCTCACTATTCGGTCGGTAAGGGGCCCCTGCGAGGGTTCTATGAGGCTTCAAGAGTTCCTAAAGTGCTTCTATACTATAAGGGTTCCTATAAGGGTTCCTATAATGGTTCTATACTTTAAGGGTTCCAAAAAGGGTTCCTATAATGGCTCTATACTTTAAGGGTTCTGCAACGGCCCTTTTTGAGGGTTCCACGCTTCCTTTCTGGCGGCGTTACTTGGGAACTAGAAGCTTCGCGGGGTAAAACGGGTCATGTCACGGGTTCTACAGGGCGCCCATCAAGGATCCTTTCTGTCGGTAGTAGTAGGGTTGCAGGTGCCGTACTTGGGGTTCACTATTGAGACAGTGCAGCTATAATTGTTCATCGCTGATTCTGCTGGTAGCTCAGATAGCCAATGGGAGAACTTTAGGCAGCTGTTTGGCGAAAGAGATGCTCAACAAAAAGAAGCGGACCCCACGTTTTCGATTCCCTAAACCCTGAAATCCTGAAACTATAGAACCCTGAAGCCCTTAAACCGTGAAGCCCGAAACCCTAAAGCCCTAAAGCTTTAGACCCTAAAGCCCCAGGCCCTAAGCCCTAAACCTCTGTGTGGTACATTACACTTAAAGAAAACCCTAAAGCCCTAAACCTAAATCCCCAAAGCCCTAAACCCCTAAGCCCTAAATCCCCAAAGCCCTAAGCCCTAAATCCCTAAAGCCCTAAACCCGGACCCCCCCGCATTTTAAGACTTCCAAGTCCCAGAGAAGTCCTTCGAAGCTTCGCAGGCCGTCTTCGAGGAGCTTGGAGTCAAGGACCGGACTTCTCCTGTCTGAAAAGGTTTAGGGTTTAGGGTTTAGGGTTCAGGGTTTAGGGTTCAGGGTTTTGGGTTCAGGGTTTTGGGTTCAGGGAACTCCAGAAAGTTGTTTCTAAACGGGTTCGAAGGTTTCTAGAAGGGTTTCTAACAAGGTTTCTAAAAGAGCTTCTGAAACGAGTTTCTAAAAGGGTTTCCAAAGAAGGGGCTCCTAAGACAAGGACTGGGCTTCGCCTGTGGTTCGTTCTACGTTCTACGGCTTTAGGAGGTTTGGGTTCGGGGTTTGGGGGTGGGGGTGAAGGGTTTGGGGTTAAGGGTTTGAGGTTCAGAGTTTCGGGGTCATGGTCGTGGTGGCGATGATGACGAGTATGGGCGATGATGTTTTTTTTTATTATGGTGACGTAGGACCCAAACTCTGAAACCTGACCCTCCGCCCTGAACCTCAAAGCGAGGGTTCAGGGCTTTGGGCTCTCGTCTTCCCCAAGCACCGAAAAGGGATTAGGTTTCTACTTGGACGATCATGGGACTTAGTAAGTAAGGTTATAAATACCTTAATTGGGGTTATAAGTATAGTTACCCTTATTATAACCCGAGTTACTAAGTCCCATGATCCTTTAAGTAGGAATGCTTTGGGCTTCAGGGTTTAGGCTTTCGGGTTCAGGGCTTGGGGTACATCCTTCGAGCCGACACCCCACAGAGTCGGATTCATCCGGCTTCGCCCTTTACTATAGGGGCCTTAATAATTAGAAGAGAGTTTTGGGGCCCATTATACAGTGGCTATGAGAAGGACAGCCCCAATCACAGCATAATAGGTAATTTTTAAGGCCCCTATATTAGGATTTTCGAGGGGTACGTCTTCCGGCGCTGAAGGACATGCTGAAGGGCCGCACTGCCACCGTCACGCTGGAGACGGACAAGCAGGTGATGGGTTAGCCGGTTTTAGTGTTGAGGGCTGTTGGGTTGATTCAGGCTTCGGGGGTTGGAGGGTCAGGCAAGAAGTTGCTTGAACCCGTGAAGGCACCAGCAAACGTTCAAGATCTGCGGTGTGACTACCTTGTGCATATGCACATCGTTTGCTGACGGCATACAGCCTGGATCCAAAACGCTTAACCCGACGCCTAAACCCCAAGCCTTAAAACCCTAAACTCTAAGCCCTAAACCCCTTAAACCCCCAAACCTTGAGCTTTTTTGGTGGTTGCGGGTTCCTCTGCAACCCTGGGTTGGCTTTGCGCTTACTCTGTTCCGAAGCTCTTCCCAGTGGTCCAAGACTTCAAACTGGATCGGTTGCAGGCACCCTGGCCTAGCATAGTATAGTACAGTATGGTATAGTACAATACAGCGTCCTGTAGTCTAGTATAGTAGTATAGTCAAGTAACCAGACTCGAGTATAGTATCTTACTTGAACGGAAAGCATAGCTACTTCTCTATGTTGGGGGCCCGGGGCCTAGGTGTGAGGAGTTTTGGGCCCCGTTATCGCCTAGCAGGTGTGCTAAGCCACGATGTGTGCCTAAGCCACGACGACCCGCTCGCGCCCCAGAGAAGGCACCTGTGCAACGGTTGCGAATGTGTCAGCCATGTGTTTGCACTAGCGGCTCGCGAGCGCTGCTGTAGGAACTTGGCAAATAACAGGCAAAGGCGAGTGTAGTTGCTGCGCTGGTCTCTGTTTCACATTACTAGGTTGCTACCAATGTTGTGCACCTAGAGGGCCCACGGGGTGGGAAATCTGCCGGGCTTGCTTCATGCTTCAGGGTTTGCGGCCATTGCGGGAAGGCAGTGGTAAGTACGGTAAGTGTGCACGGGGTTGGCGTTGAGGGTGATAGGATTCAGTCCTCTCTTCGGGGCTTTGTTCCGCCTTTCCTAGATGGCTTGGCGCTCACCGAGGTCGTTCAGGTCTCAACGCCACCTGAGTAGAATATTTTAAAATTGTCTTTTCCAAGATTTTCCTTCGGGTGCGAGCTTGCCAGGAAGCCCGGATAAGCTCGCAGCCAAAACTTAAATGAGGGGGCCTGAACAAATTCGGTTACCCTCGGTTTCGTCAATTTTCTTTCCGTTCATGCCAGCTCGACTGTGTGAGAACTTTGTAGCTCGTTCGCATGCTCCGCATGCGTCGCTGCGGCAGCTGTCATGCTGGCAGGGTGTGAACCTCTGCTGTCGTGGACAGTTGCACCACTTAAAGGATCATGGGACTTAGTAACTAGGGTTATAATTAGGGTAACTATACTTTTAACCCCAATTAAGGTACCTATAACCTTCCAAAGTCCCATGATCCTCCAAGTATTGGCCTTTCTCCCAGTCCGGGAGCCCAAGAATGGAGCCCTTGGGTTTCTTTTGCACCAGCTGGGAGGAATGCCCGTGCCTTCTGCACCCCGACTCTAGTGGACCAACGACGAGCATCTCCGGGAAACCTCGGCTGCTTTCGTGCCACGACGACAGCAGAAGTCATGATCGAACAAAGGACTTGCATGGCCATGACGATAGTGATGCTGGTCGTGATGCTGGTGGCGGTAGTAGTGATGCTGGTTGTGGTGGTGGTGGTGGTGGTGGCGGTGATGGTGATGGCGATGGCGCTGATGCTGACTACGATGACTGCTGCATGTGATGATGATGTTGATGATGATGGTGATGATGATGTACTATTGTGGTGACAGTAGCAGCCATGGAAGACTAAAGTTGCTGTTGTTTTTGACAGCCCCGTTGAGTCGAGGTGCCTCAGGCTATGCTAGTTCGTAGCACCCGAGGACTGAAAGCTCCGGGAGATGTTGGGACCGTTCGCACTCAGATTCTCAGGTGGGTCGGAGCTGTAGCAAACCTCTCTGAGCTCTAAATCTAAATCGCGAACTCGTTTGAGAGGTCTTGAAGCTGCAGGGTTTCGAGGCCAAGCGGCAAAACCGCAGCCATTTTCCAAGCTCCCGAGCTCTCGCACACGTTTTCCCTTCCCGCCAACCTCTGCAAAGCCGAGCCGCTTCCTGAGCTCCAGCCTTCAGTTTAGGGCTTTAGGGATTTAGGGATTTGGGGATTAGGGTTGAGGGTTTGGGGGTGAGGGTTTAGGGGTTTAGGGTTGAGGGTTTAGGGTCTTCAGGGTTTTGGACCCTTTGTTGAGGGTTTCAAGGGCATTTGTCTTCTCTGGGTTTTAAAGCGTAGCAGAGGCCCTGCGACCGCTTAGTATACCTGCTGTGCGGGGCCTGGAAATGTACCAATACTGTTGCGGAGGGTTCCTTATTATAGTTGTAGTATAATCTATCCCAAAACCCTATTCTCGATGTTAAGTTGCATTGATCACATCATCGCAACGATTAGTTAGGACGACTAGCTCAAAGGCAGCTAGCTTCTTCAGTGATGCACAACGCATCTTTCGAAGTACTCGCTCAGACTACTGTCCGCATGATCCCAAAACCCTATTCTGGTTATCAAGGTCCTATATTCGGTCATGAACTGTTTTATGACTGGGGGCAGTGGGGTCTCTGGGTAGATCCCGACCTCCAAACGCTTTAGGCTTTTAGACGGCTTTGGGTTTAGGGGTGGGGCTGCAGACCTCTGATTTTGTTGCGGGGTTCCGGTTTTAGTCAGAAGCCAGGGTGCATCAAAGTCTCTGCAGATGTCTTGATGTTGACAACTCGGCTTTGGGATTAGGAGGTCTAGGCTGAGGGCGCTATGGTTCCCTAATCACTAAGGAAACACCCATAGAGCTGAGTGCTTTGGTTTTTCAGGGCCCTTCTCAAACCCAGAGTGGTTGTGCTGCCCTCAGCATTTGATTGGGGGTGTGCGCTTGGCTGAAAGCGCCCCAATAGGCAATATAGGAGCCTTAATAATCATGATAAGGAACCACCAAAATAGTAAAGGAACTTATTCCCAGACCACCGGGAGGATCTAGAACGTAGATCCCCTAATTTGGGGTCCTATACTACTAAGGGTACCTTATAGGAACCCCCCCATTAAGGGATCTACTTTTTGGGATCCTCTCGGGGGTCTGGGTTGAGGCCCCTATATTAGGCAATGTAAGGGCCTTACTAACTAGAATAACAATAGTAAGAATAATAAGGAACCCCCTAAATAGTCTAGGTACACATTGAGGCCCCTATTTCAGGCTCACTTTTCTGGCATCGCCTTCAACCCCCCGGCCCTCCGAGCCTCAGACCGAACGTGCACTGGATTTTGGTACTGCCTGGCTGCTTTCGACCCTTTTCTACTTAAAGGGTCATGGGACTTAGTAACTAGGGATATAATTAGGGTAAGTATGCTTATAACCCCAACTAGGGTATTTGTAACCTTACTTACTAAGTCCCACGATCCTTCAAGTAGATCCTTCCGAGACAATCTTTTTTGTAGTGAAGGAAGCCAACGTGACTGAAGCTTTGCAAGCCCCAAAGACCGTCCGGCCCACTGCCTTGAGAAAGCGCTAAATCCCACGCTGTCAACCTTAGACACTTCAGCCTTGAACCTCGCCTGTCCCTGAACGAAGCCCCTAAACTCGTGCGCCCGGGATCCCTTCAACCCTGAAGCCCTCGAGCCCTGAACACTGGGGACCCTCAACCCCTCACCCTTATGAAGAAACCCGTCTAGACCCTTCAGGAGACAGAGGCCCTCCCTAGCCCCCTAACCCCTCATCCCTAAACTCTAACCCTTAAACCCCAAACCCTAAATCCTGACCCCTAAATCCTAAACCTTAAACCCTAACCCCTAAATCCTAATCCCTAAATCCTAAACCTTAAGCCCTAACCCTTAAATCCTAACCCCTAAATCCTAATCCTGAAACCCTAACCCCTGAACCGCAAACCTCCAGCGTGACTTCCTCCGAGTCCGAGGATGTCCGCGCCGAAGGCCACTCCCCCAGCGCAGGCCCCGACTGTCGTTCCCGTCGCCAAGGCCGGGGGCTCCTGAGCTCAGGGGCCCTAAATGGGAGTTTAGGGTTCAGGGTTCAGGGTTTTAAGGGTTCCTTAAAGGGATCCTTTGTGGCCTCCTTTAAAGGGATCTATAAGGGTTTCTATAAAGGGTTTAGGGTTTGGGGAGTTTAAGGGTTACTATAAGGTTCCTACAAGGGTTACTATAAGGGGTACTATGAGGGTTACTGTATGGGTATTAAGGATTTATATACGGGCTTAGGTTGTTTTTTTAAAGGGTTTTAAGGTATAAAGGGTTTAGGGTTTGGGGAGTTTCCGGAAATTAGGGTGCCTTATTTGGAGTTCCTTATAACACGGATCCTACTATTTAGGGTACTATATTAGGGTCCCCTATTCCCGGAAACTCCCCAATTACCCTAAAGTTTTGCAAACCCTAAGTCACCTTAGAGCCTAAACCTTAAAGTACGCTACCCCGCATGTCTGGTTTAAGGATTTAGGGTTAAAGGGGTTTAGGGCCTAGAGCTTAGGGACATGACAGTGTTACGTGCTAGTACTAGGAGCCTAGGAGCATGATGTTCTTGATGGTGATCATGATCCTTGCTTGGAGGATCATGGGACTTAGTAGTAAGGTTATAAGTACCTTAATTGGGGTTATCAGTATAGTAAGCCTAATTATAACTCTAGTTGCCAAGTCCCATGATCCTTTAAGTATGGTTCTGATGATGACGAGCATTACGAGCTTTTTTCCTGTGCTTGTCGGAGCTACTGTCGTGGTGATTCTTCAGTGCTAAAATGTCACTTAGGTCTCGTCACTGGAGAAGTACGGCGGTTACGATGATGATGATGATATTGGTGATGGTTATCCCGAATGCAACTCTATTTTTTCACATGGCTAGTGAGTTAGTGCTGCCGCCTTGACATGTAGATCTCCGGATAAGGTTCCACTGAGGTGTTTCGAGACCGGCAGTTTCGGCCGCAAGGCTAGGGATCTCTCCTGTCCGACCCGGGGCATAGAGTTTAAGAGGGCTTCTGAAATGCAATGAACTTATGGGGTTCAAGTTGATGGGTTCAGGGGCTTATGAGTTTTCAGAGGGCAGTAGAGCCAGAACCCTAAACACCTAAACCCCAAAACCTAACCTCAAAACCCTACATCCATAAACCCAAGGCCCTTGACCTGCGCCTTTCACGCTCGTACCGGAGGCCGCCGACGTCGCCCAGACCGCCAAGGCCCGGGAGGAGGCTCCCAACCGCGAGGAGCAAAGAGGGTGGGTTTCGGGGGGTTTAGGGGTTTAGGGTTTGGGGTTCTAGGGTTTGAAGGTTTTGGGGTTTGGGGGTTGTAGGGTTTTCGGGATTAGGACGTAGGGTGTAGGGTTTGGGGGTTGGGGTTTAGCAATCCCAGAGCTTTTAAAGCCCTAAAACTCCAAATTCCGAAAGCTCTGCACCCCTTAGCCCCCCAAACCCTTGAGCCCTACTCCAGATCCTAATGTCTTCGCATGCGGGTCTTTCCTTTCGGGGTTAGCTTGTATTCTGCACCCTTATAGAACCTTTAAAAGGAACTAGACCCTGAACCCTAAACCTTGAGAGAACTAACCCTAAACCCTAGAGCCTTCAACCTTAGAAAACCTTGCGCTCTGAACCCTCTAAACAGCGAAAAAAACAAGCAACAAGACCTAAAGCCCTAAGCCCTTAAGGCCTAAAACCCCGAAGCCCAAAACCCCCTAAAACCCTAAACCTTTAGTACCCTTATAGTAACCCTTATAGATCCTTTAAACCCCAAACCCCCGAAACCCTCGTGGCTGTAGCCTCCCAGGAGAAAGTGAAGGCCGCTGGCGCGGCACCCACGGCAGCCACGGCGGCCTCCGCACCCCCCCAGGCCAGGGTTCGAAGTAGGGCTTACAGTATAAGCCAAAAAGTTGGAAACCCAATTGGCTTCAATCCTTAAGAGTAATGTATAGGGAATCCCAGCACTATTTGGCCTTCATCCGGTTTCCAACTTTATGGGGTTTACTGTAGGGGTTTAGGGGTTCCTATAAGGGTACTATAAGGGTTCCTCTAAGGGATCGTTAGGGGTTCCTGTAAGGGTACTACAAGGGTTCCCTCTAAGGGATCGTGGATCCTTGCTTTGATAGACCCTGGAGTAATCCCTTTTGGGCGGTCCTTATATTCCCTCCACTAGCAGGCCATGGTTGGCTTTTGGGGCTCAGGGGACTGAGTATTTATGGTTATAGAGGTAGGGTGTGGGGTTGTAGGGGTTTAGTTGTAGGGTGTAGGGTTTGGGGTTTAGATTCAGGGTTTCGGGTATAGGGGTTAGCGATTAGGGTTTGGAGGTCAGGGTTTAGAGTAGTATCAGGATTTCCTTAGAGGGTTGTATTTGGGTTTGCGGGGTCTGCAGGGATGTCAGGGTGCAGAGGTCAGAGGTGGTTATAAGAAAAGACTGTATCGGGTTGTTGGTTGTTAGTAGGTATAGCCTCCGTAACGGGAGATCCTGACTATGGAATGACTTATTATAGACTTCCAGGACCCCTTGCTCTAGTAGCCCTTATATATCCTGTATTCTTAACAAGAATAACAACCCCTGTAGAACAAACCCCACTTACAGAACACCCTCATAGCAGCCTTTTTCTCGGACTCCTCGCCGCAGAGGTGCCAAAGTCCAAGGCCGCAGCGCTGGTGACCGGTGCATCGGCTCCCAAGGCAGCGGCAGAGATGGAGTCTTTCCTACCTTTGGTTAGTAGGGAATGGAGGAATGGGGTAGAATTATAACTAGTATTGCTACCATTCTTCCTTACCTTCCCTACTAACCAAAGGTAAGGTTTTAGGTAATGAGAGTTCGATATTACAAGGGCTACAAGGGCTCTGGAGTTTGGAGTGTTTTCTATCCAGGGCTCCCGGCTTTGGGCTTCAGGGAAGTTTTGGGGGTTTGGGTGTTAGGGTTCCTGGGTGTGGTGTTCAGGGTCTAGGATTTCGGGTGTAGCCTTAGCAAAGTACCACAATATGTGAGTGTGCTTCATACACTGCAGATGCATGCACGCAGGTTAGATGTGTTTCTGGAATATGTTGTAGCCTTGTAAGCCCTAAACACCAAGATGTTTTTTTCTTTCCTTTGAGGTGCCCTTCAAGGAACTTTCAAAGAAACCCCGTTTCGCTTCAGCAATTACCAACATGATTCCTGGGGGCTCCCTGTTTTGTTTATGGTACAATACACCCCCGAACCCTATTCTAATTACGGAGGCCTCTATATCATAGGTCCCTAGTATGGATCCCTTTTCGAACCCTTGAAAGAAACCCTTAAAAGGGACCCTGTTACAAAATTATTAAGGTCCCTACAGTAACGCTAAGGGAAACCTTAAAGGGAACCCTTAAAGGAGGTCTAAAAGGAACCCTTAATGGAGCCCCAAAAAGAAGCCCGTAAAGGGACCATTGAAGGAACCCTTAATGGAAATCCCTAAACCCTATAGAACCCTTAAAGGAACCCTGAACCTCCTAGAACCCCACTTGTAACCACCCATGAAGCTCGAAGTAGAACTAGCCATTGTGCAACCCTTACAGTAACGCTCATATCCTAAACCCTAAACCCTGAACCTTTGTCGTGGCCCCTTTGAAGCATGTGGTCTCGGGATCAGTTATCACTGAGGCCCCTGTATCATAGATCCCTATATTATAGATTTCTAAAAGAACCCTTAAAAGGGACCCTGATACACAATTATTACGGGCCCTACAGGTATCGTAGAACCCTTTGAATCTTTAAAGGAACCCGAAAAAGGGACCCTGTTACTTAATCTTCTTCTTAGTCTTGTTTTTATTCTTACCATTAATCTTACTGTTATCATCAGCTGTAATTCTTTACACAAGTATTAAGGCCCCTATATCCTAGATTTCTATTATAGATCCCTATTAGAATTATGGAACCCCTTAAAGTAGCTGTATTTCTTTACACAATTATCAAGGCCCCTAACCATAAACCCTAAACCCAAAGCCCTAAATCCTAAACCCTAAACCGAGGCCCCTAAAGCAACCGCGTGGTCTCGGGATCTGTTGGCCAGGCCTCCGGCAGCGGCCCGACCACCACCAGCCCGGCCTCCGCCGGAGCCGCCGGGCTGGAGCCGACCAAAAGAGCCCGTAAAAGGGTACTATAAGGGTTCCTATATAAGGGTTCCTATAAGGGTTCCTATAAGGCTTCTATAAGGGTTCCTATAAGGGTTCCTACAAGGGGTACTATAAGGGTTCCTAGAAGGGTACAAAAAAGGGTTACAAAAAAGGGTTGCTATAAGTGCTTGGGGCTTTAGAGTTTAGGGCTGAGAGTTTTAGGGCTTTAAGGTTTTAGGGTTTTGGGGACAAAAAGCGCTACAGGGTTTCGGGTTTGGGCTGTCTGGTTTCTGGGTTTTAAGGCTTTAGGGTTAGGGTTTAGAGGGTTTAGGGCTTTAGGGATGTAGGGCTGGGGCCGCGACGTCTTCTTGCCACGATTGATTTTTGCTCCAATGTTTCGGATCTGTTGAACACCATAGCGGATTGTGGGAAGGATGACTTTGTTTCTGCCGATTGCTATGGTGTCGTGACTAATGGGCTGTATGTCTGCAAGTGCTCAGATTCACGCTTAAAGCAGATCACCTCCCCTCCCTACCCCAAAGTTGGAACCGCCAGCCCTAAACCTCGGGCTTTTGTCCTGGACCCCAAACCCTAAACCCAAACCCATCGGCCCATCTAACCCCTAGAACCCCATAGTACCCTGATAGTGACCCTTGTAGAACCCTTCGAAGGAAACCCTACAGTAGCCCTTTATAGATCCCTTAAAGGAACCCTTACTTAAAGGATCATGGGACTTAGTAACTAGGCTTATAATTAGGCTAACTATACTTATAACCCCAATGAGGGTACTTATAACCTTACTTACTAAGTCCCATGACCCTCCATTATAGAACCCTTATAGATCCCTGTAAGGAGCCCTTTATTATAGAGCCCTATAGTACCCTTAAAGGAACTACTAAGTCCCATGATCCTCCAAGTAGATCCATGAAAGGAACCCTTAAAGGAGCCCCCAAACCCAAGACCGAGAAAGCAGCGGCCGAGGTCTCCGCCGCTGCCCCCAAGTCCAAGGCGGTGTCCCCGATTTCGGCCGCCGCCGTCATGGAGGCGGGTGTGGGTTCAAGGGTTTAGGGTTTAGGGCTTTGAGGGTTCCTATAAGGGTGATTTTAGTATGAAGGGTTCTATAAAGGGCTACTATAAGGTTTCTATAAGGTCATGGAGGCGGATGTGGGTTGGCAAAGGATGCATAGACGGGTAAGGGCTTTGGGGGTTTTGATATTTTCGTCACCTTCCACCCCTAGGCTTGAGGGTTTTCGCGCTTATGGTTTATGGCTGTGGGTTTGGGTTTCAGTTTTTCGGATTTGGGACTTCGGGTGTCTGCGCTGACCTGCCCGACGTCCTCATCCTTAAACCCTAAACTCCTAAACTCCTGAAGCCTAAACTCCTACACTCTGAACCCTGAATGCCAAGTCAGGAACTATAGACAGCGTGAAGCCCTTCCCTGAAACCTAAACCCTATGCCCTAATTCCGAAGCCGTAAGCCCCATAAGCCCGAACCCACAACCCAAAATCCCTAAAGCAGTTAACATATTTGTGCAAGCCTGTGAGGGTCGTGTTTGCAGGGGAAGGGCCCATTGCGTTTAAAAAAGCTGAAACCCTAAACCTTATAGAACCCTATAGTACCCTTATAGTACCCAAAACCCTGAATCCCAAGTCAGGAAGGCAAGAAGCCCGCGACGGCTGCCGAGCGCTTCGCTGCAACCGGCTCGGTCCTGGCCAGAGGACATGGCTTTAGGGTTTAGGGTTTTTGAGTCTTTTTGGGTTTTAGGGTCGGGTTTGGGGTTTAGGTCTTTCAGGGTTCCTATCAAGGGTTGAGGGTTTTGGGGCTTTTAGGGTTCCTAAAAGGGTTCCCATAAGGGTTCTATCATGGGCCATTATGAGGGTTCTTAGAAGGCTTCTATAGTGGGCTACGGGTTCTGCCATGAGCTACTAGAAGGGTTCTGTAATGGGATATCATGAGGGCTCTACAAGGGGCTACTATATGGTTCTTTAAGGGTTACGGTTACTATTGCAGTTTTCGGGTTTGGGCTCTAGCCCCCTAAGTCTTAAACCCTAAACCCTAAACCCCATACCCTAAATAGATCCCTTACAGTAGCCCTTACAGTACCCTTTATAGGAGCCCTTGTAGTAGACCCTAAGCCCTACCAGCCCTAAGTCCAAGAGGGCACCGAACGTCTGGAAGCTCTTCTTGGAGGTTCATGGGACCTAGCAGCCTAGCAACTCGGGTTATAAGTAGGGTAGGTATACTTATAACCCCAACTAGGGTACTTATAACCTTACTTACTAAGTCCCATGATCCTCCCATTAGAGACCCCTTTATGGATCCCTTTAAGGAACCCTGTTATAGAACCCTATAGTACCCTAAAAAGGAACCCTCAACCTTACTAAGTCCCATGAGACCCCCCGCTTCGCAGGAATGGGAGCCAAGGCGGAGGCGCCCAAGGCCCGCAGTTTGGGCTCTTGGGGTTCTAGGCCGTTTAGGGTTTAGGGTTGAGGAGTTTGGGAGTTTAGGAGGTTAGGAGTTGAGGAGCTGAGGAGTTTAGGAGTTTAGGGTTCGGGGTATAGGGTTTCTTCATACTTCTCAGGCCAAGGCGAAGCCGGCCGCGGCCATGCCCACCACCTCGAAGTACGCCGGCTCCGCGACCATGACCCAGGCCGCCCCCACCAGCGTCTCTTGGCTGGCACATGTCAGGCTCGCTCGCGAGGTGCAGAGTGCTCCATTGCAGCTTTAGCACGTGGAGCATTTTGACCGCTCAGGTGCTGAACATCGTCAGCGGTAAGCCGGTGGCTGCGGGCGAGGTCGCCAGCAGCGCGCATACCACGAGCTCCGTTGGCCCTGCCCGGGGCTACGCCAAGGCCTGGACGGATCTTTGTCTCGCAGGGGTTGGGGTCAGATTTTATCCCGGCCTTGCTTGAGGCGGCCGGCGCCGTTCTGCCCAGCAGCGCCCCAAAGGTTCGCGGTACTCACATCCGGCTTGCTTCATGCGGCTGCGCGTGAAGAGTCGGGGCATGTTGACTCTGACCGGACCTTCTGTGCTGCAGATCGGGCCACCTGCCGTGGCCGTTGGACGCGCTATGGCTGAGGCAATCGGCTGTTACAAATCCCAATGCCGAGCAGCATACAGTGCCTGCCGTGAAATAGTCCTTGCATCAGGGACGCCCTGCGGTGTCTATGGCTGGCGGCAAGTTGGTCACAACCATCAGCAAGAAGTTCCAGCATCTTGGCGAGCACATGTGCGTCATCTAGGCGTACCTGTCGCATGTCAGAATGCTTGTCAGGATCGTGTTCGTGACCAGCGAAGTGGCACCCTTCTCGAAGACTGGAGGCGCGATTCTGGATGATGCTTCCATTGCCTTCGGGCCGGGCCGTTTCTGCGCATCATGCATGCTTTCAGGCCTGGGTGAGGCCATGGACGGCCTGCCCATTGCGCTCGCGGCCCTGGGCCACCGATGCATGGTCATCTCTCCTCGCTCCTCGGCGTAGAATCTTGCAAAGATCCGACAGGCTCATAGCCAGCCCTCATCCATCCTCTGAACACAAGCGCTCCCATCTCCTTCCGGCGTGTTCAGGCTACGACCAGTACAAGGAGGCTTGGGACACGGGCTACTGGGGCTCCGTGCCCATGGGCGGCAAGAACGAGTCCGTGCACTTCTTCCACACCTACAAGCAGAAGGCTCTTGCTTTCCATCGCGGTTCTAGCAGCGTGGCAGGCTCTGCTTAAAGGATCATGGGACGTAGTAGTTAAGGGTATAATGAGGGTAACTGTACTTATAACCCCAATTAAGGTACTTATATCCTTACTTACTAAGTCCCATGATCCTCCATGTGCTGTTGCTTGGATTCGCGTTTGCAGGTCGATTACGTCTTCGTCGATCACCCCACCTTCCTGGAGCGTGTCAACGGACTGACAGGCCGAGCTCAAGCGGGGCAGTTTGCACCGGTTTGCCGGATTGCGTCGTATAAGTACCTATATTATTTTGGGGGTTCCCGATTATATTTGTAGTATAGTGCGCCCCAGAACACTGTTCTAATTACGAAGGCCCAATTATTAGGAGTCTTTGGGCTGGCAGAGTGCAGAATTTGGGAGTCGCAGCAGCCGATGTAGGTGTCATTTGCACTGGGAATCATGCGCGAAAACTGTCGGATGAGTGGCGTCCGTGGGTTTGTGCAGGTGCCAAGCTCTACGGCCCGGAGTGGGGACAGGACAGCTCCGATCAATTGGTAATCTGGTCATCAAGATTGTGCAGGTTCTAGATCCCGAGGCCGTGAACCGTAAACCCCTAAACCCTCAATCCTGGTCCGGTAAGAACGATCCTCAATCCTAGACTCTAGACCCCTCCGCATACCCGAGAACTCGAAATCCGAAACCGCGAGGCTCAACACCGGCATCAGACACCCCCCTTGATAGTCCCGAGATTCCAATTTTTCAGCTCTGCGAGCACAGGATTTCGCAGATAGCCAGGCCCAACACCCAAATCCCTAACACTCCATAATTCTCCAACCCCTAGGTGGCGCCCCAGACAGGACTTCGCAGACAACCAGGCTCGCTTTGCCTACTTCTGCAAGGCGTGGAGGGAGATCGGATGGTGGTAATAGGAACTAAACAGGGTTTCGAGGGTTTCAGGCTTTAACAATTTTGGGGCTTTAAGGGGTTTCGGGATGGCTGATGGGGGTCTCTTAAAGGGCCATGGGCCTTCATTGATCCGAGCTTTTCTTGGAGATACGTTCTGGGATCATCATACCGAGGAACCCTAACGAATTGTGTTACGACTTTTTCAGGTGCATTAACTGGGTTTAGATGCTTTGTGGCTGTCTTTGTGGGCTCTATAAGGGTGCTGCCCGGATCCAGGTTTAGAAGCACTGGTACCTGCAAGATTGGGGGTAGGGGTACGAGTCATATGGTATGTTGTAGGTGCTTCAAACGGTTGCTACCTGACTTGCATAGCCCTTCTAGCCGGGTTGCTCGTTTTTGACCCTCCGACCTCCACCTATAACCATTGAAAGCGTACGTACTCCCTATGATTTCAAATGAGTAGTGTAGGGTATTGCTTACCCTGATGAACAATGTCCCCAAGTCCTGCAGACCTTGGGTTTGATATTTTAGGCGCTTACACTACTTACCCAAAAACCCTAAACCCTATCTAATCTTATAAGCCCTAAAACCTCCCTTCCTTGCAGAGGCCGCGTTGAAGGCGATTCAGGAACTGCCCCTGGGCGGCGCTGTGCCCGGGGCTCGGAATGCTTTGTTTTGTGGGGCGTCTGGGGTTTCGGAGTCAGGATTGAGGTAAGGTCCTTGAAGGTTGGAGGTTCAGGTGTTGGAGTGTTCGGTGGTTCCTTTTTGGGCATTCGGTTTAGGGACTTGGGGGTATGTGCAAACCCTCGACCGCCTCGCTACCCAAACCCAGGAAGACTTCTCAAAGAGCGGGTAGGTATGGAGGGTTTAAGGCTCATATTGAGCTTCTCGTGGTGGGTTCAGGGCTAGGTAGGGGATAATTACCCTGCAGCTGGAGGTGAATGTGGGAATGGATCCCTCTAGTAGTCCCTAAATAACCCCCAAGAATAGTCTCCAATATCCATTCTCCCATTCCCTACTAAGAACCAGACAGTCACAGAGCGCCAGGTATGGAGGTGACTGCATGGTGGTCTGCAACGACTGGCACTCGGCCCTGGTGCCCATGCTCATCCACGCCGAGAAGCCCACAGGCCCCACGGCCAGGATTCAGACTTAAGGTAAAAGCCAGAAAGTTGGAATATGATTATCCTAACCCTTCTATGGTACATCATAGGGTATCCTACCATGAAACCATATTCCAACTTTCTGGAGTTCCCTGTATGAGGCTCAAAAGCCCGGAGCCCCAAAGCACTGTAGCAAAGCCCCAAGGCCGGAGCTCGGCAGCCGAAGCTTCAGCTATCAATCCTCTCGACCCCCACAACCAAACAGATCAATCTCTCTCTGTCTTCATTCCGCGTCTCTTATCGCCCCAAGCAACTCCAATCCCGACCTCCACTTCCTGAGCCATACAACCCTAAAAGCCTCAAATCCAAAATCCTAAACCCCCTTAAACCCCTACATACACCCTAAACCTTCCAAAACCACCAAATGCCTGCAACCTAAACCCTCAAAGCCAAACCTGCAGGCAAATGGACGAACACGAAGTCCGCTTTCCTCTGCCACAACGCCGTCTTCCAGGGCCGATTCGTGCGTGAGGAAGGCCCGAAAGGGTTAGTTCTGTTGGGGTGTTCGGTGTTCCATAAGGGCAAGGGTTCCTTTAAGCCATAGTACATGATATTATGGGATACGAAAGTGTTGGTATAGGCGGGATCGGGCTCTCGGTGTAGGGTTTTGGATTTCGGGCTTTGCGTTGTTTGGCTTTAGGGCTCTGCTGGCGTAAGAGGGTACGTGGGCCCCGACCCAGCAGCGAGTATCTTGTGATGAGCATCTTGAGTATTGCCATCTTCTTTGAAGCCCTAAGCCCTAAACCATTGGTTCGGGGTTGGAGGGACCCTATTGAATACTGCCCCCCACTTTGTAACAGTACATTCTGAATACAGAAATTCTGAGGCCCTTCATAGCAGCCCTCTTACAGACTGCTACTGTCCTCATTACCGTATATCATCGTATATCATAGTATATCTATAGTATATCTATAGCACATTATGCTACATCACAGTATGCTATAGTACATTATACTATATCACAGTATCTTATGCTATGTTATGGTACATTTCAGACTATCACTGTGTGGAGGCACCTAAACCCAAGGGAACCCGGGCCTGCCCTGTGAGTCTTCATCCAGGCCTCGCCAGCGTCTTCGGCGTGCCAGAGCGCTACATCGACAGCATCTGGGCTCGTGCTGTTGAACTTAAGCGAGCAAGTAATACTCATCATCTTCACCATCATCATAGTAAACTTAAAAGAGCAGGTAATAATAATGATCGTCACCATAAGAGTAATGAGAAACATGCACTACAATATACTTTAATGTACTAGAATAGGCTATGGCATACTATGATATTAGGGCTCTTGCTGATGAACTTAAAAGGGGCGAATACAAGTATGATTGCTTTATTATGGAAGCTTAGAATATGCGTCGAAGTGTGCGTTTTGTACTAGTATGGTGACTTAAACTCAGCCACTCGAACAAACACGCCCAGGCATCACCTTCAAGATGCCCCTGCGCATTGGCAAGTACAACGAAAAGGCCGTGGCTAAGATTTGGGTTTGGAGTTTGAGGGTTTAGGGCTAGTAGTACAATTAGTACTATTATTGCTATTATTGCTATTATTGCTATGATTATTATTATTACTACTACTACTACTGCTACTACAGTGTTTCGCATTGAGGGTCCCCGAAACCCAGGCCAAGCCCTCAACTCTGATAGTACACAAGCTTGAAAACGGTTGATGACACTAGTTTTGCATGAGCCATACTAAGGAATATACCATAATGCCCATATATTACGTATTATGGGTAATGCAGGATTTATATCATCAACCGAAACCTTCCTGAGCCCTAGAGGGGCAGAAAGCAGCCGTGAGTCAACGCTCTTGGCAGTTTAGCTTGGGGGTTTTGTGACGACTTAGGCTTTCTGCGCCGTTCCGGGTGCCGCATGCCGGCTCTACCCATTCATCTGAGCCAACAATTTTCGGATTTATCGGCTTCAACAGTTTCAGATTCGCCGCAGATGTCCTGCATCAACACCATGGCTGCGGGTCTGCGCTATGCCGATCGGGTCCGCAACCCAGTTATGCTGTTGATCCTTCTATATTAAAGCATGTTATATGGGCTTCGTTTGTTAGGGTTTAGGGATATGCATTGCGTAAACAGTTCGGCAAACACATTGACATTTAACTGTGCAAGCAAAGCAGGGCATGTGCACACACACACACACAAACAGACAAACAAACACAGAGCTATAGGGGATTCGCGGCTCAAGCTTTGCGATATGCTCACAAGCGCACACAGGTGCACGCGCACATGCATCCTTAAAGTAACGTAAGTAAGATACGCGGATATATACGTGTGTGCATTATGTATGTGTGTATAAACAAATGTCATGTGTATGAACGTAGGTTTGTCTTTGTGTATAAATGTATATATGTACATATGTATATAGGTATCTATGTGTCTATGTATCTGTGTACCTATGTACAGGTATATGCACATATGTGCGTGTGTCCCATGAGTCCGGTCTATCTACAGTCTATCCATCTTTCGTCTATCTATAACTGTCTAGTACTGTCTATCCATTCAACCATCCATTTAACTATCCGTCTATCCCATCCATCCATCCATCCATCCATCCATCCATCCATCCATCCATCCATGCTTTCATCCATACGCATTCGGCATGCAATCATGCAGGCACAGGCCCCAGCATATGTAACACGTGCCGCAGTATGTAATTAATACGTAAGATGTAACATGTGCATGTAGATGCACATCTCCTTGAGCCTGCTAAAGCCTGCTCGAGGCCCTGACCGTGTCTCCCAGCTACGCGGTGGAGTGCTGCACGGATCCGGAGAAGGCCTTGATCTGCGCAGACTCGACTGTACGGTTAAGCACTGAAGACTGTAGGGCTTGGGGTGTTATCGTGAACGACCTGCATCTCAGAGGTGCGAAGGGTCAAAGTCAGTGTGGCAGTGAAAGTCAGTCAAAGTGCCTTCCTGCACACAGGGCGTGGAGTTGGAGGACCTCTTCAGCTTGGGCAAGTGCACAGGACCCTTTGCAGAGGAAGGCTTCAAGCGGAGCCATGCGGAGTGGTCTCCATTCTCCTGTAACTGCTGTCCTCCCAGTATATCATAGTATATTATAGTATATCATAGTACAGTATAGTATATTATAGTATCTTCTTGTATCTCATAGCCTGTTAAGCATGTTGAACTCGTAGCGGCCATGATGCAGGAATCCTGAACGGCGTGAAGGAGGGCGTGACCCCCAGCGACAAGAACTTCGTCACGAAGACCATGATGAGCTGCGGAGTCTTCACCGCCGGATGCTCAGGAGGCATTGGGTCCAGGCTTTGGGCGCCGGCGGGTTTAGCCCCGAGTCGCCTTCAAGCGAACTCCTGGCTCTCAAGGCTAAGGATTTGGTGTACGAAGATTTAAGCCCCGAAGCCCTCAGCCCCAATACCGCAAAGTCTGAAGGTCTAATAAACCCCATAACCATGAACCACACAACCCTGCACCCCCCAAACCCACGCTAAAAGGCGTCAGCACTGGGACCAAAAACAGCGCATGGACAAATAGTATTTACACAAACGTGTGTGTTTGGATGTTTTGTAACCCTCATAGCAACCCTTACAGTCACACTAAGAGTAGGGGACCCTTAAACGGAACTCTAAACAAAGAGAGCCCCATAGTCGTTCCCTTAAAGGAAACCCCTTATAGAACCCAATAATACCCTTTAAGGGGATTATGCAATAAGTAACAGTTATGGTAGCCCTTATATGTATATTAGCCTCACAGTTCCCCTAAAGGACCTCTTATACAGTAACCTGATAGTTCCCTCATAAAGGAGCCCTCCTTACACCCAGAGAGCCCAATACCCCTTAATTAAGGAATATAGCTTAAACCATAATATGAAGCCCCTTAAAATTTAAGGTATATTGCTTAATTAAGGGGTACTGGGCTCTCTGGGCAGGAGCCCCCCCAAAGCCACGGAAGCGCCTTCCCTCGCCAAGGCGGCCACCGCCCCGGAGGCTAAGGCGGAGCTGAAGGCCGGTCATTAGGGACCCAAAAAGCACATAAGCATAAGCATTTCATGGGGATATCCCTAAACCCTAAACCCTAAACCCTAAACCCAAATCCCTAAACCCAAAACCCAAAACCCTAAACCCTAAACCCTTAAACCGGGGATTGATATGGGATATCCCTATCCTATTTTTTGCTTATGTGCCTTTTTGGGGCCCTAGGTCATGCTCTGGGGGGAGTTGGGGTGCCCAGAGACTCCTAGGGTTCCTTTAAAGGGATCCTTTAAGGGCTCCTTTAAGGGTTCCGCTAAGGGATCTATAACGTTTAGGGTTAAGGGGACTCCAGTATCGCCTCTTTGAAGGAATGTACCTTAAATTGTAGTAGGATCCCTACTATGATTAAAGGATATTCCTTGATTAAAGGATATTGGAGTCTCGGGGTTCCTGAAACGGAGATTTTTTGGGGATATTTGAGGGTTCCTTTACAGGTTCTTACACGGGTTCTATTTAGGGTTCCCTTTAAGGGTTCCCTTTCAGGGTTCCTAGAAGGGTTTAGTGTTTGATCAGGGGGGTTCCTGTGGGGCGGTTTTCTGAAGGCTTCGTTTAGGCTCTCCTTTAATTTAAGGGATCCTACAAGGGTCACTATAAGGGTTCTAGGTTCTTAAATGGGATCCTACACGGGTTGTTATGAGGGTTCCCACAATGAGATGCTATAAGTCAATAAGGGTTACCATAAGGGTGTAGTTTTTTTTATAGGGGTTGTTATCAGGGTGCCTACAAGTCAATAAGGGATGCTCTGAGGGTTTGGGGTTCCTCCACATTTTGTTATGAGGCTTCTATAGTGAGCTACTAGAACGGTGCAGGGTTTTACAAGTAGGGTTTTTCAAAGGATTCCTATAAGGGTTACTCTCCGGGTTCTTCTAAGAAGCTTTTCAGGGTTTGGGGCTCAAGCTTTCGCGCCCCGCAAGGCCAGCTACCGCGCGCAGAACAACCTCCCGGCGTCCACCGGCCCCCTGATGTGCTTCATCGGAAGGCTCGCGGGCTCCAAACGGCCAGCGAAGAGTTCAAGCATCCCAATCTCCCTAAACCTTACCTAGACCCTAGATAACTACCTCCCCTCTCGTGATTTCCTTATATAAGTCCGTAAAAAAGGTAGGTTATTGGGGGTTAAGGTCTGTTCCCTAAAGCCCAATTTCCTGAAACCCTAACCCAGATCCCTGAGAATCCTGGGAGGCTGGATGCCCAGAACCCTAACCCTAAACCTTAACCCTAAGCCCCCAAAACCCACAAAAATCAACAGCCTAAACCCGAAATCCTAAAGCCTAAACCCGAGACCCCCAAGCCCTAAACCCTAAAGCCCTAAACCCTAAAGCCCTAAACCCTAAACCCCTAAACTCCTAAACCCTAAAGCCCCTGGGAGGCTGGATGCCCAGAAGGGCTACGACCTCCTCTTGGAGGCTCTGGTGGAGATTCTCGAGGCCTCCCGACTCCAAGGGTTGCGGTTTAGGGTTTATAGGGTTTGGGGTTTAGGGGTTTATAGGGTTTATAGGGTTTCGGGTTGATAGGGTTTAGGGTTTAGGGTTTATAGGGTTTATAGGGTTTTAGGGTTTAGGGCAGAGTTTAGGGTTTACTTAAAGGATCATGGGACATAGTAACTAGGGTTCCTTAAAGGGCTCCTTTAAAGGGATCTACAGGGGTTCTATTATTAGAGGGGGTTTATAGGGTCTACTGAAAGGATCATGGGACATCGTAACTAGGGTTACAACCCTAATTAAGGTGCTTAGAACCTTGTTTACTAGGTCCCAAGATCCTCCAAGTAGGCTTTCGGGTGTGGGCTGAAGGCTTCCGGTGTAGGTTCGAGGGTTAAGGCTTGCTGCCAGAGTTTCGAGGGTTTTTTGGAGTTTTGGGAGGTAGTCTAGGGTTCGGGGTGGACCCTAAACCCTAAATCCCACAGTCCCGACACCCGAACCCGAAAGCCCTCTAAAGAACAGTTTGCCCTAGGCCCTTATACAGCCCTTATAGCAACCCTTATTGTCATCCTTATAGTGACCCTTCAAAGGAAGCCAGCCCCTCTTTATAGTCTTACAAAAACCCTTATATACTACAGCAATCCTTCTAGTAGCCCTTCAAAAACGAAGGCCCCCACTTTTTCGAATCTAAAAAGGGGGGCCTCCCGTCGCCAGCAATCCTTATAGTTAGTAGCCCTTTCAAGAAAGGCCCCCCCATTTTTTGCATTTCAAAGGGGCCTCCCGTCGCCAGGACACCGAGCTCCAGGTCGTCATCGTCGGCTCCGGCCGCGCCGACCTCGTGGCTCAGCCTCCCGGCCGCAGACCTTTGCTTCGAGTTTTTCTGAGGGCTTCCTTTAAAAGGGCTACCATCCTTTAAAGGGGACCTATAGGGGTCCTATGATAAGAGGGTTTTTAGGGTTTACTTAAAGGATCATGGGCCATGGGACTTAGTAGCTAGGGTTATAATTAGGGTAAGTATACTTATAGCCCCAATGAAGGTACGTATAACCTTACTTACTAAGTCCAATGATCCTCCAAGTAAGGATGACTATCAGGATGACTATAAGTCATAAGGGTTACTACCAGAGCTTCTACTCGTTTCAGGGCTTTCCCTTCCTGCTTTGAGGCTTGAAGGGGCTTTAGATGAGGTTGGGGCTTCTGGGAGACTAACGGGGTATGCAGTATGCATTAGAAGCTGCCCCCACCCTGTAATAGTGGTATAATAGGAATATAGTAGGGCCCTAGTATAACCCTATGTGTATTGGACCTCTATGTATGATTTGCAGGTCTCTGTTGTTTCGAAAGACGCATAGGGGATACGAGAATACAGAAACCAGTTTCAAAAAGTTCATTTTTTTTCAGAAATTTCCTTCAAAAGGAAAAATTATTAAAAAAAATTGAAATTTTTGAAAAAATAAAGACCCTGGCCAGGCCCGGCCGTCGCCCACCAGGAATCTTTAAAATTTTTGAAAAAATTGAAATTTTTGAAGTTTTTGAAAAATAAAGACAAATTTCTCAATAATTTCAATTTTTTCAAAAATTTCCTTCAAAAGGAAAAATTTTTGAAAAAATTGAAATTATTGAAAAAATAAAGACCCTGGCCAGGCCCGGCCGTCGCCCACCAGGAATCTTTAAAATTTTTGAAAAAATTGAAATTTTTGAAATTTTTGAAAAAATAAAGACAAATTTCTCAATAATTTCAATTTTTTCAAAAATTTCCTTCAAAAGGAAAAATTTTTGAAAAAATTGAAATTTTTGAAAAAATAAAGACCCTGGCCAGGCCCGGCCGTCGCCCACCAGGAATCTTTAAAATTTTTGAAAAAATTGAAATTTTTGAAATTTTTGAAAAAATAAAGACAAATTTCTCAATAATTTCAATTTTTTCAAAAATTTCCTTCAAAAGGAAAAATTTTTGAAAAAATTGAAATTTTTGAAAAAATAAAGACCCTGGCCAGGCCCGGCCGTCGCCCACCAGGAATCTTTAAAATTTTTGAAAAAATTGAAATTTTTGAAATTTTTGAAAAAATAAAGACAAATTTCTCAATAATTTCAATTTTTTTCAAAAATTTCCTTCAAAAGGAAAAATTTTTGAAAAAATTGAAATTTTTGAAAAAATAAAGACCCTGGCCAGGCCCGGCCGTCGCCCACCAGGAATCTTTAAAATTGTTTGAAAAATTTGAAATTATTGAAATTTTTGAAAAAATAAAGACAAATTTCTCAATAATTTCAATTTTTTCAAAAATTTCCTTCAAAAGGAAAAATTTTTGAAAAAATTGAAATTTTTGAAAAAATAAAGACCCTGGCCAGGCCCGGCCGTCGCCCACCAGGAATCTTTAAAATTTTTGAAAAAATTGAAATTTTTGAAATTTTTGAAAAAATAAAGACAAATTTCTCAATAATTTCAATTTTTTCAAAAATTTCCTTCAAAAGGAAAAATTTTTGAAAAAATTGAAATTTTTGAAAAAATAAAGACCCTGGCCAGGCCCGGCCGTCGCCCACCAGGAATCTTTAAAATTTTTGAAAAAATTGAAATTTTTGAAATTTTTGAAAAAATAAAGACAAATTTCTCAATAATTTCAATTTTTTCAAAAATTTCCTTCAAAAGGAAAAATTTTTGAAAAAATTGAAATTTTTGAAAAAATAAAGACCCTGGCCAGGCCCGGCCGTCGCCCACCAGGAATCTTTAAAATTTTTGAAAAAATTGAAATTTTTGAAATTTTTGAAAAAGTAAAGACAAATTTCTCAATAATTTCAATTTTTTCAAAAATTTCCTTCAAAAGGGAAAATTTTTGAACAAATTGAAATTGTTGAAAAAATAAAGACCCTGGCCAGGCCCGGCCGTCGCCCACCAGAGAAATTTGTCTTTATTTTTTCAAAAATTTCAAAAATTTCAATTTTTTCAAAAATTTTAAAGATTCCTGGTGGGCGACGGCCGGGCCTGGCCAGGGTCTTTATTTTTTCAATAATTTCAATTTTTTCAAAAATTTTTCCTTTTGAAGGAAATTTTTGAAAAAATTGAAATTATTGAGAAATTTGTCTTTATTTTTTCAAAAATTTCAAAAATTTCAATTTTTTCAAAAATTTTAAAGATTCCTGGTGGGCGACGGCCGGGCCTGGCCAGGGTCTTTATTTTTTCAAAAATTTCAATTTTTTCAATAATTTTTCCTTTTGAAGGAAATTTTTGAAAAAATTGAAATTATTGAGAAATTTGTCTTTATTTTTTCAAAAATTTCAAAAATTTCAATTTTTTCAAAAATTTTAAAGATTCCTGGTGGGCGACGGCCGGGCCTGGCCAGGGTCTTTATTTTTTCAAAAATTTCAATTTTTTTAATAATTTTTCCTTTTGAAGGAAATTTTTGAAAAACTTGAAATTATTGAGAAATTTGTCTTTATTTTTTCAAAAATTTCAAAAATTTCAATTTTTTCAAAAATTTTAAAGATTCCTGGTGGGCGACGGCCGGGCCTGGCCAGGGTCTTTATTTTTTCAAAAATTTCAATTTTTTCAAAAATTTTTCCTTTTGAAGGAAATTTTTGAAAAATTGAAATTATTGAGAAATTTGTCTTTATTTTTTCAAAAAGTTTAAAGAATTCCTGCTGGGCGACGGCCGGGCCTGGCCAGGGTCTTTATTTTTTCAATGAATCCCGGCGGGTGACGGCCTCCTTGACCGAGTGGAAAAGGATCAGCCCTTTTCTTCTTTATGAAATTGGAAGGAGCTTTCCTTTGGTTCTCGATGGTTAGGTAGAGAGTAGAGAACTCATACATTGTCGAGGGTGGGGGGGGCGTCTCTGTCCTCCCTGGCTAGGAGTGAGGTGTCTTCACTCTTCTCAAGTTGAGAAGCGATTTACCAAGAGTAAATGGAGCTCTCTAGAAAGAAGCTCTCTTCTCTTACAACGAAAATGTCAGGGGGAGCTCTCTTCTTTTTCTTTTAGAGCATGAGGTGGACGACTTCTGGTTCTTTTCAAGAGGGCCAAACCTCTTTGTTTGAAGGGCTCCATCCTTGCTTTGAGCGTATGCTCTCTTCGTCTTTTGAAGGGGTAGAGGGGATAGTCAGCATCTCCTTTTGCCTAGAAAGAAGGAGGTCTCTTCTTGCCGACTAAGGGGTAAACGGAGCTCTCTTCTTTCTCGATATCTTGGAGGGGCTTCTTTGTTTTTTTTTGAGATGGAGCTTGCTTCTGTCTCATTAGACTGGAGGAAGCTCTCAGTCTCTTCTTGTCGAGGACGAGGTAGAGAGGGCTTTTCTTTTTGGAAGCTGCTGGAGCTCTGTCCTCTCGTGCCAGTGTATCTCTTTCTCTACTGAGAGGCAAAGGAGCTCTCTGCTAGAAAGAAGCTGTCTTCTCTTACCAACAGTATCTTGGATTGAGTTCTCTGCTAGTTTCCGAGGATGAGGTCGAGGGCTTCTCTTTGCCTTTTGAAGGCCGCAGGGGAGGACCAGACTTCGCTTGTCAAGGTTTGAAGTTTGGAAGAGCTCCGTCCCTTCTTTTTGATCGAACGCTCGCTTCAATGTATTGAAGAGGAGTGGAGAGGAGATGGTCAGGAGCTCTCGCCGCTGACTAAGAGAGAAAGGAGTCTTCTTGTTGTCGACAGAGAGGTAAACAGAGCGCGTGTTTTTCTGAGAAGTTAGAGGGGCTTGTCTTTTCAATTGTTGGGGTGGAGGACCTTCAACGGGATCTCTTCCTTTACCAAGAGGTTTTTGGAGCAGCCCTCTTCTTTCTTGTGAAATTGGAGCGAGCTTTCTTCCTGTTTTCGATGATTAGGTAGAGAACTCACACACTGTTGGGGGGGGTCGTCTCTGTCCTCTGTGGCTAGGAGTGAAGTCCAGTCTTGAGAAGCGGCTTACCAATAGATAATGGACATCTCTTCTAGAAAGAAGCCCTCTTCTCTTACCACGGAACTCTTGGGGAGGAGCTCTCTTCTTGTTGGCGGCATGAGGTGGGGGAGTTTTCAAGGTTGAAAGCAGGAAAAGAGGCTGGGTGGGAGCTCCACCATCTCTTAGGTTCACTTCCATAATTTTGAAAAGGTAGAAGGGATAGTCAGGATCTCGTTTTTTACCTGTAGAGAAGCTTGGTCTCTTCTTGCCGACTGAGGGGTAAACGGAGCTCTCCTTTTTCTCGATAACTTGTAGGTACATGGTTTTCATTTTGTAGATGGAGCTCTCTTCTGTCTCATCAGGTTGGAGGAAGCTCTCAGTCTCTTCTTCTTTTGCTTTTGTCTTTGGAAGTTGGGGGAGCTCTGGTAAGCTCCAGTCCAACTTCTGAAGAGGAAGAAGGGATAGTCAGGAGCTCCGACTGAGGGATAAGTGGAGCGATCTCCTCTTTCGCGAAGTTGGAAGGGCTTATGTAATTTTTCTCGAGAAGCTAGAGGGGCCTGTCTTCTGGGTCGTTGGGGGTAGGGGACCTGCCACGGGATCTCCTCCTTTACCGAGTGGTAAAGGAGCAGCCTTCTTCTTCTTTATGAAATTGGAGGGAGCTTTCTTTTGGTTTTGGATGATAAGGTATTGCTTCATTGTTGAGGGTAGGGGCGTCTCTGTCCTCTCTGGCTGGGGGTGAGGTCTCTTCACTCTTCTCAAAGTTGAGAAGCGACTTACCAAGCGTCAATGGAGCTCTCTAGAAAGAAGCTCGCTTCTCTTACAACGAAAATGTCGGGGGGAGCTCTCTTCTTTTCTTTTAGAGCATGAGGTGGACGAGGTCTGTTTCTTTTCAAGCGGGCCAGACCTCTTTGTTTGAAGGGCTCCACCCTTTCTTTGAGCGTATGCTCTCTTCGTCTTTTGAAAGGGTAGAGGGGATAGTCAGCATCTCCTTTTGCCTAGAAAGAAGGAGGTCTCTTCTTGCCGACTAAGGGGTAAACGGAGCTCTCTTCTTTCTCGATATCTTGGAGGGGCTTCTTTGTTTTTTTTGAGATGGAGCTTGCTTCTGTCTCATTAGATTGGAGGAAGCTCTCAGTCTCTTCTTGTCGAGGACGAGGTAGAGAGGGCTTTTCTTTTTGGAAGCTGCTGGAGCTCTGTCCTCTCTTGCCAGTGTATCTCTTCCTCTAACCGAGAGGCAAAGGAGCTCTCTTCTAGAAAGAAGCTGTCTTTCCTTACCAAGAGTAACTTGGATCGAGTTCTCTGCTAGTTTCCGAGGATGAGGTCGAGGGCTTCTCTTTGCCTTTTGAAAGCCGCAGGGGAGGACCAGACTTCGCTTGTCAAGGTTTGAAGTTTGGAAGAGCTCCGTCCCTTCTTTTTGATCGAACGCTCGCTTCAATGTATTGAAGAGGAGTGGAGAGGAGATGGTCAGGAGCTCTCGCCGCTGACTAAGAGAGAAAGGAGTCTTCTTGTTGTCGACAGAGAGGTAAACAGAGCGCGTGTTTTTCTGAGAAGTTACAGGGGCTTGTCTTATCAATTGTTGGGGTGGAGGACCTGCCACGGGATCTCATCCTTTACCAAGAGGTTTTTGGAGCAGCCAACTTTCTTTCTTGTGAAATTGGAGCGAGCTTTCTTCCTGTTTTCGATGAACTCACACACTGTTGGGGGGGGGGTCGTCTCTGTCCTCTCTGGCTACGGCTAGGAGTGACGTCCCTCCAGTCTTCGCAAGACTGAGAAGCGGCCTCCCAACAGGTAATGGACTTCTCTTCGAGAAGGAAGCTCTCTTCTCTTACCACGAAAATCTTGGGGAGGAGCTCTTTTCTTGTTGGTGGCATGAGGTGGGGGAGTTTTCAACGTTGAGAGAAGGGCAGGATTTCTCTCTATGAAGGTTGGGTAGGAGCTCCGCTATCTCTTCTGTTCATTTCCATATATTGAAAAGGTAGAAGGGATAGCCATGATCTCCTTTTCTTACCTGTAGAGAGAAGCGTTGTCTCTTCTTGCCGACTGAGGGGTAAACAAACGGAGCTCTCCTTTTCCTCGATATCTTGTAGGGACATGGTTGTCATTTTGTAAATGGAGCTCTCTTCTGTCTCATCAGATTGGAGGAAGCTCTCAGTCTCTTCTTGTCGAGGATGAGCACTCTTCTCTCTCGCGAAGTTGGATGGGGTTGTGTGCTAATTTGAGATGGGGCCCTCGTCTGTCTCGTTAAGTTGAAGGAAGCTCTAATCTTGTCGAGGATGAAGTACAGAACTTATGCATTGCTTTTGAATACCGGGGGAGCTCTGTCCATGTTTTCAGGGGCGAGCTCTCTTCAGTCTTCGTAGGATTAGGATGAAGACTTGCCAAAAGATGAAGAGCTCTTCTGGAAAGAAGCTGTCTTCTCTTACCGAGAGTAGCTTGGATTGAGTTTTCTGCTTGTTTCAGAGGATGAGGTAGAAGGCTGCTATTTGCCCTTTGAAGGCCGCAAGGGAGGACCAGGCTTTTCTTGTCAAGGTTTGAAGTTTGGAAGAGCTCCGTCCCTTCTTTTTGATCGAACGCTCTCTTCCATGTGTTGAAAAGGAGAGGAGACGAATGAACTCCGAATCGCGGACCGCGCCGCCGATATGAAAGCAGATGAAAAAGGTTGCGCGATCGTCAGAGATATATGACGAAGGTGTGACAGCTTCTGTTGTCATGTGCTACTCGACGAACCGCTCCAGAGGTCTAGGCACGGTCTGTAACCACATATCAAAATCTCTTCGTTGCCTTACGCCCTTGAGAACTGTATCATCGGAGGTCCGCTTACCATTCCCCACAGCATTCGCGGTCTGGATCTGTCACAGCGTGACAAAGGCAACATAGCATCTCACTGTGTTGCGACCGATTGTTGGTTCAACCGCTAGTTACGCTAGTTAAACTCACGGCTGTTTGATGGCCGGTGCCTGCAAAACAGCCTCCAGAGTGGGAAGCAATTAAAGTTGACCCAACAGAACCCACACATTATACCTAAAGGTCCGTGCCACATAACCCTATATAATCCTTATGGTCACTATTACAGGGTGGGGGCAGCTTCTAAAGTATGCAGGTTTGTTAGGGCTTTGGGGTTGGGGCGGGCTTGGATTGCAGGACGCCGAAGCTGCTGGGCTTTGCTTTCAGGGTGTTCAGGGTTTGAGTGTGCTCATGTTCAGGATATACTATAATCGGGGCCTGAATAATTACTTAGCAGTTTTTTTGGGGGGAAGGGCAACAAAGCTTTAGCTTTCTTAAAGGGGCCTTCACAATTAGAGTAGGGTGTTGGTGTACATCATACGGTAATCCTAACAGATTATATTGGTGACTTTTGCAGGCTCCAATGTTTACGCTTTTGGGGGGTGAAGCGTGTTTTGGCAGCTGCCTTGAATGTGAGGACAAAGGCCGTCGAGAAGAAGTACCCCACCAAGTTCTTCTATGGAGGCGCACGAGGGACTCCTCCAGAGATTGATTTCATCCTCCATCCAAGCCCTAATCCATAAACTCTCAACCCTATAAAGCCCACAAACTCCCAACCCCACGAACCTTACTACTATTTGCTTAAGAAACCACCAAAAAATAAAAATAATAATCCCTATATTACCCCCATAAGAATATATTTTTTATTTTTTTGGTGGTTCTTTTTTTATTTTTTTGGTGGTTCTTAAGCAAATAGTAGCTTACATCCTTAACCATCCTTGACCCAACAACCCCTCAAGACAAGACAGTGTCCGCTTACAAAACAGAGAGAGAAGATACTTGGAGGATCATGGGTAGTTATAAGTAGGGTTATACGTCCCCTAATATGGGTTATAAGTATAGTTTCCTTAATGGTAACCCTAGTTACTAAGTCCCATGATCCTTTAAGTATCTTAGACCTTGCACCTTGGAGCCGAAAGAGGAAGCCAAAGCAAGTGTCCAAGCGTCCCTCCTGTTCCTTCAAAAGTTCCTTTAAGGGATCTGTACAGGTTCCTTTAAAGGGTCTATACAGTAGAAGCCCAAAAGTTGGAAACTTCGTAGCGTCAATCCTCAAGAGTAACGTATAAGGCATCCCAGCACTATTTGGCCATTTCCGGTTTCCAACTTTATGGAGTTTACTGTAAAGGGTTCCATTAAAGGATCTATAAGGGTTCCTTCTACGGGAGCTATAAGGGTTCCTTTAACGGATCTAGAAGGCTTCCTTCAGGCGTTCTTTCGGGTTCCTGTTCTGGCTCAGGCTGGATGGGCCCTGAGCGCTACGCCTTGCTGGCGGGCTGCGACTACACGCTCCTTCCGTCCAGGCAGCTGAACTATACGATCATAACTCCGAAACCTATGCTGATTATGAAGGCCCCTATACTGCGTTTAGGGCCAGGACCTGTCTAAATGGTTCTATACACCAAAACCCTTTGCAGATTCTTAAAACGCCTGCAGCCTGAAAAAACACAGCGCCTCAGGTGGGAGCCTTGCGGCCTGGTGCAGATGGAGGCGGGTCCTTCTAGGGTCGCGTGGCGAGGAGCAGGTTTGGGGAATAGGGTTCCTCTGCTCTTAGGGTGTAGGGTTCCTATGCTTTTAGGGTTCATGGTTTAAGGGTTTGGGGTTTCTTTCAAGAGAGTCGGAGCATCCTTTCTCTGCTGTTTTAGGCATCATGTGAAACGGAAGGCCACGGCACCCTTAGAGCACCCGAGAATCTGAATGCAAGACGCTGCTGAGCCCTCCACCCCCTAAGCCCTAAACCTTAAACCCTAAATCTCTCCCCAAATGGGCTCTCTGGACCTCGGTGCAGAAAAAGGCCTTCAAACAAGAAAACCCTAAATTTCTAAACGCTAAATTCTAAACCTTAGGCCCTAAACCCTGATGCCATCGCTCCGTTCCTGGAGGCCATGCGCATGGGCACTTTGCCCATCGTCGCCCCGACCGGTGGCCTCAAGGACACCGTGGAGGCGGGACCCGATGCTTCCCTGTTAAGGCCTAAAGAAGTAGAGTTTGAGGGTTTGTAGGGTTTTAGGAGATGTAGGGTTGTAGGTTTCAGGGGATTTAGGCAGGGTTTAGGGCTTAGGCTCTGTTAAGGCCTAAGAGCTGGAGTTTAGGGTTCAGGGGCTCCTTTAAAGGGGTCTTATCAAGGCTACTATAAGGGCTATGCTAAAGATACAAGGTTCCTTCTTGGGGCTCCTTTAAAGGGTTCTGTAAGGGGGTTACTTTAAGGGTTTAGGGTTAGGGGCCTGGATAATTACTTATATTATTTCTGGGGTTCCTTGTTATAACTATGATACAGTATACCCCAAAACTCTATTCTAATTAATAAGGCTCCTACATTTGTGCAGAGTGCCTTGTCGATGAAGCAGACAGGCGCGGCTGACTGAAGGTTTGTGCTTCTGCAACTCCGGTTCCATGTATATAGATGCTGATTTCTTGGAATGCGGCACACATCTGTTGGTAACACATGCATCTGTCATGCTCGCTCCTGTCATGCATCGGACCACACGTTCATGTTGAGCTATTTATGTTCGTCTGCAGTACTCACTACTCCAGTGTACGCTCAGGGTCTTTTTGTAGCTAAAACCGGGACCCTAAACCCTAAACCCTAAACCCTAAAGCCCTAAACCCTAAACCCTAAACCCTAAACCCTAAACCCTGAACCCTAAACCCTAAACCCTAAACCCTAAACCCTAAACCCTAAACCCTAAACCCTAAACCCTAAACCCTGAACCCTAAACCCTAAACCCTAAACCCTAAACCCTAAACCAAGAGGTTTGCTGCAGCCCAAAAGTCTTGTAACATCCCTGCATAGAGCAGTTGACAACCCGTAGCCCGAAAGGCCCACGTGAGGCCCCACCCTGAGAACTAAAACCTGAACTCCCTAAGCCCTACAGGGAACTCCAGAAAGTTGGAATATGGTTTCTTGGTAGGATCCCCTATAATTTACCTTAAAGGGGTTACGATAATCATATTCCAACTTTCTGGCTTCTACTGTAAACCCTAAGCCCTGGACCCCAAACCCTCGAACCACAGGCCTCTGAACTCCCGGAATGTTGCTTCCTCGAGGATGGTCTGAATTTGCTCTGGACTCGTAAGCCATCACAACCCCTAAACCCTAAACCCTCAAGCCCCAGAACCCCGAACCCTAAACCCCTAAACCTGAGCTGAGGGCTGTGCCTTTTGAGATGTGGGATTTTGTTTCCTGTGCAAGCTCAATCATGAGCAAGCTTCAACGCCCCCGCCTGCGGATCAAAGAGGCTACTGCACATTAAAAAAACCCTAAACCCCTAGACCCCGAATCCCAGATGTCAGGATGGCTTGAACGGCCTCTGGACCGACAAGGAGATGTCCGTGGAGGCGGTCATCGACGAGGCCCCATTTTCCCACCGTCTCCGGCTTCGTGTGCTTTTTTCGGCTTGAGCTCGTGGCTATCACGGCGCAAAGCTTCAATCCTTAAAACCCTAAACCCCCTAAACCCCTACCCCTAAACCCCTAAAGCCCCTAAACACCAGACCCCAAAACCTAAACCCCAGACACCAAACCCCTAAACCCTAGACCCCTAGCCCTAGACCCCCCAAACTTCGGGACCCCAACCTCAAGCAGCCAACATCCTCATCTACACAATCCACTGACCCTTCTGACAAGTGCTCTCCAAAAAGCCAGAAATCTCAAGCTTTGGGGTTTCGGAGTTCGCAGTTTCGGGATTTTTCAGCCCCTTCTGGGGCTCAGGGTGCGGGGTCCCTGAAACCCCCAGTGCCCCAGTGCCGCTCGCAAGCGCAGGAGTCCGTGCAGTCCATCGCCAAGGCCCTGAAGCGCGCCTCGAAGCTCTTCATCGAGGAGCCCGAGAAGGCCGGGAGATTGATTACTAAGGGTTTAGGGTTTAGGGTTTAGGGTTTAGGGCTATCATAGCTACTGTTGTTATTGTTATCATGTTTATTATTGTTATATTGTTATCTGTTACTATTACTTTTGAGTACAGCCCGAGAAGGCCGGGCGGCCGGGAGTGCTTTATGGGGTCTCTACTTGGAGGTTCATGGGTGGTTATAAGTGGGGTTATAAGCCCCCTAGTATGGGTCATAATTATGGTTACCCTGCTTATAGCACCACTTATAACCACCCATGAACTTCCAAGTAGGGTTTAGGAACGCTCTGCTGAAAAGGTGGCCTTTAACGAGACGCTTACAGCAGACCCTTAAAGGATCCCTTTGAAGGTGAAGGCCATCCCTCAAAGGACACCCCGAAAAACGGATCCAAGCTGAGTCGACCCCCTAAACCCTAAACCTCCCCTAGATCCCTCAAAGCATCCCTTAACGCCAAAGGTGAAGGCCATGACCCGGGCGGCGATGGCGGCCTCGGCGGAGTTCACCTGGAGCAACGCCGCGCTGCAGTACGAGGCCTCTTCGGGCTTCTTTCAGGTCGAAGGGCTTCTTTAAGGGCTTCTTAAAAGGGTTCTATAACGGGGGCCCTCTGAGGATTTCCCCTTAAATTGGGGTATTTAGCGTTCTACAAGGCTCTTGTCACTCTGAGCCATTCTTTGGGCTTCCGAGCTTCGGAGCAGGGTTTAGGGTTAAGAATTTTCGTGTCGAGGGCTTTATTGGTAAACATGTTCGAGCTTGGGATTTACATGTAAGGATTTTCGAGGCATTGGATTTGAAGGGTGCAGCGATCAGAATCCAACTCGTGCCGCAGGCTGTCTTCGAGGAGCTCGGGGTGAAGGACCGGAATGCATAAGTTCCGTTTTCATGATGGCGTCTAGGTTTATGCTGATGAAGATGATGATGAAGAAGAAGAAGAAGACGACGACGACATGATACCCACCACGGCGTAGTTGTCGGTGGTAGTGATGATGACGTCGGCGAGGTGCTGAGTCAGTTGAGTCCTAAACACCTGGGGAACGCAGAAGGCAAGGCCTTTGCAGCTCGTCCTATAAACCCTAAATCCTAAACCCTAAACCCTAAACCCTAAACCGAGGAGGTAGTGGCCCAGGGGTTTCTGGTCGAACCGCAGCAGCCTTCAGGGTTTAGCCAAGGGGATCCGAGACGCGAAGCGTAAAAGGGGCCTTGGGGCTCTTCAGAGGGTTTGGGTTTAGGGTGTATGGTTTTGCGGTTCTTGGTTTAGGGTTTAGGGTTTAGGGTTTAGGGTTTAGGGTTTAGGGTTTAGGGTTACAAATTCAAGTTCCGAGAGGGTGTGGGCCAGTGGGTTAGTCGGCGGTTTCGGGTTAGTAGGGTTGAGGCAGTGGAACGCGCGCCAAGGGCTTCGCAGCCCTAAACGCGCAGACCTTAAAGGACACTCTGAAGGGTGGCACTGCCGTTGTCACACTGGAGACGGACAAGCAGGCCGTATGGGGCCGGTCTCCAGTCTTGTTCAGAAGTGCGTCTTTAAAGGGGTTGAGCATGTTGCTGGGCAAAGGCAGCATGTAGCTATTGTGGGTAACCAGGCTTTAGGGTTTGAGGCATGTCCCGATCGGGCTGTATTCGGTGTCATCTCACGCAGAGTTGTCGATTGCTGACTGAGGGCGTGTGATACCCTTAAGCCCTATAAGATAAACCATATATGCCATAAGCCGTTGCCTCTTTCTTCGCATAACTTTTTCGCTTCGCTCCGGGGAGCCTGGAGAAAAGTTGTCGGAGCTCTTCGGGTTTAGGGTGCGCTGGGAGGCTGCAGTTTGCGGATTTTGGGTTGGGAGTCGAGTCCACTTAAAGGGTCATGGGACTTAGTAACTAGGGTCATAATTAGGTTAACTATACTTATAACCAATTAAGGTACTTATAACCTTACTTACTAAGTCCCATGATCCTCCAAGCAGGTTTGGCAAGACTTTGGTTCCAAAGCGAAGAGATCCGCTCTCCGACTGACAGGTGTGCTAAGCCGCGACGGTCTGCGCGTGCCTTAGTGTGGCTGTCTTTGCACACCACCACCACCATCATCACCACGACTACGTCTACGACTACGACGACGACGACTACTACTGCTCTTGCTACCACCACCACCACCACCACCACCACCACCACCACCACCACCACCACCACCACCACCACCACCACCACCACCACCACCACCACCACCACGACCACGACCACGAACACGAACACGAACACGACGACGACGACGACTGCTACTGCTACTGCTACTGCTACTGCTACTGCTACTGCTACTGCTACTGCTACTGCTACTGCTACTGCTACTGCTGCTACTGCTACTGCTACTGCTACTACTACTAACTACTACTACTACTACTACTACTACACTACCACTACCACTACCACTACCACTACCACTACCACCACTACCACTACCACTACCACTACCACTACCACTACTACTACTACAACTACTACTACTACTACTACTACTACTACTACTACTACTACTACTACTACTACTACTACTACCGCCACCACGGCTACGACGACGAGTACTGCTGCTACTACTACTACTACTACTACTACTACTACTACTACTACTACTACTACTACTACTACTACTACTACTACTACTACTACTACTACTCCTTAAACCCTAAGCCCTAAACCTATGGTGTGCAGTTGAAAAAAACCCTATGGTGCAGCAGGGCTTGTCATGGTTGTGGGGTGGTAGAGTCGGAGCAGGACTTAGTAACCAGGGTTATAATTAGGGTAACTATACTTATAACCCCAATTAAGGTATAACCTTACTTACTAAGTCCCATGATCCTCAACGTTTTAGGAATAGGGCCCCATACTTAAAGGATCATGGGACTTAGTAACTAGGGTTATAATTAGGGTAACTATACTTACAACCCCAACTAGGGTACTTGTAGCCTTACTTACTAAGTCTCATGATCCTCCAAGTATGGTGCATGGAGACAGTGGAGTTGCAGGATTGGTGGGTTTTTCGGTATTGGGTTCCAGGGTCTAGGATTTGATAGGATTCAGGTTTGTATGGTTAGGCTGATTGGAATGTTTTCGGGTTTGCCCCGCAACTGACCCTAAGCCTTTGTAGTTTCGACAAGTTCTCGGGCTTTTGAGGCCACTTGTTTTTTTCTCAGAGTTTGCATGGCGCCAAGGTCGCGCAAACCTCAGAGTCAACGGAGCTGAATCTTTAATAATGTATTTTCCACTGTTTTCCTTTCGGCGTGAGCCAAGCGAAAGCTGCGGATCGGTGTCTGGAAAGTTAGGTATCTTCAGTGAATGCAAGGACGGGGTAAGCTCGCAGTCGATGCTGTAATGCGGGGCTGCCCGAACAGAGTCGGGTGTCCCGGTTTCGCCAATTTTCTTTTCGTTCATGGCAACTGTATGGTTGCTTGAACATTTAGCTGCATCGCATGCCTTACATGCGTTGCCCCGGCAGCCGCCGTGCGGGCAGGGCGTGAACCTCTGCTGTCATGGCCGGCTGCACTCAAGGACTCTTCCCAGGGTTTAGGGTTTTGATTTTGAAGCCCGAAGACGGCAGCTCCTTCCATTTCGTGTTCTTTCCGCCCCTGCTGGGAAGAGTTCCTGTGCCTCGTGCACCCAATAATAGTGAACCAGGACAAGCATCTCCGGGAAACCCCGGCTGCTTTCGTGCCAGGACAACAATAACAGCCGTCATCATCGAAAAAGCGATCGGCATGATTGTCCTGATCATTAAATCTCTTCCTGTTAACATGGTTTCATGCTGGCCACAATGATGCTGATCATCTTGCCGTCGTCACTATATTATCTACATCATCATCGTTGTCTACTGCTACGGTGACTACTGCCATTTATTGCCACTTCCACAGCGACGCCAACAACAGTTCCAAAAACGTCAACTGCAGCAACACAATGAGGTGGTGGTGGCGGTGCTGCTGCTCCTGCTCCCGCTCCTGCTCCTTCTCCACTACCTCCTCGATCTACATTTACCCCTACCAGTACCCTTACCACTACCGCTTCCACTACCACTCCCGCTACCACGGCCACCGCCACGGCCACTGCTGGTACAACTGCCACTACCGCTACCGCAACCAGTGCCACGACGACTACGATGACGACGACGACGACTACTACTACTACTACTACTACTAGCACGACGACGACTACTACGACGACTGGCACTAGGACTACTACCATTATCACTACTACGACTACGATGTGTGACGCCCGCGACTACGACGGCTACTGCGACGACTAGTACTAGTACTAGTACTAGTACTACTACCAGGACTTGTATTGTACTGTACTGGACTTTACTACTACCACTACTATTACTACTACTACTACTACTGCTGCTGCTGCTACTACTACTACTACTACTACTGCTACTACTGCTACAACTACTGCTGGTTTCGCTACCGCTACTGTTCCTTGCGCTATGCAGCTTCGAGTCCTATTCCTTTGCCATGCTAATGTTACTGCGTGTGCTCGAACGGAAAGGGCACCCAAGAACACGACGCGAAAGAGCATCTACAGCCGACGTGCCCTTAATCCTGAACCCGAAGATCTAACACTGAATCCCGCCGCAGCTATTTTCCAAGCTCCAGAGCTCGTGTAGTTTTTTCTCGTTCCTCCTTCAACAAACCCGAGCCGATGTCTCAGAACTAAGGGTTCACGTGATCCGGGCACCCTTCAGAGTTTCTTTAAGGGTTCTATCGAAGGGTTCTATGAAGGAGTTTAGGGTTTAATTTAGGAAGGTTTTTGCTGTTGGGTTGTGGGGTCTTGCTTGTCAGTACTTAAAGCATCATGGGACTTAGTAACAAGGGTTATAATTTGGGTAACTGTACTTATAACCCCAATTAAGGTACTTATAACCTTACTTACTAAGCCCCATGATCCTTTAAGTACCACCTTACATGTCCTTCCCAAAACCCTAAACCCTACATGCCCTTCATCTCCTGAGAGCTAGACGTGCTCGGAACCCCACACCCTCAAACGTTCACCCCCTCAACTTACCTTTGGTTAGTAGGGAATGGAAGAATGGTAGTAATACTGTTGATGGACAAAATCCTGCATTACCCATTATAAGGAACATACCATAGTTCCCATAGTTTAGAGTCCTTAGGGTCATGCAGGATTTTGTCCATCAGCCGTAGTAGTTATAATTGTGCCCGAATCCGCCATTCCCTAAACCCTAAACCTTACTACCCTAAACCCTACTACCCTACTACCCTAAACCTTAAGCCCTAAACTCTACTACCCTAAACCTTAAACCCTAAACTCTACTACCCTAAACCCTAAACCCCAATCCTCCATTCCCTACTAACCCAAGGTAAGTCAAGCCCTCGAGCAGCTGAAACATGGGAAACTTTCCAAAAATTCAGGGGTACCTTTTTTTGCAGGTACTAAGGGTTCCTTTAAAGGGTACCCTTAAAGGGATCTATAGGGATTCTATGATGGTATAGGGTTTAGGGTTCCTTTATAATAAGGATCCTGCTATTTAGGGTGCTATATTATTGTCCCCTATTTTCGGAAACTCCCATAAACCCTATTAGGGGTACCTTATTTTGGGGTGCTTATGATAGTAAGATCCTACTACTTAGGGTACTATACTAGGGTCCCCGAAGAGTACCTTAATTTGGGGTGCTTATGATAGTACTTGGAGGTTCATGGGTAGCTATAAGTAGGATGATAAGTCCCCTAATATGGGTTATAAGTATAGTTACCCTAATTATATCCTACCATTCAGGGTACTCTACTAGGGTCCCCTATTTTCGCAAACTCCCATGAAAACTCGGGGTACCTTATTTTGATGTCCTTTATAATAAGGATCCTACTATTTAGGGTACTATACTAGGGTCCCCTAGGTTCGGAAGCACCCAAATGCAGAACCTCAACAGAAAGAGCCCCATCGTGATGTTGTCCGAGGATGTCCGCGCCAAAGGCCACTCCGCCAGCCCAGGCCCCTACCGTGGTTCCCGTCGCCAAGGCCCGGCGTTTGAGGGACAAGTCACGGTATCAGGCGTCTCGGGCAGGCAATCAAGTGGAGTTGCGAAGGCTTTTGATTTTGAGGGTTTGGGATTTCGGGCATTAGGATGAATATTCCGGCCCGATACTCAAGTTACTATACCTCATCTTGGCCCGTAAACCCGAAACCCGAACCCGAAACCCCGAAACCCCAAACCCTAAACCCCTAAACGCCTAAACCCTAAACATTTAAACCCGAAGCCCTAAAGCCCTAATCCCCAAACCTAGCCTGGTATTTCAGCTCGTACCGGAGGCCGCCGACGTTGCCCAGACTGCCAAGGCCCGGGAGGAGGCTCCCAACCGCGAGGAGCAAAGAGGGCTTGGGGGGTTTAGGGTTTGGGGATTAGGGTTTGGGGTTCTAGGGGTTCCAGGTTTTAGGGTTTTAGGGTGTAGCGGTTTAGGGTTTGGGGTTTCGCAGAAAAGCTCCAAAACCCAACACCGCGAAACACCCTAAACCCTAAAACCCCAAACCCTCTGACACCTCCTCCCTAAACTCCCCCCGCTCCCCCTTAACCCTAAAAATCAACCCTAAACCGTGTGCTCCAGGAGAAAGCGAAGGCCGCTGGTGCGGCCCCCACGGCGGCCTCTGCGGCCTCTGCGCCTCAGGCCGAGCGTTTCCGAGAGTTTTGAGGGTGTTTAGTTTTTGGGGTTTTTGAGGGTTTAGGCTTGCAGGCTCCAGGGCGCCTGGGGTTTTGTGGTTTTAGGGTTTCGGATCCAGATTTCCCATGCTGCGCGTTGCTCCACGTAAAAAACTACGGCGCTCAGCTTCGACCTTGCAACAGGCTCAAAATTCCGAAGACGGGCTCATAGGGGTGGGACTGGTCACAGTATCGATCTCGTGAATCACGAAGCAAGCATCACCACCATCACCACCTGCATCATCTCGTAGTACTCGCAATCATCGTTATCATCAGCAGCATCCTCCTCCACCACCTCCTTCAGCAACTACTACTGCTGCTACTACTACAAAGACGACGACAACACAATCCTAAACCCTCAAACCGCAATCCTGAAATTCCAAACCCTGAATCCTCGCCCAGAGCCCTCAGTTCCAGGTAAAGCCATCACTGCAAGAAGCCATAGACCCTCAGTCAGCCTTAATCCATCAACCCTACATCCTAACCTAAACCCTAAATCCCAAATCTTGATTACCTAAACCTGAAATCCCTAAACCCCAAATCCTAAATATCCAAACCCCTAACGAGAAGAGTAACCCTTATAGACTTAAAGACCCCTTCTAGTAACCCTTGTAGCATCCTCTACAGACTCCCATACTTTTAAAACGACTAGTAACCCACCTTTATAGAACCCCCTTATAGTAACCCCTGTAGCAACACTTTTCCTAGCCTCTTCCTCGCCGCAAGGCGCCAAAGTCCAAGGCCGCAGCGCTCGTGGCCGGCGGATCTGTTCCCAAGGCGGCTGTTTTGAGACTGGGCGCTTTGTTGAACATGAGGCTTCGTCAGGGTTCTATGTAAGGTTCCATCGGGGTTATGGGGCCTGAGTTCTGCACAATTTTTCGTAGTTCTTTTATGAACAAGGGTTCTGTAAGGTTCCTTGAGGGTCTGAGCCAGTAGGATTGCGGATTTCGAATTTTTCAGCGGGCTGTTGTTCTTCTGAGCAGGATTTCCAACTGAGGGTCCGGCCCGTGTATGACAAACACTGTTTTGTGGGTATTCTAGCTGCAATATCAGTAACCATAGCAATAATGACGATGGTAACTTCCCAGAACCCTAAACCTACGTCAACTCTGATACGTTGTAAATCATGATTTCTCTCAAACCCTCATACCCCGCCCCGCAGAACCCTAAATCCTTCATCATACACCCCAAACCCTTAAACTCCAAACCTTGTACTCTATACCTTAACAACCCTAAGTGCTATTCTAATAATAATAACCTCAACCTCATAATGTTTTGCTGCTTTTATGAAAGCACCCACATCCTAATAACCCCACCCTAAATTTTGCTGGTATGAAAGCTCCTCACCTAAACCCTCCTCAACCCCGTATACCCTAAACCCCCTGTAAGCTGCAAAGATGCGAAGAGGCTTCCGGCAGCGGTCCGACCACCACCAGCCCGGCCTCTGCGGGCGTGGCTCGGCAAAACGCTTCAGAGAAGTTTAGGGTTTTAGGGGGTTAGGTTGAGGGGTTTAGAGGTTTAGGGTTAAGGGTTTGGGGTTTTGGAGTTTTCTGAATCTCCCGGTAGTATCCTTTGCCCTTTTGTTTTGGGGCTCCTTAAAGCTGAATTTTGGGGCAGGGGGTAATTACCCTTATCGTTACGGGCCCACAGGGGAAGCTAGGTTTAGGAACTTTCAGAGTTTAGTTTAACACAACTTTTCCAAAATCCTAGACTTCCTAAACCCTACACCCCTGACCCCAAACCCCTGAACCCTCAACCCTAAACCCTCGACTTCCTAAACCCTAAACCTTAACCCTAAACCCTTAAACCCTCAACCCTAAACCCTCGACTTCCTAAACCCTAAACCTTAACCCTAAACCCTTAAACCCTCAACCCTAAACCCGAGACTTCCTAAATCCTCACAACCTTCAGCCTTCTGACGCCGTCAGAATCTTCGGGCTTCGTTTCGGGGCTTCGAGGCCTGGGGCTTTGGTGGTCTCTCGCTTTCTCGGGGCTTGCTTAAAGGATCATGGGACTTAGTAACTAGGGTTATTATAATAGGGTTCTATAATAAAGGGCTCCTTAAAGGGATCCTTACAAAGGGATCTATAGGGGTTCTATTATAAGAGGGGGTTTATAGGGTTTAGTTAAAGGATCATGGGACTTAGTACCTAAGGTTATGCTTAGGGTAGCTAATACTTATAACTCCAATTAAGGTACCCATAACTCATAACCTTACTTACTAAGTCCCATGATCCTCCAAGTAGAGGTGAAGTAAGGGCATTGGGTTGTTGAAGCAGGGAAAACGAAACTTTCATCGCGGCTGTGATAAGCATCGCAAGTTTACTTGCTTGCCTTGTTGCCTTACAAGGTCCCCTGACCTTCCCAGCCCTAACCCTAAACCCTAAATGACTTCCGAGGTTTCTGCCGTGCCCAAGTCCAAGGCGGTGTCCCCGACCTCGGCTGCCGCCGTCATGGAGGTGCGGGTCGCTGGCAAGGGCACTTCGGAGCTTAGGTAGTGGTGTCTGCAGTTTAGGGCTTGAGGGTTTCGTCATCCGTGGCTGGCGTTAAGATCCGTTGTGCAAGAGCGCCCATGACTGTTAACTCATGCTCCACTAGCTTTTCTCTGTTGCCTCTGTAGCCCTGCAGCGCAACATGATGGCGGCAGAAGAAGTACGTAGATCCGAAAGCCTCTCTTCCAGGAAGCAGGGTTATCCCGCAACCGTAGCAGCATGCCCTAAACTGCGCCAACTCCGAGCTGGAAACTCTGAAGCCTCAAAGTCTTTCAGGCTCAGACTCCGAAAGCCTCATCCTTGAACCCGCCATGAAACATGAAAAGCTGGTGCCCATGGTTTCAGGAAGGCAAGAAGCCCGCAACCGCGGCTGAGCGCATGGTAGCAACTGGCTCTGTCCTGGCGCGAGGACACGGATGGGGTTCCGCAGTTTGAGTTGAGGGTTGTTGAAACTTAGTGTGTTTTTTGCCTTTGTTATGCTTGCTACAGGCTTGGCTCGTCCTGTTAGAACCCTTTCGCCTTCATCATTTGCTCCTTGTCTAGGAACCTTGAAAAGAAAGCCCGGGTCTTCATGAGGTCCCTTGACATGAATCCTAATATTATGGGGATATAGGGCCGGAGTTTCTTAATCAGGTTGCCACCGTGTTCCCTGCAGTCAAACGCTCAGGGAAGCCGTAAGGACGCAGGGGCACCAAAACCCCTGAATCTAGAATCCCGGACTTTTGCATCTATCCCCTAGTACTATTCACATTAATATTCTTCGTCTTTTGACTATGATTAGGATTGTGATTGGTGCTCGTATTGGTATGAGTATGAGTATGGTTATGAGTGTTGGTATGAGTACTAGTAACACCCTGCCCTTGCCCTCTTCCCAAACTTTGCATTCCTCATTTCCTAAACCCGAAGCCGTGAACCCTGAATATCCCAAAATCCTCCACCCTCCTATGCCCGACTTTACCCGATTATTTCCCTCCACTAAACCCTCCTATTGCCGTCCACACCCCACTACACCCCATCATACAGCCCCACTAAACCCAACAACAAGCCCTACTTAACCCTGCCAGGCCCCGTACTAAACCCCCTATGAAACCCGACTGAACCCTATTTGGAGGATCACGGGACTTAATAAGTAAGGTTATAAGTACCTTAATTGGGGATATAAGTATAGTCGACGTCCCATGAACCGTTAAGTACTATAGTAGAAGCCAGAAAGTTGGAATATCATTATCGTAACCCCTTTAGGGTAAATTATAGGGGATCCTACCATTAATCCATCTTCCAACTTTCTGGAGTTCCCTTTAAGCACTAAGCCCTACTAAAGCCCCCCCCCGCTGGTTTTTTCGGGAGCGCCAGGCATGGGAGCCAAGGCGGAGGCCCCCAAGGCCAGGGCCTTGGGTTCTTCCCTCTTTCTCGGAGGTTCATGGGCTTTAGGGGTTCCTTTAAGGGTTCCTGTTCTTAAAGGGCTCCTTAAAGGGATCTACAGGGTTCCTTAAAGGGATCTATAGGGTTTAGGGTTTAGGGTACTACTTGGAGGATCACTCTTTCTCGGAGGTTCATGGGGCTAGGATGCCCAGTAGTACTCTTATTCCCTTTTTGTAGTCCTAGGTTCCTTATAAAGTTACCCAATACCAAAAAGGGAGGCCTTTTTATTCTTAGGTTACTGGGTATCCTAGGGGGGCTATAGGGGTTCCTTCAAGGGTTCCTTTAAGGGTTCCTTTAAGGGTTCCTTTAAGGGTTCCTTGAAAGGTTCCTTGAAGGGTACTTAGGGTTTCTGTAAGGGATAGTATCAGGGCTCTATAATGGCTACTTTACGTAAGGGTTCTACTTGGAGCTTCGTGGGAAGGTGCTCGGCTTAAGGGTGCCTCACAGGGTGCATCTTAAGGTTTAGGGTTCAGGGTTTTAGGGTTTGGGTTGTTGGGGTTTAGGAATTTAGGGTTTTAAATTAGGGTTTTGAGGGTTTTAGGATTTAGGGTGTTAGGTTTTAGGGTTTAGGGTATAAAGGCTTTGTATAGAGTCACTGTCAGGGTTACGGGTTACTCAAAAGTCCTAACTCTAAACGAAGTCCCTACTCCTGTAGAACCGCTTTTAGAACCCGCTTTTGGAACCCTTCCTTCTTAGAGCCCTCTCTTGGAACCCTTCTAGAACGCTAGAAGACTAAAGCCCTAAAACCTTAAACCCTAAACCCTAAAACCCTAAAGCGCTAAAGCCTAAAACCCTAGGTACCCTAAAGCCCTAAACCCTTTCTGACTTTGGAGGCAAAGGCGAAGCCGGCCGCGGCTATGCCCACCACCTCGAAGTACGCCGGCTCCGCAGCGATGACCCAGGCCGCCCCAAGGACGGTGTCTTGGCCGATTTGGGGTTTCAGGGTTTAGGGGTTAGGGTTTCAGGCTTTAGGGTTTCAGGGTTTAGGGTTTCAGGGTTTAGGGTTTTAGGGTCTAGGGTTGGTATAAGGCTCCTCGACCGTGCGGGTTGGCGAAATGAGTGGCATGTGCAGTGTGCTCCCTTGCGGCTTTTCCACGCGGAGTGTTGCGACCGCCCAGGTGCTGAACATCGTCAGCGGCAAGCCGGTCGCTGCCGGCGAGGTCGCCAGCAGCGCGTATACCACGAGCTCCGTTGGCCCTGCCAGGGGCTATGCCAAGGCCTGGACGGATCTTAGCCTCGTAGGAGCCAGGGTTAAATTTCACCCCAGCTTTGCTTGAGGCTGCCGGCGCCGTTCTGCCCAGCAGCGCCCCAAAGGTTCGCAACACGCTTCATACGGATTCGCTTGGTTTCAGCCGGTAAGTGTCTCGACATGTTGATCCGCAGATCGGGCCACCTGCCGTGGCTGTGGGACGCGCCATGGCTGAGGCTCCGATTGGCAGTTGCAAAATTCCAGGCACAGAAGCGCGTGTCTTGGAGTTTTGTCCTTGCATCAGGGACGCCCTGCCGTGTCTATGGCTAATGGCAAGTTGGTCACCACCATCAGCAAGAAGTACCAGCACCTCGGCGAGTGGGCTGGTACTACCAATCGATAGGTATGTATGTAGACTGAGCCGCTCCCGACAACGATTTGTGGCGGTTCTTTGTCAGCAACAAGCTTGTCAGGATCGTGTTCGTGACCAGCGAAGTGGCACCCTTCTCGAAGACTGGAGGCGCGATTCTGGATGATGCTTCCATTGCCTTCGGGCCGCGCCGTTTCTGCGCAGCATGCATGCTTTCAGGCCTGGGTGAGGCGATGGACGGTCTGCCCATTGCTCTCGCGGCCCTGGGCCACCGCTGCATGGTCATCTCTCCTCGCTCCTCGGCGTAGAATCTTGCAAAGATCCGAGGGGCTCATAGCCAACGCGCATCCATCCTCTGAACACAAGCGATCCCGTCTCCTTCGGACTTGTTCAGGCTACGACCAGTACAAGGAGGCTTGGGACACGGGCTACTGGGGCTCCGTGCCCATGGGCGGCAAGAACGAGTCCGTGCACTTCTTCCACACCTACAAGCAGAAGGCCCGTTGCCAAAGCAGCATGGCCTGGCATCCCTCGGCTGTTGCTGGGTTCCTACCCTAAACCCTAAACCCTAAACCCTTAACCACTAAGCCCTAAACCCTAACACCCTAACATCCTAAACGCTAGCAGGTCGACTACGTCTTCGTCGATCACCCCACCTTCCTGGAGCGCGTCAACGGACTCACAGGCGCCCGGCGTAAGTGTGCGGAGTTGCACCGAGAAAGACCAGGGTCCCCACTTAAAGGATCATGAGACTTAGTAAGTAAGGTTATAAGTACCTTAATTGTGGTTATAAGTATAGTTACCCTAATTATAACCCCAGTTGCTAAGTCCCATGATCCTTTAAGCAGCAAGCCTCAGAGCAGCGGCGCCCGGCATGCTCGTCTGTTGAGACGATCGACTGCTTAGAGGTTCATGGGGTAGTCAGAATAAGTTGGGTTTTGGGGGTTTAGGGTTTCTTTAAGGCTTCTATAGGGTTTAGGGATTAGGGCTTAGGGTAGTTATAAGTGCGGTCATAAGTTCCTTAATATGGGTTATAATTATGGATGCCTTACTTATAACTCGCGTATAACGAGCCACCAACCTCCAAGTGATTCTTGCCAGGTGCCAAGCTGTACGGCCCGGAGTGGGGTCAGGACCCGCCTCCTCGATGCATCGTTGGTTCGTCGTCGCGATAGATGGACAAGCATGGAAAGCTTTGTATCCCAGACCCCCGAAGTCCTAAATGGGACTTTCCGGAAATAGGGGACCCTAATCAATTACCCTAAATAGTAGGATCCTTATTATAAGGACTCCCAAATAAGGTACCCCTCTTTTTCGGAAACTCCCAAATCCACAGCCACCAGCCCCAAAGTTTCAGTCTTTGGACTTAAGAAGCCTCGCCTTCGCTCTGAGCCCGAACCCTCCAGGACTTCGCAGACAACCAGGCCCGCTTCGCCTACTTCTGCAAGGCCCGCAGCAGCCGAAGCTGTCTCAAATGTAAATGCTAAATAGCTTCCTGAGCAGTACCCCTTGTTAAAACCCAGCAGCAGAACAAAGGGTGCCCTTGATATAAACGGGGCTACGCAGGAACCTCGTGTGGCAGTTCTGAGGACGATATACTGCTGTATGGCGGCCTAATGGCACGTCGAACATGATCGTGATGACAGTAGTCAGGACCACTTAGATTAATCGCGAAATCCGAAACCCCAAACCCTAAACCCTAAACCCTAATCTCTTTGAACGAAAACTAAAACCCAAACCCTGAAATCCGAACTCCGCAGCCCGGAGTCCTGAACCCCGGCTCCTGAAGGGCTCCCAACTTCTTTAGATCTTTCTCGTCTCACGGTGACGGCCTTTGTGCAACATCCTTTCCTGGCGCGCCCAGAGACCCTTAATGAAAAGGAATATACGTGAAATTTTAGGAGGATCCCCAATATGATTTAAGGCATATTCCTCAGTTAAGGGATATTAGAGTCCCCTACACCATAAACCCTATAGATCCCTGATAACATCCCCGTAAAGGAACCCTTAAAGAAGGCCTGTTCCTTACTTACCCAGACCCCCGGGAGGATCTAGAAAGTAGATCCCCTAATTTGGGGCCCTATACTACTAAGGGTACTTTATAGGAACCCCCATTAAGGGATCTACTTTTTGGATCCTCCCGGGGGTCTGGGTAAGGGCTCTTGGAGTCTCGGTGGTGCGACAGGCTGCCTTGAAGGCCATTCAGGAGCTGCCCCTGGGCGGTGCCGTGCTCGGATCTCAGTTCGCTGCTTCTATAGTTTAGGGTTTAGGGTTTAGGGTCTCCTAGGGAATTGTTGTTTTATGTTCAATTTTTCATATAAAATCCCAAGAGAAGATTAAACATATATAAAAGCCAAGAGAATATCAAACAAGTTGTTTTTATCATGGCTCCAAGGGGGGTATAGGCTTCCGTCAGGTTGCGCTGTGTGGCTTTCGGGTAGACTTTGCCGGGTTAGTTAGGGTTAGTTTCGGGTTCTGCGGGGGTTCACGGTTTAGGGTTTAGGGGTTTAGGGTAGCAGGTCTCGGGTCAACTTGGAAGATCACAGGAGTTTGTATGAGACTTCGTGAAAAACATTAAGGTTTGAAGCTTTGGGACTATCGGCGTCGCTGGGAATTGAAGGTTGGGGAGTCTTGGACCTCGCTGGCTCGAAGTCTTGAGAGAGTGTCTTCTTTGAGGGTTCTTCAGAATGGTGCACGTCTCAAACCTCAGTTCCGAACCTCAACACCCCCAAACCCCAAACCTCCAAAACTCCACTTGGGTGCTTGTCAAAATTATGGTACCTTTTTGGGTCCCTGTTATAATAGGGCACCTATTATTTAGGGTACCCAAAAAGGGACCCTAATTTTGACAACTACCCACTTGCTGGCTTTCTCCCGGTAGGCCCTAACCCCAAAAACTCGAGGTACGGCGGTGACTGCATGGTCGTCTGCAACGACTGGCACTCGGCCCTCGTGCCTATGCTCATCCACGCCGAGAAGCCCACAGGCCCGAGAGGAGACAGGCTTTGCAGTGTGACTTCGGGTTTTCATGAGGGTTGGTAAGCGGGTAGAGCGGGGTTTGATCTGGAGATCGGACGAAGTAGTAATGCTCTTCTCTACAGTGCACTCCAAAACTCTTTTCTTTTTCGTGAAGCCCCTGTGGTAAAGTTTAATCAATAGACTCTTAAACATCCAAGAATACCTCATTGAACCTTAGACCCTGAGCTCTTAACCTCCCTCGACCCCTCATTATACTTTTGGAGGACGTTTTTCGCACTTTGAGCTTCAAGCCCCAAGCCTAAAGCTTTAAAATGCTTTCAAGCCCAAGCCCAGGGCCCCAAGCAACCCTAAACCCTAAACCCTAAACCCCTAAACCCTAAACCCTAAACCCCAAAACCCTAAACCCTAAACCCTAAACCCCCAAAACCCTAAACCCTAAACCCCAAAACCCTAAACCCTAAACCCTAAACCCTAAACCACCGCCCCAGGATCCTGATCCCCAACCCCCGAGGCCTAAACCGCAAAGCCCCAGACCCCAAATCCGACTCAACCCCGAACCCTCAACGACAAGATGCTCCCTCTAAACCATCAAGCCCTGCAATAATACGAAAACTGTATTCTTATGATGCAGCATAGTGAAACATGTAGTAAATTTTTAGTAGAGCAGTACATGATACGCAACAATTACCTTAAGTTACTCGCAGGCAACTGGACGAACACGAAGTCCGCGTTCCTCTGCCACAACGCGGTCTTCCAGGGCCGCTTCGTGCGCGAGGAAGGCGCCCGAGGATCATTGACTTTTCACTTCAGAAACTTATTCAAAAACACAAATGATACCAACTATAGTAATCCCTGACTTCTCACTTCAGAAACTTATTTAAGAACATAAATGATACTAACTATGAGAAACACCGAAAAATCAGCTCAGAAACTTATTTAAGAACACAAATGATACTAACTATGAGTAACACCGAAAAATCAGCTCAGAAACTTATTTAAGAACACAAATGATACTAACTATGAGTAACACCGAAAAATCAGCTCAGAAACTTATTTAAGAACACAAATGATACTAACTATGAGTAACACCGAAAAATCAGCTCAGAAACTTATTTAAGAACACAAATGATACTAACTATGAGTAACACCGAAAAATCAGCTCAGAAACTTATTTAAGAACATAAATGATACTAACTATTAGTAACACCGAAAAATCACTTGGGAAACTTATTTAAGAACATAAATGATACTAACTATTTTAGGAACACCGAAAAATCCAAAACCCCTACACCTTAAACCCCACAAGCTCAGCCCACCGGCTACACCCTAGAAGGGGCCCCCACCCTGTAATAGTGGTATAATAAGAATATGATAGGGCCCCAATATAATCCTTATAGTCACTATTACAGGTTGCGGGCCCCTTCTAACATCCACCCTAACCCTCCCTCAAGAGTCATGAAGCAGCCCTAAACCCGTGTTAACCTCTAAAGAGGCCTTGCCAGCGTCTTCGGCGTGCCAGAGCGCTACATCGACAGCATCCGGGCTCTCGTTCAGCAATGTTTTTCATCTGGAAGGTAGTATCTTTGAAGCACAGTCAGCCATCTGGTTTCCTGATTTTGCAAAACAGCAGTCTGGTACATAGTATCATCTTCCTTATCATGGTAACTTCTGATATTGATATAATAAAACTTTTCCTGATGATGGTCATTCAAGCTTATTTGTTCATTTTTTATTTCAGCAACCTAGGCATCACCTTCAAGATGCCTCTGCGCATCGGAAAGTACAACGAGAAGGCGCCGGGTCAGTGGAACCATCCCCGAAAAGAGTTCAGGCTTTGGGTTTCTGTGCAGGGGATGTAAGGATTTAGCGACTCAGGATTTTGGGGCTCATGGACTCATGGTGAGGAGAAGTTTAGGGTTGCGATTCCATCGGAGTGTAGGGATGCAGAAAAGCACGTGAATTCAAGGATTCAAGGATCTTTTTCATGTCGCGGCACGTGGAAGGTAAGGTCCAGGTCGGCCGTATGGCCTTTACCCCACAGGTGTAGCTGCTCGTCGCCCCGCTGACTTATATAGGTCTAGAGTTTAGGGTTTATCTAGACCCAATGAAGGGCCATAAGGACTCTATTACAGGGCCCTTGGGGGGTCCTGGTATGCGTTAGAGTTTAGAGTTTTATGTTTCGTGTGGTCAGCCTGGCTCCGAAACCCCCGCAACCTTGAACCTGCGGCAGAAATCCTGCATCAACACGATGGCTGCCGGCCTGCGCTACGCCGACCGGGCGTGCGGCTCAGGTGTTTTCTTGTAATCTGGCAACTTCGAATCATGGCTGCAACATGTGACAGAAGCCGCACGTTTGGTAGTTCCTGTGCATCTTCCTCGTCGCCTATCTGTAGGAGGACAGCCATCTGAGAAGCTACGGGTGGCTTGCTTAACCCCTACACAAAGGATCATGGGACTTAGTAACTGGGGTTTTAATTAAGGTGACTATACTTATGACCCATATTAGGGGACTTTAGAAGCATACTTATAACTACCCATGACCCTCCAAGTAAACCCTAAACCCTATACCATCATAGGATCCCTTTAAGGGGACCCTTTAAAGGAACCCTTATAACTACCCATGATCCTCCAAGTAGTACCCTAAACCCTATAGATTAGAAGCTGCCCCCACCCTGTAATAGTGGTATAATAGGAATATAATGGGGGCCTAATATATTATTAATATATTCCTTATGGTCACTATTACAGGATGGGGGCAGCTTCTAACCTATAGATCCCTTTAACTTGGAGGGTCGGGGGACTTAGTAACTGGTTATTTTAGGGACTTATAAGTACCATAACCCCAATCAGGGTCCCTTTCAGGGTACTTATAAGTCTACTTACGACCTGCTTACTAAGTCCCCTGACCCTCCAAGTAGATCCCTTTAAGGAACCCCCAAACTGCAGAGATGCTCAGGCCCTGACCGTCTCTCCCAGCTACGCCGTGGAGTGCTGCACGGACCCAGAGAAGGCCGGGCTACGGTGGATGATATAAATCCTGCATTGCCTGAAGGACCCTAAACTATGGGAATTATGGTATATTCCTTATTATGGGTCATGCAGGATTTATACCATCAACCGTAGGGACCCCAAAAAGCACATAGGCACATAAGCATTTTATGGGGATATCCCTACCTTATTGGGCTCCATTATAAGGGGGTGTATATGGGATATCCCTAGCCTTATTTTTGCTCATGTGCTCTTTTGGGTCCCTAGGCAGGGCAAGAGCCCAGAGCTAGGCAGTGCTGCAAAGGCTACTGTAAGGGTTCATGGGACTTAGCAGTTCCTTTAAGGGTACTATAGGGTTCTATAATCTGGGCTCCTTAAAGGGATCCTGATAAAGGGATCTGTAAGGCTTCAGTTGGAGGTTCATGGGACTTAGTTAAGAAAGGTTATAAGCACCTTAGTTGGGTTTGTAAGTATAGTTACCCTACTTGTACCCCCACTTATAGCTACCCATGAACCCAAGCAGAGTTTAGGGTTGGTTTAATGTAGGAACCTGATTAAGAAACCTTGGGCCTTTATTAGGGTTCCTTATATGAGTCCTGTTATTTTGGGGTTATAGGCCCAGGGTTTCTTAATCAGGTTCCTACATTAGGGATCCTAGCGCTTTTTGAGGGCGCAGCCTTCCTTTTGCAGACGGTGGAACAGCCCTACTTGGAGGGTCGGGGGACTTAGTAAGTAGGTCGTAAGTAGACTTATAAGTGCCCTAAAAGGGACCCTGATTGGGGTTATGGTACTTATAAGTCCCTAAAATAACCAGTTACTAAGTCCCCCGACCCTCCAAGTACCCTGGCTCAGGGCGTTGAGTTGGAGGACCTCTTCACCCTGGGCAAGTGCACAGGACGCTTGCAATATGGGAATTTCCGAAAATAGGGGGTTCCTTAGAAGGATCCTTTATGGGGTTCCTTTAAAGGGATCTATAGGGGACCCTGGGAGGGGAAGTTTCGAAGGTAGGGTTGGGTGCCCTTGTGGAGTACTATGAGTAATCAGGGGTCTTAACGATTCGAGCAGGGCTTTGGGGCCCATTTTACTTTTCGACTCCAAGCTTCAACGAGCTCTGCACCTGGGTAGTTCGTTACATGCTTCATTCACGCAGTGACCAGAGGAGGGTTCTTTGAGCCAGTAGGACGGTGTTTGGTGACCCCAGGCTACACGACGTTCCGTTCTTGAAGCAGTTTTCCTCCGCAGTTTTGTGCACTCGGTCCCAGCGCTCCTTCCGCGCAGCCGGGATGTCGTCTTGCAGCAGCCTAAACCTAAAAAAAAACCCTATCCCATGACGCAAGCCTTCCTCGAATCTACAGCCCAAGCCCCATAACCCCTGAAGCCCCAAAGCCCCAAAGCCCCTAAAACCCGACCCCTAAACCGCCTTGCGCAGGAATCCTGAACGGAGTGAAGGAGGGCGTGTCCCCAAGCGACAAGAACTTCGTCACGAAGACCATGATGACCTGCGGAGCCTTCACGGCCAGAGTCTGAGAGAACAGACGGTTTAGGGTTTAGGGTTAGGGTTTAGGGAGCCAAGCACAATCCGTTACCTACTTAAAGGATGATGGGACTTAGTAACTAGGGCTATAACTAGGGTAACTATACTCTTAACCCAGTTAAGGTACTTATAACCTTACTTACTAAGTCCCATGATCCTCCAAGTACACTCTGTTCAAAGCCTCAGGTATGAACTCACTGAGACCCTTCAAAGCTTCGGCGCACGAGATGCTTGCAAGCGCCGCAAAAGCATCATAGATCCATAGTCAGTTCGTGATAATCTACAACAACTCAAACCCTGAACCCGAATAAACCCCAAAAGCCTCTAAACCGCTAAACGCCATAGACCATAGAACTAAGCAGAAACTCAACAAGAAGGAAAGGAAACACACAATATAAGCCGAGACCCTACAGCCCTCAAACGTAAAACAAGAGAGAAAATATTTACAAGCATAAGAAAGGCGACTCACAAAGAAGTAGCTGCCGAGGCCGCCACTGCCCCCGAGGCTAAGGCGGAGCTGAAGGCAGGAAACCGCTATGCTCCACTTGGAGGTTCATAAAATTTAGGGGGTACCTTAAAAGGGATCCTTTAGGGGTTCCTCAAAGGGATCTATAGGGGTTCTACAAAGGGTTTAGGGTTTGGGGCGTTTCCGAAAATTAGGGGTACCCTTTTTTTGGGGTCCATATAATAAGGCTCCTTCTGTTTAGGGTGCTATATGAGGGTCCCCTATTTTCGGAAAGCTCCCATCTAGGGTTTCTATAAGGGATCGACTTCGGGCTTTAGATGCCCGGAGCCATCAGGGGCTTGCGCTCGAGTGATCTCAAGGCTGCTATCGTTCTGCGTCGTTACGCTCCTAAACCCTAAGCCCTAAACCCTGAACCCTAAGCTCTTGGCTTTATAAGTCCCGTAAAACTTGACTTTCGACAAATTGAGTGTGTGGGTAGTTATAAGTGGGGTTACTTAAAGGATCATGGGACTTAGTAACTAGGGCAACTAGGGTCATAATTAGGGTAACTATCCTCATAACCCAAATTAAGGTACTTATAACCTTACTAAGTCCCATGATCCTCCAAGTATAAGTCGGGTAACCATAGTTATAACCCATATTAGGGGACTTATAACCCCACTTACAACTACCCCATGAACCTCTAAGTATGCTTGGCTCTTGGTTTTAGGGCCCCGTAAAAACCTGACTTTCGACAGATTCAGCATGTGTGCTTGGCCAGGCCACCTACCGCGCGCAGAACAACCTCCCGGATTCCACGGGCCCCCTGATGTGCTTCATCGGAAGGCTGCCAGCTCTCCGATGTCCGACAGAATTGGGGGTTGAGGGTTCAGAGTGGGCTTATGGGCTGGCGGTTCGGGGCTTAACGTGTCATTCAAAAGAAGGGCTTAGTGTTCGGGGAAAGAGAACGCGTCAAGCAGGCGCAAACCGCTGTCTGCTGTTGATGCTTGAGACTGTGCTTTGAGAGTTCATTGAAGAAGTCGATTTAGGGTTTAGGGTTTAAGGGTTAAGGGTTTAGGGTTTAAGGGTTTAGGGTTTAGGGTTTAGGGTTTAGGGGTTTAGGGGTTTAGGGTTCAAGGTTTCGGGCTCGGACCGGCTCTCGGCCTGAAAGATGCAGAGCAGTCCTCCCTCCCCTGAAAACCGAAAACCCAGAACCCGCACCCCTTTAAGGGTTCCTTCAAAAGGTTCTAGAAGGATTACTATAAGTGGTACTCCCCATGCAATTTATCGTTTCATCGAGTCTCAACACCAGGACACCTGACATGCACACAGTGTAGGGCGTAGGGCGTAGGATTTGGGAGTTCTAAGAGCTTTCGCAGGCGAAGGCACTACGACCGCAGCGTCCCCCCCGAAAGACCTACTGTAGCTCGCAGGCTGGATGCCCAGAAGGGCTACGACCTCCTCTTGGAGGCCCTGGTGGAGATCCTCGAGGCAGCGCCTGCCACAAATTGCCGGGGGGGGGGGGGATTTTTAGGGTTCTGTAACTTAGTAGCTGAGTGGATACACTTTCGACACTTTTTGGGATAATATTACCCACTATAGAACTACAAGTGTACAATTTTTGGAGTTTGCGTTTCGAGGTCTGGGGTTCCGAATCACAGTGCTCCGGAATATTGGTACAAGTACTCGCACGTGTCAAAGCCAAAGGCGTTCGAGTAGTTGTTGTGGTGCTACGTCTAAGGTTGGGACCACAACGATTACTGCTGCTGGTGCGGTTGCCGCTGTTGCCGCTTGCTGCCACTGCTGCACGGCACCATTCCTGCTGCTACTGTCTTGCTGCATTGATGCCGCCGCATCACTCTAGCACCGCTGGTATCAGCAGCAGCAGCAGCAGCAGCAGCAGCAGCAGCAGCAGCAGCAGCAGCAGCAGCGGAATACTATGCTCGGTCACTCTAATCATACCGCTTTAGCCTTTGTTTTGGGTCTCCTTACCCGTATTACTTATTCCTATTCTAACAGTTCTTCTTATTATTATCAGCAATAGCCTTATCACGGGATTCTGGGAGGACTTGGGGGACCTTGAAGAGACCCGCAATATATTCTTATAGAAACCCTGAATACAGCAATCCTTATAGTAGCCCTTTCAAGGAAGGCCCCCCCCCTTCGAATTCAATAAAGGGAACTCCAGAAAGTTGGAATATGGTTTCAGGGTAGGATACCTTATAATTTACCAGAAAGGGTTTAGGATAATCATATTCCAACTTTCTGGCTTTTACTGTAAAGGCCTCCCTTCGCCAGGACACCGAGATGCAGGTGGTCATCGTGGGCTCCGGACGTGCGGACCTCGTGGCTCAGCCCTGTGGCCGCAGCTTTGCGGGGCTTCGAGTTTTTGGAGGTCTTCCTTTAAAGGGATCCTTATAGAGGGATCTATAGGGGTTCTATTGTAAGAGGGGGTTTATAGGGCTTACTTAAAGGATCATGGGACTTAGTAACTGGGGTTATAATTAGGGTAACTATACTTATAACCCCAATTAAGGTACTTATAACCTTACTTACTAAGTCCCATGATCCTTTAAGTGGTTTGGGCTGCCGAAGTGGGGCTCAAAGGTGTGGGCCCTTAGGGCTCTTAGAAGTTGAGGGTTTAAGTTTGTTTCTTTTTTGGTTTGGGCGTTGGGGACTTGTTGGTTTAATATTTACGCGTTGAGGGTTTGCGATGTTGGGGTACTTAAAGGATCATGGGACTTAGTAAGTAAGGTTATAAGTACCTTAATTGGGGTTATAAGTATAGTTACCCTAATTGTAACCCTAGTTACTAAGTCCCATGATCCTTTAAGTAGACCGTAAAGCCTGAACCCTTAACCTGCCGCAAAAACCCACAGGGTTTAGGGTTTAGGGTTTAGGGTATAGGGTTTAGGGTTTAGGGTATAGGGTTTAGGGTTTAGGGTTTAGGGTTTAGGGTTTAGGGTTTAGGGTTCCCAGAACCCCAATGCTGCAATGTGTGGACAGGACGAAGGCCGTCGAGAAGAAGTATCCCAGCAAGTTCTTCTATGCAGGCCCGCAGCGAACCGGCGAGTCTTTACACTAGCCACAAGAAACAGATTCCAGGATTGTTTTTGACTACCACGCCCAAGCATCAGGCTCGAAAGGGCCGGCAGTTTCAAAACCCACCCTGGCCAATGCTGTAAGGAGGTCGCACCTTTCCAATTAAAGGATCTAAAGCTTCCTTTTGAGAAGGTGTACTCAAATCCTTACTGCGAAACCCTAAGGCCGTGAAGCCTTCATGTGATTAGTAGTCGCTCTCGGCTGTTTTGAATCTGGGTAAAGTAGACGGACTGTAGCCACTGGCTTTTGTGTCACGCCGCGGTCAAAAGAGAGTCTTCTCGTGCAGGCTGGATGGGCCCCGAGCGTTACGCTCTGCTCGCCGGCTGCGACTACACGCTGCTTCCGTCCAGGCACAACTTGATCCAACTGTCCCTTCGGGTGGGAGGTTACTACTATTTGCTTAAGAACCCCCCAAAAATAAAAAATATATTCCTTATGGGGGTAATATAGGGATTATTATTTTTATTTTTTGGGGGTTTCTTAAGCAAATGGTAGGTTAAGGATCTGGGTTGGGGCTTGCGGTCTAGCGGTTGATTTATGGAGTATGCTGCGAATGCTACTCAAGCATCCAGATGAGCTCGGGGCGCATCTAACCGCAGTTTTAACCATCATTCAGGCTTTTGCATGCTTCAAAAACCACATTTTTTTTTAAAGGGGTTTCTTATTGCAAACATACAATAATTCACCATTCCTTATGGATTCCTTATTGCGAACATACATACAGTCACAGAGCATTCTATTCCTCAGGGTTCCTGCATTGCAAACCTACAGTAAAAACAAAGGCATACCTACTTGGAGGATCATGGGACTTGGTACATAAGTCAGATTATAAGCACCTTACTTGGGGTTATAAGTAATTATAAGTATGGTTCCCTTATTCACTACTCATTAGGCACGTGAGTATGACTTTTGGCGAAGAGAAAGATGGTTACATTATTTATACCAAGGCCATCTTCGGACTCACCGAGTCTCGGAACTCCCATGAGATAGAACCCTTATAGACCCATCAAAGAAGGACCCCTAAACGACCCTTCAAAGAAGGACCCCTAAAAGACCCCCTAACGAAGGAACCCTTCTAGACCCTTTAAGGAAGGAACCCTTCTAGACCCCTTAAAGAAGGAACCCTTCTAGACACCTTAAGGAAGGAACCCTTATAGACCCCTTAAAGAAGGACCCCTTAAAGAAGGACCCCTGAAAGACCCCTTAAGGAACCCCGTAAGGAAGGACCCCTTAAAGATCTTTGAAGTCGAGAGAAGCTGCAGGTGGGAGCCCTGCGGCCTGGTCCAGATGGAGGCGAACCTGGGGGCTGATGGGCTTAGGGTTAAGTTTAGGGATTTAGGGTTTAGGGGTTTAGGGGTTTAGGGGCTTAGGGGCTTAGGGTTTTAGGGTTTTAGGGTTTTAGGGTTTAGGGTTTAGGGGTTTAGGGTTTTAGGGTTTTAGGGTTTTAGGGTTTAGGGCTTTAGGGGTTTAGGGGTTTAGGGTTTTAGGGTTTTAGGGTTTAGGGTTAAGGGTATTAGGGTTTTAGGGTTTTAGGGTTTTAGGGTTTTAGGGTTTTAGGGGTTTAGGGTTTTAGGGTTTTAGGGTTTTAGGGTTTATGGTAAACCCCAAAGAGTTGGAAACCGGATTGAGGACACATAGTGCTGGGATTCCCTTTGCATTACTCTTCAGGATTGAGGCTATTGGGTTTCCAACTTTTGGGCTTCTACTGTAGGGTTAAGTTTCGGGGCTGAGGGGCTTAGGCTTGAGGGTTTAGGGCCTTAGAGCTTAGGGGCTTAGGGGCTTAGGAGCTTAGGAGCTTAGGGGCTTAGGGGCTTAGGGTTGAGGGTTTGTGGACTTCGAGTTTGGGGTTCAGGTGGTGGCAGAACACCGAGCCCTAGAACACAGCACACAACAAAGATCCACCCAAAGCCGACATCTGGAGACTGCAGCTTGAACCCTAAGCCCTTTTGTTGCATCTGCACTGTCTGAGCAGTGGCAGAAGCATAGTTGGGAGCCGACTCGGGCAGGCGCACAAAGAAGGACGTCAACCTAACTTGTGTAAAAAACCATAGCCCCTAAACCCTAAACCCCGTAAGCCCCGATACATTCTTACATCCGGAAAGCGCATCTCCCAAAAAATCGAAGCTCTGGTTCCCTTCTTTCCCGGGGAGGCCATGCGCCCTAAACCCAAAACCCTAAAACTACCCTACACCCCAAAAACCGAAGACTCAGAGGCCATGCGCATGGGCACTTTGCCCATCGTTGCCCCGACCGGCGGCCTCAAGGACACCGTGGAGGCGAGATGGGGGGGTTTCGAATGCAGGCTGGGAGTAAGGAGCCCCCCCTACTTTATACCCTGCACCCTAAACCCGTAAACCACTAAACCCGAAACCTCTAAAAACCCTAGGCCCCAAACCCCTAAACCACTAAACCCGAAACCCCTAAGCCCTAAGCCTCAAACCTCTTAGACGTAAACCAGTAAACCCGAAACCCAGAAACCCTAACACTAAGTATAGCAAAGCAAGGGAGGGCCCTTTCCTGAAGCGTCCTCTCAGGATGGCCTGAACGGACTCTGGACCGACAAGGAGATGTCCGTGGAGGCCGTCATCGACGAGGCTCCCGGGTGGGTTCTCAGGGATACTTTCAGGGGCCTATTTCCGGGGCTCCTTGCCAGAATTTAGGGTTTTTTGAAAGGGTTCTATAACTTAGTAGCTGAGTGGAGACATTTTACTCTTTTTGGGCTACTGTCACCCACCAAAAAACTAAACGTGTATATATTTTTTGGGGCTTATGAACCCAGCAACTAAGAGAAGGGTTACTACAGCTTCCATCTTTTTACCCTAAACCCTAAACCCTAAATCTGCCCCGCTTTTTTCCTTAAGGTTGGCTCTGGTCTGGGTTCCTTTGTAGGGTCGAGGGCACCGGGCGGGCGCCTAAAAGTGCAGGGCTCAGGGCCTATTTTGTTTGAATGCTTTTAGGTTTGGGGTTGCAGGTGTTAGGGGGGTTTTGGTCTCTAGGATATAGGGTCTATGGTGTTTAGATGCTTTTAGGTTTGGAGTTGCAGGTATCAGGGGGGGGGTTGATTTCCTGGGGTAAAGGCATAGGGTTATAGGGTCTTGAGCTGTTGGGCTTTGGACCTTTATCGGCAGGGGCGCCCAGATGCAGGATTTGGGCTTCCGGTGTCAGGGTTTGTGCCTGAAGTTGCAGCCACGTAAGCTCGAAAGCTGCCCCTAAAGGCCCGAAATGCCTTGAGTGAAGCCTTAAAAGCCTGAAGCATTCAGGCCCGACAGCCCTTAGTTTCGAGAACGTGGAAGCCAAATGCCCTGAATCCCGAAACCTTGAAACTGAAATTCCCCGCAGTTCCACCACCACTTCCCAAGCCCCCGAAACCCCCAAACCCGCTCAAACCCTTCACCTTTACAGCCTTAAACCCCTACTTGGAGGATCATGGGACTTAGTAAGTAAGGTTATAAGTCCCCTAAGATGGGTCATAAGTATAGTTACCCTAATTATAACCCTAGTTACTAAGTCCAATGATCCTTTAAGTATGCCCCCTCAAGGACGTTTCGCCTCAGGGGCCCAAGGTTTTGGCCCTAGGCGCTAAGCCGAAAGCTCCCAAGCACAGGAGTCCGTCCAGTCCATCGCGAACGCCCTGAAGCGCGCCTCCAAGCTCTTCATTCAGGAGCCCGAGAAGGTACGGGCCTCAGAGTTTTGCTGTTTGCTGCTGTGTTTGGGGGTTGTTGCGATTAGGATCAAACTTGGCCCTGTCTGCACAAAAGACCTCAGAGGTCTTACAACCAGACCCCGAAAGGTAATACACCCTCAACCCTAAACCGAAGATCTTGGAAAAGCTACCTGAAAGCCCGTATAAGCGTGTAGCAGCAGCTCTTGGATTTGAACTACTTCTCAATCCACAATACCGCCATAAGCCGATCAAAGATTGATCAAGCCTTCACAACCACGCCCACCTAAACCCACCCTTAATTCCTACAGCTAAAGCATCTAAACCCTGAACCCAAACAGTGTTTGAAACGACCCCACCCTATATACAGGTGAAGGCCATGACCCGGGCGGCGATGGCGGCCTCCGCGGAGTTCACCTGGAGCAACGCCGCCCTGCAGTACGAGGCCTCTTTGGGCTTCATGTTTGTAACAAACTACTTAGGTTGAATGGTAGGCGGGAAGGGGTGAGGAGGTGGGGCGTCTGAAGGTTTAGCTGTGGTTTGTATTCGGCGTGTTGCTCGTTATGGCAGTGTTGATTGTTTAGATTGCTTTTATTCACTTTATGGGGGCTTCGGGTTTATGTACTTATTTATTTCATCATTCTTTGTTGGGGTTCGACATAAGAAGTGGTCGTAGCAGGATTGGATTTGGGGTTCAGCTGTCCTTGGGCCCTGGATTTCGCGGGGGCTAGGGACTTGCCTCGGCCTCTTTTGGGTGACCGATAGGCTTTGGTCTGCAACTTTCGTATGCCAGAGAACATAAATTCACATCGCATTACCAACAGTGCCACTTCTGTCCAAGGGCACCCGATTCAGACTTCACATCAGCTCTGCAAAGTGGTGTATCTTCAGTGATTGCTGGCTTAAAGCCAGAAGTGTCAACCCCAGCGCATCAAGCTGCAACTCCTCTGCCCGATAGTGGAGCCAGCTGAGATTACCCCTCCATCTCCTGATTACTGAAGCTAGGACCCAGAGTAGGCCCTTATTCCCTTTTTAAGGGTTTAGGTTCCCTTATATTCCCCTTTAAACCAAAAAGGGCACCCTTATTCTTCCTAGGTTACTCTTGGGTCTAGGAAGGATTGCTGCCATAGACTTATCCAGGATTCTGGGCATGGGTTGAACCTTCAATAAACCCACCCTGCACCCCTGCCCTGTAAACTCTGCACAGCATGAGCTGGGCTTTGGGATTCAGTGTTAGAGTCTATAGTAAGGGATACTTAGTTTTGAAACAACAATTTCGAATCTTCGCAGGCCGTCTTCGAGGAGCTTGGCGTCAAGGACGCGGAGCTCGCCTCTGAATGGCCCCCACTTAAAAGGGAGTTTCCGAAAATAGGGGGCCCTAATATGGTACCCTCAATGGTAGGATCCTTATTATAAGAACCCCCAAAATAAGGTACCTAATTCTCGGAAATTCCCAAACCCCAAAGGACATGTGTTGCAGGATGAGGAGGTGGAGTCCAAAGGGTTCAGGGCTACAGGGTTTGGGAGCACACGGTCTGGGATACCACTGGTAGTAGCTATGGTCGGGCCGGGGTCACAGAGCTTCTTGAGGTTACTTAAAGGATCATGGGACTTAGTAACTAGGGCTCCTTAAAGGGCTCCTTTAAAGGGGATCTATAGGGGTTCGTTCTATTATAAGAGGGGTTTTAGGGCTTACTTAAAGGATCATGGGACTTAGTAGCTAGGGTTATAAGTAGGGTAACTATACTTATAACCCCAATTAAGGTACTTATAACCTAACTTACTAAGTCCCATGATCCTCCAAGTACAGGGTCATGGGGATGATCGCTGCTCCTCTTGGGCGCGAAGGACACGCTGAAGGGTGGCGTCGCGTCTGTCACACTGGAGACGGACAAGCAGGTGCCCGGGGATTATGGGACTCCTTCCGGCTTCTGAGGGCTAAAAAAGGCACCCAAGATTTCAGGGTTCAGGCTTCGAGGTTTGTCTAGTTATTCAGGATACAAGGTTGAGGGGCCGGTTGGTGGATGAGGGTTGAGGGTTTTGCGATTTCACAATGGTTAAGGCATTGATTCAGGAGTTGTTGCTTCTGCTGCAAGATGCTTCGGAGTTCGATGTTTTTCGGGCCTTCCCGGACATGTCTTTCCTTTGATTGTGGGTGCACCTACTTTGCCCCAAACTTCGAAGATCCCCTCTGCCTCGCTGGAATCGGTGTTCCGGACCTCTGGATTCGGGGCTGGAAACTAGAAGTGTACACTTTTTGGGGTTTATGAACTCAGCAACTAAGGTGAGAATAGGTTTCGGACAGCGTAATTTGAATCCCTCAAAGGGGAAAAGGAGGGACCCTTAATGGGGACCCCTACCCTATAATAGGCTATCTAATGGGTATATAATAGGTATATTAAGGGTACATACCTAGGAGTCCTTATTAAGGGTCCCCCCTTTTACCCTTGGAATCCCGAAACCATCTTGAGCCCAAGCGTAAGTGTACGCGATTCAGCTGCGGTCTCGCACCGATGCAACCCGACGGCCGCAAAGCAAGGATTTCCGCATGAGGCCCACAGGTGCCCGAGATACCACGTAAGGACGTCTTTGTTCATGCCAAGACAAAGAAGCAGCAACTATACCAGTTCGTCACGATGGTCGCAAGTAGTAGTACACAATAAGAGAGCCGAGTGAACTGTGTGGCAGGACACATAAAAATGATGAGGATCATGGATGCCTGAATCCTGAACAGTGTTGCCAACATCCAAGAACATCAGGATCAGCACTAGTCGTCATTCCTTTTTCCCTTCGCCAGGTGTGCTAAGCCGCGACGGTCAGTTCCTCGCCCCAGATGAAATGTCCATGCATGTGGGGGCATGCTTGGGTCCGGTCTGTTCTTATGTCTAGTCTAGGGTTTAGGAATTGGGGTTCTTAGGGAGTTGCTTTCGTAGGCTTGAGGTGTTTAGGGTTCACTTGGACCCTACGACGCCTAACTGCAGGACGCAGAGTATGACCGAGAGGAACTGTAAGAAGGGTAGCAAAGGTGTCAGTCAGTGGTACTTGTCTCCGCTTCTGGTTCTGTCCTATTTATATGAGATTGAACAGTGACCCTAAACCCTAAACCCTAAACCCTAAACCCTAATATACATGTACCCAAGAACCTAGTGTAAGTCTTCAGGCCCAAATGTTGGATGAAGTGTAACGGGTATATGCCGGATGACGAAGCGATGAGTGGGTTTGCGCGTCTTCTAACTACTCGGGTTTAGGGGTTAAGGATTTAGCCTTTGGGGTTTAAAGTTTCGGGTTCAGGGGGAGTCTACACGGGTTTTCACAGGGGGGAAGTTCTTCAAAAGCCCTCAGCCACTCCTTCGCGCCCACCGAGGTCGCGCAGGTCTCACAGCCACTGGAGCCGAATGTTTGAAATTCTTATTTTCCACGGATTTCGTTTTCCATAGTTTGCAAATCTGCACTGCAGCTGGGTTCTGAGCGACAAAGCCTTTCGGATCGACTGTCGGTTTCCTCCGAAGCAAAGATGGGACAACAGCAGCAGCAGGCGGTGCTTGAATGGAGGGCGTTCCCGAACATGCTCGGGTGCCCTTGGTTCCGTCAGTTTTCTGTGGAGTTCATGGCAACTGCATGAACGCATCCACCAATCCCCCTTTACATGCCGGACCAGCCGTGGCAGCAGCGGATGAGCCTCTGCTGTCACGCTGAGATGCAGTCGTCGACTCTTTCAGGGCCCTCAGGCCCAAGCCCCGGAACCCTGAACCCTGCACCCCAAGCGAATCAGAAACAGCTAGACACCAAGCCACCGCGGATTCCCGACAACCCGCCCGAAGCTACGGCTAGGGCTGCTTTTGCTTCCAGGGAGGCGGAGAGAGTGTGTGCTGCGTCTGATGGGCCGGACAATTTCGGACCAGGACAGGCCGTCTCCGGGAAACCCCGGCGATACCTAAAAAAGCTGGCTCAGCACTTGGAACTATTGAGACCTGAGTTAGTTAGTGTATGTAAGTGTTATGACGTGTGACGGTAGGTACCAGGAAGAAGCTACCTAGAATCCCCATTGCTTAGTAGCTGAGTGGATACACTTTTACACTTTTTGGGAGACTATTACCCACCATAAAACTAAAAGCGTACACGTTTTGGGGCTTATGAACTCAGCAACTAAGGTGAGAATAGGTTTCGGACAGCATACATAATTTGAATCCCGAAACCATCTTATTGGGACCCCTACCCTATAATAGGCTATACGATGGGTATATTCCACGCTTGGGGCTTTGTTGGGAGCTTCGGCCTTTGGGTTGACAGTCGTGTTTGGTCTGCGGAGTTTCTGTCGATGCCGCAATTCCACCAGAGACCCCAATATCCCTTAATTAAGGAATATTCCTTATAAATCATATTAGGGGTCCTATTATAATTTAAGGAATATTCCTTAATTAAGGGATATTGGGGTCCCCTAAACCCTAAGCCCTATAGATCCCTTAAAGGATCCCTTAACGGAACCCTAGGTCCCTAGGTATTCCTTAATCAAGGAGTATTGGAGTCTCTGGGTCTGCGGCCCTCATCGCACTGACAGCCCGAAGCCCTGTCCTCTTTGAGGTTTAGGGCCTAGAGTCGAAGCCCCCCAAAGCTATAATCTATAGGGTTCCTTAAAGGGATCTATAGGGTTCCTTAAAGGGATCTATAAGGTTCCTTAAAGGGATCTATAGGGATTAGGGTTTAGGGAACTACTTGGAGGATCATGGGACTTAGTAAGTTAGGTTATAAGTACCTTAATTGGGGTTATAAGTATAGTTACCCTACTTATAACCCTAGTTTCTAGGTCCCATGATCTTTTAAGTAGGGGTGTCTAGCATGGAGCGACCTTCGCGCCGTGGCTCCAAGAGTTGAGACATGCACAAGCCGTCACTTCACGGACTCATTTGGTGGTCTTCTTGTCTTATAGTTTCCTAAAGAACGGTGCAGCTGTGGATGCAACCGTCACCAAGATGACCAGTGACTGGCGACACCACGCTTACAATCATGTCCCTTATCGTCGTCATCAACAACTATGAGACTACGTGCACTGTATACTGAGTACGACTTTCGACTCAGCTATGCGAGTCCTGGCCATGGCGGGAAAGAAGCTGCTCCTTCTTGCCTGCGGCGCACTGCTGCTTAGACACGCCTTCGAGGTGCCGGGCTAGGGGTGCGGGTGACAAGTCGACGAGTCAGGTAAGCATGATGAGAAGAGCCGGTTGGGGCCAAACTGAAGGAGATTCAAGCTGTCGGACTTGCAGGTGGCTCTGACAAGCCTTGAAAGCCCCCAAGTATCCTGAAACCGAAGAAGCTGTGAGCCGCCTTGGACCCTCAGTGGTCTTGTTCAGCTTAAGCGGGGATTGTACGGCTTAAGCGGTTCCAAGTGCCCCGGAGTCCGAAACCCCAAACACTGGAGCCCAAGCCCCAAAACCCTAACACCCTCCCAGAGAGCCCAATGCCCCTTAATTAAGCAATATACCTTGAAGTATAAGGGGCTTCATATTATGATTTAAGCTAAATTCCTTAATTAAGGGGTATTGGGCTCGCTGGGCTAAAGTGCTAAAGCCCTAAAGCCCGAGGTCTCGTTCGTGGGCCCGGTGCGGCAGCCAGCGAGGCGCGCAGCCTCCCAAAAGCCTCCACCCATATCACCTAAGCCTCCTAAGCGTCTTTGCAGCAGATCTCCCACTCCGGTATAGAACCCGGACCCTCCTTGTACCCTCAAATAGGGGTATATGGTCCCAAATGCATTTAGGGTCTGATAGAGAGTAGATGGAGGTTCTAGGAACCCTTGTAAGACTTATAAGGACTTCACGTCAAGGCAGAGGCGATGCACAGACGCCATGTGGGTGGTTGTCACACTTAGGGTCCCTTTTAGGGTACCCTAAACAGTAGGTGCCGTACTATATTAGGGACCCAAAAAGGGACCACCATTCTGACAACCACCCATGTAGAGCCCACATGGCCTGGGTATTGGAAGCTCTGGAGCCACTTCCTCCGGTGCATCTTCATGTAGCGGACCGAAGCTCGGGGTTGAGACGATATGGGAAATTCCAAAAATAGGGCACCCTCATAAAGTACCCCAAATAGTAGGATCCTTATTATAAGGACACCAAATCAAGGTACCCCTAATTTTCGGAAACTCCCAAAGCCAACTCCTGATGTAGGAACCTGATTAAGAAACCTTGAGCCTTTATTGGGGTTCCTTAAATGATTCCTACTATTTTGGGGTTACAGGCCCAGGGTTTCTTAGTCAGGTTACTACACTACATTGTGACTCGCGGTGGGGCCCCCCGAGAGTGTCGGAGGCGTTCCTCTCAGCTGGAAACTCCACGTTCGAACTCCTCGAGTTTGGCACCTTCTCACAGGATTTGCATTATACCAGAAGAAATATAACCACAATAGGAACCGTAAGGAATAGTAGTACGTTGTTTAAGCTTCACTTACACCCTACACCCGAGGCCCAAACCCAGTGAGCGTGAGGATCAGCCTCCTCGCCCGACCCGCCGATGGCAGTCAGGGCCGCATCGGGGTTCAGGGCTGTCATGGGGTTTGGGGTTGATTTGGGAGATGCTGTTCTTCTCTTGCGAGTTTTAGTGCCCGTGCGAGCCTGCAAGTTTTTCATGGGACGGTTTTGCAATGGCAGGACTGTGGATATAGACCCGAAACCCTGCGTGCATAAGAAAGACCCGCAAAGCCAGTCCTATCAAGCCTCTATGGGCCTTTTTCCCGGAACCTTTGCGCCGTAATGTACCTCAGCTCCCTGAACACTCTGAACTTTAAACCCTGAAAGATGGATCCTGTGACTGTCCCCGACCTACAGAGCCCTGAGCAACTTGAAAAATCACGGGACTGAGTAGGTAGGGTCATAAGCAAGGTCACTGTAGCTACGCTTGCTTATAGCCCCAACTCCGAACCCTTACCGGACCTTTTCTAAACTCATATGGCTCCCTGCGAACCCCTACCAAATTTGTCATAAACCCTTACGGATCCCTACCTGCTAAGTCCATGTACCTGTGACTCAGGTGACGACGAGGCGGCGCAGCCGCCCCAACACAGTGGCAGGCCGCAGTTTTACCCCAACTCCCGGCCTAAACCCTAAACCCTAAACCCTAAAAGCAGAGGCAGAACCCATAACACAAGCAGACTTGGAGGATCATGGGACTTAGTAAGTAAGGCTATAAGTACCTTAATTGGGGTTATAAGTATAGTTACCCTAATTATAACCCTAGTTAGGAAGTCCCATGATCCGTTAAGGCGGCATGTAGAGAAGCATCCTGGGTGCTAAGCCCTGAGCCTCTGGAGAAGGGATCAGAGCACTAAAGGATCCTCAGCCGTAAACCCTGGATCCTGCACCTGAAACCCGAAACAACACAGCCCTTAATCCTGCAACCCCAAGCCCTTAAATCCTAGACCTATAACCCTAAACCTTTCCTCCAAACCCCTAAACCCCCTAAACCCTAAACCTTTCACCTCAAACCCTGAATCTTCAATCCCATAGCCCGCACCCACAGTCTCCAAACCCCCCCTCTGACCTCAGGCGCTCCTTGGTTGGGGCCTTGCCCGCGGCGCTGGCCGGGTACCTACGTGTGCAGGGGTTTAGGCTCAGGGTTTCGAAGGTAGGGCTTTTGGGGTTTTAGGGTGCTTGGGCTTCAGAGGCTTTGGGCCTTAGGTTTTTTCAGAGCTCTGCCTTACAGGAAACAGGGATCTGACTTATGAAGACTAGCATTCCTTAAATTTCCCTCTACTTCGAAATTGCACAAGCGGCTTTTTTCGGAGGATGTCAGGAGGAAAGCGACGGGGGTTTCGGGTTAGTGGTTGCAGGTCTGGAGTCCCCCCCAATGCCTCAACCCTGAACTCCAAAACCCTGAAACTCAAAACACATGATCCCAAATCCCTAAAACCCTCAGCTCTGAACTCTGAAGACCCATAAACCCCAAGCCCCCTAAACTCTGAAGACCCATAAACCCTAAGCCCCCTAAGAACCCTAAACCCTACAGTAGAAGCCAGAAAGTTGGAACATGGCTTTAGGAGGATTAGTGCTAGGATCCCTTATACTTTACCTTAAGGGCATGAGGAGTCTGATGTTCCAACTTTCTGGCTTCTACCATAAACCCTAAGCCCCCTAAACCCTAAACCCTAAACCCTAAACCCTAGACCCTAAACCCTATAAGCCCCTAAGACCCTAAACCCCAAAGCTGCCACCCGCCCTCTCAGTTCAGTCCGAAGACCCTGAGACTCCAATATCCCTTAAATAAGGAATCTCCCTTAAATCAAATTAGGGTATTCCTTAACTAAGGGATATTCCCTAAATTCAATCATACTGGGGATCCTACTATGATTTCAGGGATATTCCTTAACTGCGCGAAATTGGAGTCTCCGAAGGACTGAGCCACGAAGCGCTAAGGTGACGACGCTGCTGGTGTGGCAGAAGGCCAGCAGAGACTTGCTTGGGGATCGACGCTTTAGAGGGGGGGGGGTGTTAAGTGTAGGGGTTTAAGGGTTTAAGCATGAAGGGCGAAGGGTTTGGTGGTTTAAAGTTAAGGGTTAAGGGTATAAGAGTCTAGGGTTTAGGGGGGTTAGGGTATCAGCTTCAGGGTTTTAGAGTTTCGGGTTTAGGGTACCCGAAGACTTCATGGGCGCCTCTTTGCAACTGGCCCGAGAGATCACCTCTTCAGGGCCTGAGATCTTCGGATTCTGGGGTGTTGACTGGGTTGTTCGATCCTCGTCGTAGGTAGTGATTGTGGAAAGCCTTAACTACAAGATCCCGTCAGCTGGCATCTGGAGATCATGGTCGGTTTTTTATTGCTGCAGGAACCTCGATGATCAGTACAGGGCACGCAGCGAAACAAATTGAAGGTTCTTATATCCCTGGACCAAGGCTGCAACGAGCTGGCTTCCGCAGCCTCGCAGGCCTTCTGAACAAGTGCAGAGTGGCATATACTCGATTCAGTCTACCACGGGGGCCTTGAATTCTGTGAAGTATCAAAATTACTATTATTGTTGTCATTAATGAATATTATAGTCTATTGTCGTATGGTATACTATGGTATTGGACTTCTGAGCCCCAGAACTCCTTTTCTTTTGTTCTGCCGTGCGGCCATGGATCCTGTAGCGCTGCATTCCGACGATCCGCGGCTGCTCGGCCGCCGCAGCGCCGGAGGGCCGAAAGAAACAGAGAAGCCTCGCCCGGAGGACGGTGAGACTATAGTATAGTACACTGTAGTATAGTATACCATAGTATGGTATAGTATAGTATACTTTAGTACAGTATAGTATAGCAAAGCCCTGAAGGAAGGTTTTGACACAGATTATTGTAGTAGATAGCTCCAACATGAAGCCCTGGGGGAACAGCATCAGTACCTACTCAAACCCTCATATTCGGCCACAAAATCCGGCAACGTGTACGTCCCATGATCCTCCATCATAGAACCCTTATAGATCCCTTTATAAGGATCCCTTTAAGAAGCCCTTTATAATAGAACCCTACTACAATAACCCGAGTTACGAAGTCCCATGATCCTTTAAGTCGACCCTAAAACCCCTCTTATAATAGAACCTCTATAGATCCCTTTAAAGGATCCCTTTAAGGAGCCCTAGAAGTCCCATGATGCTTGAAGTAAGCCCTATACCCTAAACGGACCCTTCCTCCTTCTCAAGGACTCCAATATCCCTTAACTAAGGAATGTACCTTGAAATATAGTAGGATTCCTAATATGTTTTAAGGAGCCCCTTAGATCTCTTTAAGGAGCCCATTAGATCCCTTTAAGGAGCCCTTTAGATCTCTTTATAGATCCCTTTAAGGATCCCTTTAAGTAGGGCCCAGCTTGCGGTCTGCAGGAGCCGTTGCTACGTCCGGGGAGGGCCAAAGTCGTGCAGGAGGTGAAGGTGCCGGTACCTTTCAAAGGGGCCCGGAGCGAGCATAGGGTTTAGGGTTTAGGGTTTAGGTTTCAGGGTTTAGGATTTAGGGTTTAGGGTTCAGGGTTTAGAGTTCCTAAGCCCTAACCCCCTAAACCCTGAAACCCCCAAACCCCGAAACCCTACATATTGAACCGCTTGACGTATTGCACTAGACTCCCTGAGTGGGATAAGACCACATGCCTTTTGCTTTCATCTGGCCCTCGAGGTGCGAGCTGCCAAAAGCAAGGAGGCAGAGATCGTGGGGCTTCTGAGGGAGGGCATGTTCGTGACCATCCACGAGGTGCCTTCGGGGACTACTGTATATCACCTATGCCTTTCCCGGGAGGAAACCCTAAACCCCAAATCTAAACCCTAGACCCTAAACCCTAAATCCTTCTCGATTTAACCCTAAATCCTAAACCTTAAACGGTCGCTGGGTAAAAGAGGGGCTCCAAAAAAAAAGCCTTAAGAGGCTGGCGAAGCGAGATGAAAGATGACCCCAGACTTGTCTCCTCCAGGTGTGCACCAAGTCAGCGCACGTGGAATATTCGGTGACCGGGCTGACCGGCTGGGTCACCTTGAGCAACTGAGCTCCGGAGTACAGTACCTTCATACTTGTTTTTGGACCTGTTCCTTAAAGGGAGCCGGAGCCAATATGAAATAGGAGTTTATACTTTATTGCACTAAAGTATATATATATATATATATATGTGGCATGGACCTTTAGGGTCTATTTGGCAATCCTGCTGGGCTTTGTATTTAAACTGCAACAACACCACGGCGACAAGGACGACGACGACTCGGTCTAGCACGACGACGACTGGGTTCAACACGGCGACGACAAGGTCTGGCACGACGGTTGCATCGGGAGGCCGAAGCGTGTACAGTGTAAAGGTCTCGACAGGAGTTTAAGGGTCTAGGGTCTTAGCTCCTAACTATGGTTTACCGGGGTCAGTATACTATGGAAGATCTAAGGTTTGGAGTTTATGAGGATTTAGATGGTTTTACGCTCTCACAAGTTCTCCGTGCTGGTTTTAGGGTCTATCACAATGTCCTCCCGTCCCTCTCACGCCGGGAACCATCAAGAATCTGTCTTGTGTATTTCTCGTCCTGTGTCTTTCTCTCATTCCCGTTCCTCTTCCTGCCTATCCACTCTGCCGTTTGTCAAGAAGACACAGAAATTGAAGTCATGACAGAGGAATAGGCATGAAGATGGACGAAGTGAACTCTTCATTCTCTCGTCTCTCCCTTCTCTCCTTCCTTTGATTGATCCTTTTTCTGTTTCTTTTCTTGTCGCCTTCTGCTGTCAATGACAGGGGTAACACGAGGGAGGGGCAAAGGGACGACGTCAGTTCCTCTCGACGTGGTTCGTTTTTTCATTTCCTCTCGCGTTGTCTCTCTTCCGCCTCTCTCTCTCTCTCTCTTTTTCTCGCTCTGTCTTCCTCTCTGCCGTGTCTCGCTCTCTCATCTCTTCTGTCCCCTCTTTCCTTGCTCCCTTGCTGGAAGGAATAGAAAACAGAAGCGAAGACATAAGATGGAGGAAGATGGTTGGGAGAAGGAAGGTGGATTCCTCCCTCACTCGGCTCTTTGACTTTCTTTGCCCTTGCCTTCTTTTCTCTGCTCCTATCCTTCTTCACAATTAGAAGGAGAAGCGACAAGAACGGAGAGCTCAGGGAGAGCAAGTGACACTGTTCCTCATAATCTCCTCCTTCCTCGTGTTCATTGCGTTGTCCATCTCCCCCTCGCTCTCTCTCTCTCTCTCTCTCTCTCTCTCTCTCTCGCTCTCTCTCTCTCTCTCTCTCCATTCTTCTCCTCTCTACTTCTGCACATTTACTTTTCCACTTCTCTCGCCTACTACATTATGCTTGCTTTGATACTTATCTTCAACTTTCTCTCACTCTCTTTGTCCCATCGCTTGCCCTGTTCCTTCTCCTCCTCCCTTCCCTGCCTCCCGTCCTTCTCCCCTTATCACTCAGAAGGAAGAAGGAAGACTCACAAGGAGAAAGACAAGGGAGTAAGAAAACAGACAAAAGAAACGGAGAGAGAGCCATAAGGGACGAAATACAGAAACAAAGAGAGAAAATAAGGGGGAAAGATAATCAAAAAGAGAGACAGAAAGAGGAGGCGATGCATAAAGCAGCCGACAGTGCCTTGACCTCCACGTCTATTCATTCTTTGTTCTTGTCCTATCACACTGTCTCATTGGTGATAAACCAGGAAGAGCTTGTGGAGGGAGACGAGGAAGAAGTGTTCTCCTCTTCACTCACCTTGTGCCCTTCCTCTCCCACCGCTCGCCCGCTCTCCTTTCTTTGATTTTCTTGTCTGGCGGAAAAGTGGGAACCAGGAAGGAAAGTGGACAAGGGAAGGACGAGATTGAGAAATGACAGAAAGAAGAGAGATACAGAGAGAGCGAGGGAGAGCTTCAAGCCCAGCAGAGGAAGAAGAGAGAGGAAGATAAGAGAAGGGGGCAAGGGGTGGCCAGAAGAAGCGTAACCCAAAGCTACGTAATGAAAGGGCGGAAGCCCCATTCTCCTCTTCTTCCTCTTTGCTCTCTTATTTTTCTCTTAGCGCAGGGCACGCATGGAGCTAGGAAAGGGAAGGGGTCAAAGCGGATGAGAGAAAGTAACGGAGAGAGCTGTTCTTCGTCCCTCTCACCTCCTCTCTCATTCTCCTGATGCTTGCTCATGTCAGAAGGGTTTGGAAAGGAGTGAAGGCTAGGGCATGGACTGAAGCGAGGCAATAGGTGAAAGTGGATAAGAGAAAGTCATAGACAGAGAGGGGGGAAGTCGAGTGCGAAAGAAAGGGAAACGAGGAAGACTAGGAAGAAGGACACAGAAGAGGAAGCGAGAGAGTACCAGTGTTGCCGTATCTCAAAGGACTCCGGGCCTCGCGAGGGCTTTGAGGAGGCTTGTAGGCGCCTTCAGGCACTTCCACAACTTTCTGGAGGCCACCAACTTCCTCCCTAAGGGGGCCTCCCGAGGACATGAACACCAAACCGAGTATAAAGAAAGCAGGGGGATGTAGAGAAGCAGAGTGTGGTAAGAAGGAGCAAGGAGAATCAGTTCGCGTCTCCTCATCGTTTCCTTTTTGAATGACCAGAGGAAAGAAAAGGATAAGGAGGAAAGGCTCTGCGAAGACATCAGGAAAGAAGAGCAGACAACAGAAAGGAAGCGGTAAGATGCGGGAAGACGGTTCGGAGAAGAAAGGAGAATTCCTCCTTCGCTCGCCTCTCTTACTTCCTTGCCCTTCGCCTTCTTCCTCTTCTCTTACCCTATTCATCTTCATAAGGAAGGAGAAATGAAAGGAACGAAGAGTTCAGGGCATGCAAGGGGCACTCTTTCTCATCACCTCATCCATCCTCCTTTTCATTGTTCTCTCCAGATCCCTCTTTCTCTCTCGCTCCCTTCCCGTCTACTTCTGCACATTCCCTTTTCCGCTTCTCTCCGCCTATTATGTTGGCTTTGATAAAATCGCTTGCCCTATTCCTTCTCCTCCTGGCTTTCCTGCCTCCCGTCCTTCTCCCTCTATCACTCAGAAGGAAGAAGGACGATTCACAAGAAAGAAGCGTAAGCCAAAGCTACGTAATGAAAGGGCGGCAGCCCCTGTCTCCTCTGTTCTTCCTGTTTTCTCTCTTGTTTTTCTCTTAGCGCAGGGCACGCATGGAGCTAGGAAAGGGAAGGGGTCAAAGCGGATGAGAGAAAGTAACGGAGAGAGCTGTTCTTCGTCCCTCTCACCTCCTCTTCTCATTCTCCTGATGCTCGCTCATGTCAGAAGGGTTTGGAAAGGAGTGAAGGCTAGGGCATGGACTGAAGCGAGGCAATAGGTGAAAGTGGATAAGAGAAAGTCATAGACAGAGAGTGGGGGAAGTCGAGTGCGAAAGAAAGGGAAACGAGGAAGACTAGGAAGAAGGACACAGAAGAGGAAGCGAGAGAGTACCAGTGTTGCCGTATCTCAAAGGACTCCGGGCCTCGCGAGGGCTTCGAGGAGGCTTGTAGGCGCCTTCAGACACTTCCACAACTTTCTGGAAGCCACCAACTTCCTCCCTAAGGGGGCCTCCCGAGGACATGAACACCAAACCGAGTATAAAGAAAGCAGGGGGATGTAGAGAAGCAGAGTGTGGTAAGAAGGAGCAAGGAGAATCAGTTCGCGTCTCCTCATCGTTTCCTTTTTGAATGACTAGAGGAAAGAAAAGGATAAGGAGGAAAGGCTCTGCGAAGACATAAGGAAAGAAGAGCAGACAACAGAAAGGAAGCGGTAAGATGCGGGAAGACGGTTCGGAGAAGAAAGGAGAGTTCCTCCTTCGCTCGCCTCTCTTACCTCCTTGCCCTTCGCCTTCTTCCTCTTCTCTTACCCTATTCATCTTCATAAGGAAGGAGAAATGAAAGAAACGGAGAGTTCAGGGCACACAAAGGGCACTCTTCTCATCACCTCATCCATCCTCCTTTTCATTGTTCTATCCAGATCCCTCTTTCTCCCTCCCTCCCTTCCCGTCTACTTCTGCACATTCCCTTTTCCGCTTCTCTCCGCCTATTATGTTCGCTTTGATAAAATCGCTTGCCCCCTATTCCTTCTCCTCCTGCCTTTCCTGCCTCCCGTCGAAGAAGGACAATTCACAAGGAAGAAGACAAGGGAGTAAGAGAAAGACAACAGAAGCGGAGAGACAATCCGAGAAGGGCAGAAGAAGAACGAGAGCCATAAGGAAACAAACACAGAAACAAAGAGAGAAAGTAAGAGAGAAAGACCAGCAAAAACAGAGGCAGAGAGTGAGAGAAAGGAGGGGAGGGGAAGCGATGCAGAAAGCAGTCGAAAGTGCCTTGCTTGTCCTATCTCACCGTCTCATTGGTAAAAACCAGGAAGAGGTTGTGGAGGAAGACAAGGAAGAAGTGTTCTCGTCTTCACTCACCTTGTGCCCTTCCTCTCCCACCGCTCGTCCGCTCGACAGAAAGAAGAGAGTTGCGGAGAGGGCGAGAGAGAGCTTCAAGCCCAGCAGAGGAAGAAGAGAGAGGAAGATACGAGAAGTGTGGAGGAAGTGGCCAAAAGAAATGCTACGTAATGAAAGAGGGGAAACCAGTTTCTCCTCTGCTCTTCCTCTTTTCTCTCTTATTCTTCTCTTCTCGCAGGGCATGCATGGAGCCAGGAAAGGGAAGGGGTCAAAGCAGATGAGAAAGTAATGGAGAGAGCTGTTCTTCGTCCCTCTGACCTCCTCCTCTCATTTTACTCATATCAGAAGGGTCTGGAAAGGAGTGAAAGGTAGGGCATGGACTGAAGCGGGGGAATAGGTGAAAGTGGATAAGAAACAATGTTAGACAGCTTGCCGAAGGCGGCCAGCTCGCAGCTTGCCTGCGGCCTGGCCTGCTGAGCCTGGTGGGCTCTCGAGGGTGGGCAGGGGCCTGCTGAGATCCGCGGCCAGCACGCCCGGCTTGCTTTGAGGCAGGGCCAGCTGGGGAGCCTGGCCGGGCTGAGTGGGTTGGGTGAGTGAGTGGGGAGAGGGTGGAGAGGAACAGGGAGAAGAGGGTGGGTGGAGAGAGGAGGTAGAGGGAGCGCAAGGAAAAGGTGGGGAGAGGGGTGGGAAGAGGGAGGTAAAGGCAGGTAGGGGCAGGAGGGAAAGGGGAGCAGAGTGAGATGGCAATCAGGAAGGGTTACGGGTGAATGAAGAAGCGCGGATGAGGGGAGGGCGGGTGGACAAAGGGAGGGGAAGAGGAGGGAGTGGGGAGATGGGTGGAGAGGTAGAGGGAGTGGAGGGTGGGTGCGTTCTTTGGATTGTATAGTCTAAGGGTTTTCTACAAAGGGTTCCATATCAGGGATCTGTACAAAGGATCTATAGATTTCTATAAGGAGTATATAAAGACTGTGTATGAGGGCTCCATATAATCGATCTTTCAAAGATTTTTTATAAAGGACTCCATTTGTGGGAAACATAAGCGGTTCCTACAAGTTCTTTATCTCGAGGATCTGTAAGGTTTATGTATCTATGAAGCTTTCTATATGGGCTCTATAGACCCCATAAGACAAATTAAAAAGTGATGAAGGTGATAAGAAGATGATAAGAAGATGAGTGGATGGGAGGAAAAGTGATGGGAGGTGAGGAGACATGAGATGGGAAGGGAAGGAATGAGTTAGGAGTGGGGAAGGTAGGAGGCAAGTGAGAGGGACAGGGTGGATCATTTACAAACGCCTTTAGGGGGACCCTCCTTGCGATGTGTGATTTTTGGATCTGAGTTCTTACAAAGCCTGAGAGGGGCACACCCCGTGCGATCTGTGATTTTTGGATCTGAGTTCTTACAAAATATTAGGGCGACACCCTTGCGATTTGTGATTTTTGAACTTACTTGTCATGAAAACCTTTAGGGGACACCCCTTAAGATCTGTGGTTTTGGGATTTGAATCTTCACAAAACCTTAAGGGGGACACCCCTTGCGATGTAAGACAGAAACGATGACACATTTCCGGCCTGAAATGTGTCATGCTTCTTTCTGTAAGGCGAAAAAGATGACACATTTCCGGCCTGAAACGCGTCATGCTTCTTTCTGTAAGGCGGAAAAGATGACACATTTCCGGCCTGAAATGTGTCATGTTTCTCTCTGTAAGGCGGAAACGATGACACATCGGTCTGAAATGTGTCATGCTTCTTTCTGTAAGGTGGAAAAGATGACACATTTCCGGCCTGAAATGTGTCATGCTTCTTTCTGTAAGGCGGAAAAGATGACACATTTCCGGCCTGAAATGTGTCATGCTTCTTTCTGTAAGGCGGAAAAGATGACACATTTCCGGCCTGAAATGTGTAAATGAAATAAAACTTTCTAGCTCGTATGTTTGGGGATTCTTTGGGTGGGTGGGTATTCTTCCAGGTTCTTACTAGCGAACTGAGTTCTGGAAATAGGGGTTGGGGCTGGTGTGGGGTGCTGGTGGTTGAGGCTCTGAGTTCTTTCTTTTGGGGAGCTGTTAGGAGCTGGGCTGGGGCTGAGGGCCCTGGGGAACTGGGTGGGGGGCGGCTGGAGAGGAGGCAGGGAGTGTCAAGCGCAAGGGGGCAGGACTCGGGGGCAGAAGCAGGGCGCAGAGAGAGGCAGGGGGCGGGCAGGGGCAGCGGCGGGCATGGGCAAGGGCAAGGGGGCAGGACCGGAGCAGCAGCGGGTTGGAGAGGCAGAGGGGCCAGGGGGCAGGGGAGGGAGAGCTGGCTTCGGCTGGGGGTGGAGGCTGGGGGGGCGGGGCTGGGCTGGGACTGGAGGTGGGGGGCGGGCGGCTAGGGCTGGGCTGGGAGCTGGCTGGGTCAGGGGGCTGGAGCTAGAGGCTGGGGGCTGAGGGCCAGTATTTAAAATTTTAAAAATCTTTAAAATCTTTAAAATCTTTAAAATCTGAAAAGCTTGGTTTTCAAAAATTAAAGATTTTAAAGATTTAAAAGCCTTTAAAATCTTTAAAATCTTTAAAATCTGAAAAGCTTGGTTTTCAAAAATTAAAGATTTTAAAGATTTAAAAGCCTTTTAAAATCTTTAAAATCTTTAAAATCTGAAAAGCTTGGTTTTCAAAAATTAAAGATTTTAAAGATTTTAAAAATCTTTAAAATCTTTAAAATCTGAAAAGCTTGGTTTTCAAAAATTAAAGATTTTAAAGATTTTAAAAGCCTTTAAAATCTTTAAAATCTGAAAAGCTTAGGTTTTCAAAAATTAAAGATTTTAAAGATTTTAAAAGCCTTTAAAATCTTCAAAAGCTGAAAAGCTTGGTTTTCAAAAATTAAAGATTTTAAAGATTTTAAAAGCCTTTAAAATCTTTAAAATCTTTAAAATCTGAAAAGCTTGGTTTTCAAAAATTAAAGATTTTAAAGACTTTAAAAGCCTTTAAAATCTTTAAAATCTTTAAAATCTGAAAAGCTTAGGTTTTTTAAATTTTAAAGATTTTAAAGATTTTTAAAATTTTAAATCGTTAGGTCTGGGCTCCAGGCCACCGACACCTATTTAAAATTTTTAAAAATCTTTAAAATCTCTAAAATCTTTAAAATCTGAAAAGCTTGGTTTTCAAAAATTAAAGATTTTAAAGATTTTAAAAGCCTTTAAAATCTTTAAAATCTTTAAAATCTGAAAAGCTTAGGTTTTTTAAATTTTAAAGATTTTAAAGATTTTAATTTTTTTCAAAATTTTAAATCGTTAGGTCTGGGCTCCAGGCCACCGACACCTATTTAAAATTTTAAAAATCTTTAAAATCTATAAAATCTTTAAAATCTGAAAAGCTTGGTTTTCAAAAATTAAAGATTTTAAAGATTTTAAAAGCCTTTAAAATCTTTAAAATCTTTAAAACCTGAAAAGCTTAGGTTTTTAAAATTTTAAAGATTTTAAAGATTCTTAAAATTTTAAATCGTTAGGTCTGGGCTCCAGGCCACTTTAAATCGTTAGGTCTGGGCTCCAGGCCACCGACACCTATTTAAAATTTTAAAAATCTTTAAAATCTTTAAAATCTGAAAAGCTTAGGTTTTTAAAATTTTAAAGATTTTAAAGATTTTTAAAATTTTAAATCGTTAGGTCTGGGCTCCAGGCCACCGACACCTATTTAAAATTTTAAAAGTCTTTAAAATCTTTAAAATCTTTAAAATCTGAAAAGCTTGGTTTTCAAAAATTAAAGATTTTAAAGATTTTAAAAGCCTTTAAAATCTTTAAAATCTTTAAAATCTGAAAAGCTTAGGTTTTTAAAATTTCAAAGATTTTAAAGATTTTAATTTTTTTCAAAATTTTAAATCGTTAGGTCTGGGCTCCAGGCCACCGACACCTATTTAAAATTTTAAAAATCTTTAAAATCTATAAAATCTTTAAAATCTGAAAAGCTTGGTTTTCAAAAATTAAAGATTTTAAAGATTTTAATTTAAAAGCCTTTAAAATCTTTAAAATCTTTAAAATCTGAAAAGCTTAGGTTTTTTAAATTTTAAAGATTTTAAAGATTTTAAATAAAATTTTAAATCGTTAGGTCTGGGCTCCAGGCCACCGACACCTATTTAAAATTTTAAAAATCTTTAAAATCTTTAAAATCTTTAAAATCTGAAAAGCTTGGTTTTCAAAAATTAAAGATTTTAAAGATTTTAAAAGCCTTTAAAATCTTTAAAATCTTTAAAATCTGAAAAGCTTGGTTTTCAATAATTAAAAATTTAAAAAGCATCTGAAATCTTTAAAATCCTTAAAATCTGAAAAGCTTGAACTGATATAGTATTGATAAACAAAGCAAAGCCATACGTCAAATAGACCCTAAAGGTCCTACGTACATATATATATATATATACACACAATATACTCTAACTAATTTTACAAAAAAGACCAAGCATATTCACTTTTTCTCCCTGGTTACTTCCAAGCCCAGGCAAGAACTCGGAGCCGGTACTTAAGGAGGATCCCTGGGCGCGACCTTTCGTGAAGAAGGTACTCACAGGGACCCTTAGGAGGGGGGGGGTGTAGGGGACGGTTTAGGGTTTAGGGTTTAGGGTGATTATACTTCCTTAAATAAGACTTTTTAAGTCCTTATTATAGGTATTAAGGCCCGCTACCCCCCTCCCCCCTACCCCCCTAAGTGTCCCTATGAGGCACCCAGAGCTTCGGAGGCACCCTTAGAGCCCTGCGAGAGACTTGGGGGCTATCTTAGCGATCTTTTTTGCTCTCTGCGGTCAGGGTTTTAGGGTGTAGGGTTGAGCGTTTTACATAGGGTTTCCGAATATCTTAAAATGCCGCGCAGCCGAGCTGATGGAACGCATCCTTGTTGCATAACGGTGACCTAGGAAAGTCTTCACAAAACCAGCTGCCTTGGGCCCTGTCACGAAAGCCACGGGCGGTTGTGCGGGGGATCACCGCAGCCTGCCTCCGTCGGCGTGGGAGAGGATCCATCAGAAGTTTCAGCAAACTGCGACGTCCTTTACGACTCCAAGTTCAAAGGTTCAGCGTGGCGAAGCCATAGCAGGCATAGCCGACTGGAGTGGCGATCATCGCAGCCTGCCTGCGTCGGCGTGGGAGAGGATCCATCAGAAGTTTCAGCAAACTGCGACGTCCTTTACGTCTCCAAGTTCAAAGGGTCAGCGTGGCGAAGCCATAGGAGGCAGAGCCGACTGGAGTGGCGATCATCGCAGCCTGCCTGCGTCGGCGTGGGAGAGGATCCATGAGGCGTTTGACAGTCCACGTCGTCCCGAGTCCGCAGCCGCATCCGGCTGGTGGATGGCTTTTTGGCAGCAAGCTACTCGCGATCTTTGCTGCAGCCGGTGACTTGAGATATCCGGCCTGTTGCTGATAGAGAGCAGCGACAGAGAGCAGCAAAGCAATTCCTAACTACGATGACTACATGCAAGACGATTTACAACACAGTCAGATTTATGGCCTTGTGCGCTGTTTGCATTTCTGCAGTGTGTCCGTCCTCGCCACTTGTCCTCACAGTCACAAAATAGTTTCAAGGCTGAGGGGGCTCAGAGATCACAGCGATGTACTGTTGGTCCGCCAATGTGCGCAACAGGATAGAATCGGATGGAGCAGGTTGCGAGCGACTCAACTTCTGCCCGACTGGAATGCGATAAGGTGCATGATCCGCATTGTCAAACGCCTGCATGGCTAGCATGGCCTTGTCGCAGCCGGTTTCTAGGCAATCCGGGCGCTGGCGGGCTCTTACAGTAGAATCCAGAAACTTGGAACCTTATTATCCTCATACCTTTAAGGTAAAGTATAGGGAATCCCCGCACAAATCATCCTAAATCCACGTTCCAACTTTCTGGGGTTCACATTAGTCGTTTTTGCGGTTCCCTGCAGATCGGCCAAACGCAAAGCAATCTCTCGGCGAGCATGAAAGATCTAGTCAAACCTATAATTATTTATATCGTACACAACTAGTACAAACAACCTTTCGAAAGTCGGGTAAACCCCAAACCCTAAACCCTAAACCTAAGTTAGAGTCAGACAGGAAACTTTACCCTTAATCTTAAGCCCGCCCGATCTGCTGCGGCCAGAGAAAACGGCCTGTGTAGTCCCTAAACCCTAAACCCTGAACCCCTGAACCCTAAACCCTAAATTTCTTACGGTGGCACCATAGAAGTCCCCGAAACACCCGGCGCGAACTGCCACCTTGGCCGAGGGGATGGCGCCGGCGTGCCCGACCCTTGGATCAGGGCTCTGGCTGCTTCCTTTTTAGGGTTTAGAGTTTAAGGGTTGAGGGTTTAGAGTTTAAGGGTTGAGGGTTTAGAGTTTAGGGGTTGAGGGTTTAGAGTTTAAGGGTTGAGGGTTTAGAGTTTAGGGGTTGAGGGTTTAGAGTTTAGGGGTTGAGGGTTTAGAGTTTAGGGGTTTAGGGTTTAGAGTTTAGGTGTTTAGGGTTCAGAGTTTAGGGTGTTTAATGGTGAGGGGTAGGTAGGCCTTTGGCACATTAGATCAGGGCTTTGGTTGCTCCCTTTTTAGGGAAAAGAGTTTAGGGGTTTAATCTTTTATTTAGAGGTAGGTAAGCCGTTGGCACATGAGATCCGGGCGTTGGTTGGCCTTTTTGATGGGTCGATGGTCTGGGTAGGCCTTTTGGGGCATTTGGTATTTCGCCTTTTTTGGGCCTCAGAGGATCCAAGGTGGCGAGAGTTCTTCAAAGGCTTTAAGAGGGCCAACCTTGTGCTGCCGATGTTTTTCAGCTTTTATGAGTTCTGTGGTTCGTGGTTGTAGGGGGCGCGAGGTTTGCCAGGGTTCAGAGTTTCAGCCCCGGGGCTCGGTTGCCATTCCTCAGGGTTTGGGTGTTTTGGTTTCGGGTTTTGGGTTTTGACAATAGTTGCATCATAAGGTCGTGTTCCCACGGGTTCGAACAGAGCCGATGCGATGTGTCAGGCTCTGTAAGGCTTGAGAGGGAAGCAACACGGATCGTATCCCAGGGGCGCTGATCATGAACAAGCCCCCGAAGCCCGTCATCGCCGTGGCCTCGGAGGAACTTGCAACTGTAGCCGAGGTTTGGGATCGAGAGAGCGAGAGAGACAGAGAGAGAGACAGAGAGAGAGAGAGAGAGAGAGAGAAGTTGGGTAGTTCTCTGTGGCCTGCAGTTTAGGATCTGAAGATGGGGATCTCAGGCTGAAGGTTTAGAGTTCGCAGGGTTTCTGCCTGAGGGTTTCGGGTGCACCACGCTGGTTGTGGAGACATGGCCCTCCATACGGGTCACTACGTCAACCCCAAAAGCCTAAAGGGCCTAAAGCGTAACCCTGCCCTTAAGCCTGAGATCCCACAGCCTTGTGCTTCGAAACTACCCTAACTTAGGACCTATAAAGCCCGAAACTATAGGGCCCCTAAACCCTAAACCCTAAACCCTAAACCCTAAACATTATAGGGGGTTGAGGGTTGCTAAAAGGGTTGAAGCCCGAGGCCCAGGACAAGAACTGGCAGCAGGTGGACGCTCGGAGCTCAGTTTCGCCGGCTTTGTCGTCGCAAGTTCCTTGCAGACTCACAGCCAGACGCACATATAAACAAAGCCTTCATGCCTCTCCGCAGCCAGCAACCCCCAAGCAAGGAGAGCTCCCCTTGAAACGTCAGAGTCAAACCTCAACCCTCAAGCTCCAGCCTGGTCCGCAGCTCCGCAAGAGAAGGGCTCAGCACAACCCTGAAAGCTGCAACCTCCAACACAGCCCTAAAGCCCCAAGGGTCTGAGCAAAAGAACTCTTATAGAATCCTTCTAAAAGCCCTAAACCCTTATCGTCTCGTCTGAAGCAGGCGTTCCTGACTCCTCAGGGCAGACGGAAAAAGTTAAACTAAGATAAACTCTAATCTAGGCTCTAAACCCTATAACCCTATAAACCCTATACAACCCTAAACCCTAAAACCCTATAACCCTGTAAACCTTAAACCCTAAACCCTATGAACCCTGTAAACCCTAAAACCCTAAACCCTATAAACCCTAAACCCTAAAATCCTGTAAACCCTGAACCCTGTCAACCCTATAAACCCCAAAACCCTATAAGCCCTAAACCCTATAAACCCTATAAGCCCTAAATCCTAAAACCCTGTAAACCCTAAACTCCGTCAACCCTAAACCCCTCAACCCTAAAACGCCGTAAGCCCCAAATCCCTATAAACCCTAAACCCTATAAACCCTAAACCCTAAACCCTAAAACCCTGTAAGCCCTATAAACCCCAAACCCCAAGGTGGCGAGCTGGGTGAAGTCCTCCAAGGGCCAGCCGGATCTGGTGCTCGGCCTGCGAGGCTCTTCGGACGTGGGTCCCCTTTTTGGGGTCCTTAGGGGGTTCCTTTCAAGGGATCCTTAAAGGGTTCTATAAGGGATCTATAATAGGGTTCTACATTTCATAGGGGTGGTTGTCAAAATTAGGGTCCCTTTTTGGGGGTACCCTAAATATTAGGTGCTTATTTGGGATTAAGGAGGGGCCTGCGTTCTCCCCTAAACCCTTCTAAATATGGGAGTTTCCGAAAATTAGGTGGTACCTTAAACGCATCTATAAGGGTTCCTTAAAGGGATCTATAAGGGTTCCTTCATTAAGGGTCCTTAAAGGGGTCTATAGGGTTTAGGGTCTAGAATATGGGAGTTTCCGAAAATTTAGGGGGTACCTTAAAAGGGATCCTTTAGGGGTTCCTTAAAGGGATCTATAGGGGTTCTACAAAGGGTTTAGGGTTTGGGGAGTTTCCGAAAATTAGGGGTACCTTATTTTGAGGTCCTTATAATAAGGATCCGATTATTTAGGGTACTATATTAGGGTCCCCCATTTTCGGAAACCCCCATATGGAAGCCTCAAAAACTACAGCGTGGATAGCGTAGAGTAAGGGTTAGTATATTGATATTATAAGGAGTATAAACCCTAAACCCTAAAATCCAAACCCTAAGCCCTATCAGGTGTATAGCGTTTGGGCCTTGATCCGTCTGTTGATTTTACTTAGGTCCTATCCGCAGTTTGCAAGGGTAAAAGCCGGGGGTCCGCAAGGGCTTGTCGGGTTCGGTAAGTGCCTCCCCCCAGCCTTGTCCTTTTTCATGGTTCCCCCAAAAGAATAAACAGACCGGCTAGTAGACCTTTTTAATTTATTCCTGCTAAGGGATATAGGTATAGGGCCCTGTCTATTATTTCTAAAAGGACAAGTGTGCCTCCCCCAGAGTCCCTTCGTAGGGTTCCGGGGGCCTGGGGTTGAGTCGGAGCAGCTTTGACTGATGGTATGTATGCCCCTTATAGTCCCATGCAACTACAGTTTCACGTGCCAGGTCTCAGAAGGATGTGGGTTCAGTTTTAGGTAGATTGAACCCTAAACCCTATACCCTAAACCCTAAACCCTAAACCCTAAACCCTATACCCTAATAGATGGTTGCTTTGGGAGGCCTTGAGTCGGGTGACTTGCATTCTGGGTTGATATCTTAGGGTTTAGGATTTAGGGTTTAGGGTTTAGGATATCTTTCAGGGCTCTGATCTTACTTCCGCAGAGGCTTCCAGAGTTTTTGCTCGCATCTCGGTCTTCGCTCTTCCGAAGCCTGCAGTCCTCCAATAAATAATGATAATGGTCGTCCGGCAGCCTGATTTCGTCGGAGCATCCCTAAACTTGCAGACTCCCTAAACCCTACTTGGAGGTTCATGGGTGTTTACAAGTGGGGTTATAAGTCCTAATATGGGTTATAATTATGGTTACCCTACTTATAGCCCCACTTATAACTGCCCATTAACCTCCAAGTAGTCAATGCCACAATGCTCGCCGAGCCGCAGGCGAAGCCTACTTCCTCCTCCCCGGGAAGGCCAGTGTCGGGAATCTTGTTGGGAGTCAGCTACTGTAGTGCCATTAGTTGGTCCAACAGCTGCTGCAGCTGGTCTTACAAGTTGTTGTCATTGCTGCCGCTGTTGCTGCTCTTATCACAAGATGCAGTAGTACTCTGTGTTCCGCGCTACATATTCAGGTCCAATACCATTGCTACTGGTCGTTTCCTTCATTGCTTCTCTCTCTGTCGGCCTTTAGACGGAATGCTTGGTTCTTGCAGGTTCCATCGGATCGCATCGTGCTTTGTGAGGTTGAGTCATCTCCCCGGTTTCATTCTGCGAGATCCCTGCATTTTCGCTTCTTCGTTGGGTAGGCTTTCGGAGAAGCGTTGTTGAGAATACTTTCAATGGTGCGGTCGGCGCAAGCAAAGTGGGTAAGTGCTCAGTGTCCAAGATGTATTGCATCAGCCATACCCAAATACGGGATCCGGTAGAAAACCCTGAATCCTAAGCCCCTAAACCCTAACCCCTAAACCCTAAAGGGTTCCATGGCACCGTCTGGCAGACGTCCGACC